ATGATAAGCAGCTCGTTTCTTGTTCTACCTGCAACTTTCAACATTTTTTTTTTAAATATAAATTATGCAAGAGTTCCAACTTTGTGACTTAACGTTGTTCACTCATTTTTAACAACAGCTTTGTTTAGATAACTGTTTTACCTCTAGTTTTTTAGTACATATAAGTTTGAAAACACCTTGCCAAAATTAATCTTCAATTTGTGAGGATATGCCTTGAAAAAAAATGTATAAAAATAATTTTAATTTATTTATTAATATAAAATGTATATTTTGATTTTCGAACTCGACGGCAAGTTGGAGAGCAGCTGAACTGCATCTCTCTGATGGGCAACCAGTTGGCCAGGACTTATTGCTATGGGTGGCAACGCCCATTGCACTCCAAGTGCAATCGAATTGCAAGCGCATCCTCCGATCACTCTTCTTCTACCAAGCGCTTCAGTCTCTCACGCGTACATTCACATTCCATGCGTTTTTCGGACTGTTCTTTGGCTTTAGCGCCACCTATGGTTGAGTGGACTCGATATCGTTACGAGTCCACTACATAGTAATATTTAAGTGATTATTTAAAGTACATTTTTGTATAATAAATAAAGGATTTATTAATTTGTAACTCATCGTGCTATGCTTTGTACTCATTTTTTTACAAATATTTTAAAGGATCGTCAACGTAATCAGACCTGCTGACAGAGATGGAAAAAGAAAACAAATTCCGAATAACAATAAAACAATGCTTTAAAGCGAGCCTTACAATGAACGAATAAGACGAGTTTTACACCTGACTAAATATGGAAACTCTCGTGTAACTTTCGATCGAATATACCCCTTCCTTCAAGGGAATTTATATATTTATTCAAATATTTGTTATATTTAATTATTTAATATGTAATATATAAAATGTATTAAGTTGCATATATTGTATTTATTAATTATAATCTTAATTATTGTATTTGGCATCCATTGAAGTCGCAGAAGTCACATTGGGGTCATCGCAGTAATAATACGTTTAATATTACAATCTAATTCTTAAGAACCTGAAAGTATTTTTTTATTTTATATATATATAATATGATCATATGAAGAGCCTTAAAGAAAACTCTGTAATTCGATAACAATAGTAAATATTTATGTAAGAATGAACATGAATTGCAAATCCTCATAATTTGGGCATAGGAGTCCTCGGTCGACTCTTGATAGCTTTCGGTATGTTTTCTCATATCTCTGTCTCAATAACGCAAGAGAGAATAGAAAAATGCATAGCCCTGAGCAACACCGGAACATTGTTAGACAGAGCTGTTCTCGCTTAGTCGTTACAAATTGTTCAACTTAAAAACATTATAGAAAATTTCCAATTACCAAACCTTTGTCAAAACTGGCAATTATTGTTTAAAAATGTTCTGGCCACAAAATTAAAACCACATTTCAAGTTGAGAAACACAATTTTCGATCGAAATGCATTTAAAAATGTATTAGCTAAACACTTTGTTAAATGTAACTACTTCATTTAAGTTTAAAAAACACATTAAATAAAAATATTAAATTGTGAAGAGGTTATAATTGTAAGGCCAGACAGCTTAAAAACATAATTGTTCTATTTATGGACAAGTAAATAACATGCAATATATAACCATAAATTGTTGTGTTCGCAATTGTTGTATACAATTTCATAGACAACTTAGTTGTTGCCTCTCATACCCACTATATATTTATAAATATATTTTATAAATTTCTTTGCCAACATGAAATCATGATTCGTTTAAAATATACACACTCTACGCGCACACACACACACACACACACACCCATACACACAGCATAGATGTAACAGCCTCGATTACGCTCCCAGCGGGCTGCAACCATTCGAGAGGAAAGTTTTATTATCGGCTGCGTTTGAGAGGCAACAGAAGCAACGACAGCAACAACAGAGCAGCTCATAAAATATGTTTGCCATCACACGTATACACAGACACACACACACACACAGACACACACACATTGCTCTTGTTGTTGCTTTATTCTTCATTTAACAGCATGCCCTGCGGGAAATGCAGCCACCTACCGCCCACCACCCATGGAGCATGTTTTTTTTTTGTATACTTTTTTTTGGCTATGCCTCGCTGCCCTGCCCTTTTTTATTAGTCGCTGCTTTTGGGCTTATTATATTTTGCTCTTACACCCATTTAAACCATTTTACAGTAATTTTGCTTATAGCTAATTTTAAGCTATTGCCGTTGGCCTGCAACAAGCCAAACACCGAGTCCTAGTCCCAGCACAGCTGTACAGCGGCTTTGTGACAGGAAGGCCACGCCCCTTCAAAATTCAAGATTGCTTCGGTCAGAGATAAATGGCTGTTTCTGCTTAGCAGAGTTTGTACATATATATAACATAGGGTATTTTGAAGTTGACTAACATTCTCTTAAATTATCTCCATTGTTTTGTTTTGGTTTTTTTATGACAGCTATTGGTCCGCTGAGAGCAGTGCGCGACTTAAGTTATGCTACGGTTTTTGTTTGCCATGCCACAAAGTAGGCTACATAATTTAGCTAATTTTTTATTTATTAAACTTTTGGCATCCATTAGTTGGCAGCGCTGCTGCTGCTACTGCGACTACGGCGCGTACTGAGGCCCAAAAAAACTTTCACTTTATAAATTGACAATTTGTTTTGTTTGCGTCATAGTGCTTGGGAGCGTTGAAGTTATTATCTATTTTTCTTACAGCTAACTGGGGAATTGAAATCAACAACAAGAACATGAACCGTGGCTTCAGCAACGTTGTACATTATTCAACAACTTGCATTGAGACGACAGAAAACATTGCTTGGAGCAAGATCTCTGTCACTTAAGGTGCGAAAAAGAATAATTTATTGGTGCTGAATTTGTGCGGATATCCAACCAAGCCAACTGGCAACTTGTGCGCACAGCTTAAATGCCGTGCTGGGGTTAAGCTGTCCAGGCATTCAGTAACAACAACAACAGCAACAACAACAAGGCTATACAGAAAGAACAATGAAAATCACAACACACACACACACACACATAGGCTGGTGGCTTGGCCCGAGCAACAAATTCTAATATTGTCATTGTTATTGTTTTTGGCTTTAGTCGGACTTAACAACACACACATCCGCTTGACTCCAAATTGAGTAAAAAAAAAAAGCCGAATACAAACTTGTGGCAGCGCCAATGCGGCAAAAGTCAACTGCTGCATAGGGAGACCAGCCATGAACGATGGACGATAGCTATCCCTTGGAGAGTTCACTCGGCGGCGCTGTGTGTGAAGATATTTATGGCCACTGGCCACAGCCAACAGTGTCATCTTTCGCCTTGAGGCTTTGACTCTTTTTTGCCGTAAGCCGTTTAAGGTTCAATACGCTTCAATACGAACGCATGTGTTTGGTCAATTGTTGCAGGCAAAGTGGCGCATGACTGATATGCATTGGCTGCTGCATGCAACGCAGGGTTTCAGGGCCACTGTTGGACGGCTAACAAAAACATATTCAATTGAAAAGTGTCATGCAAATATGCCCCAACGAGACCAACAAAAACAACTACAACATATGTTGCTGCAGATTTTTGGGATGACAGACATTCCGTCTATAGATGTACGAATGTAAATCATTCATTTGTGTTTTGATTTATTGTAGTGTTAAATAATAATAAATATGCTGCTAATAAGCAATATGCAAGCATTAGTTTTTGAAAATTGATCAGAAAATGGGGACATTTCTATAAATAAATAATAAATAAAAAATAATAAATAATAATAAATAATAAATAATAATAATAAATCAGTCAAATAATAATCATCTTTAAGTTGTGTTATTTATTTTATTTATATATAAGTAGATTTTTTGTAATTTTTGCACTGTTTCAGGGTTAAATTGTCTCGGCTGTTGATGTTTCCTTCCGCTTCATAATGTACTTATATATATTTTAACATATATTACTTACCTTAATATTTAATAATTATTCTATATTGAACACTTTAGATGCAGTTGCAGTGCCATATATCATCTTGCTTACATTACTTGTTTATGCAGCAAAAGAAGCTGTTCAAATTAAAAACAATTGCAGCCATGTCTGCACCTGAGATTTAGAGTCGTAAACATCGCAAACTAATCGTGTATATGTATGTACGTGTGTCACTGACAAAATACACATTTGGTAAATCTACACACACCATTCCATTTCCATTTTGGAATCCATGGCCTTGCTGCTGAGTTGCACATTGCTTGCGCTGCTCCTTTTTCAAGGTTTTACAAATCACCAGCACTTAGGTCTGTGCTCACCTTGCTCGTTGCTTACGGCACTCACTAATGAAAATAAACGTATTTCAAGCTAATTAAACAATAAAAGCGCAAGAGTGCCGTCCCACACGGAAAGAGAATGAACTAAAAAAAAAAATAAAGAGAAATGAAATAAGGTAAATTGTAGGACGAAATGAAATTTAGCAAATGCAACTGCAACAGTGAGTTGAATTTAAGGGAGTCGGGCAGCAACCGAGCCAGAGCCAGAGACAGAGGCGTTGGGCGTTTCTGTGAATCTGTCTCTCGCGCTGACGCTGGCAGCTGACAAGCCCGTGGGAGTGGAGTGGAAAGTAGGCAACTAAGACGACGACGCGAGGACGCAACGCCGCGTGGCACACTGATGTTGCAATTTAATTTGTATTGTTAGCTGTTGTTGACGTTGTAGTTGTTGTTACTGACTTTGGGTTGTTGTTGTCGACACAATTGCAGCCGCATCAAGTTGATGATGATGATGATGAATCCACTTAAGCGCCTGGCACTGGTACAGGTAACAACTGTAACAACAGCAGCAGTCTAATTGAACAGCAAAGGGGTGCGCACAACAACGGCAGCCGTCAATCATTTTGCATGCATGTGTGTATTGGTGTGTGTATGTGTGTGTGTGTGTGTGTGTGTGTGTGTTTTACAATTTAATCACTCAAGCAAAGCCCACACACACAATTAATGTGACAAATGCTAATCGACAGCTTTGAAGTGTTTCGTTGAATTTTCTTTTTATTGCCATGCAGCTAATTCAATTGACATTTGAACTTCGTTTCCACTTATTGCATGCATATCTTTGCATATATACCTATATAAATGTGTGTGTATATATATATATATGTGTTTTCTCTCAGTGTATGTGTGGTTTTTGTTTTGTTTGTTTGTAAACTTGATTGAAATGCAAAATCGCTTGGATTCCCAGCAATGCCATTGTGCGTAACATTAATCGCGGCACATACGCTTCGAAGGCGGCTCCTCGTCGGTGGGCGCAATCGATTGCAAAAGGGGGCAACTCGTATGGCTGCCAAACAGGGTGAGGAGCAGCGCGACACCGTAGCCTGTGGCACGTTCGCCCTGCAAAACAAAATTTACAAACAATGAATATTGGCATGATGCTGTGTGCAAACTAGCTGCGACAATTACTTACGCAATTCACGGGCGTGGCCATATCGACATGCATCCAAACGCCCGGATAGTCAAAGCCCAAGTGAGCGGCTACAAAGAGGCCGGCGCAGGAGGATTGCGCATTCTGCCGATCCTGCAATACAAAAATGACAACAAATTTATTGAGCAACAACAAGGAAATTGAAACGCATCGAATAAACCAAGTAAGAATGCTGTAGTCGACTACGATATACCCAGCTGTTAAATATATACTAGACTTGGGTAATTCTTATATATATATATATTCGTCAAGCGGGGACAGTTGTCGATAAAATGATATTGAGTTAAGAAATGAAGTTGAGTTAATTAAATTAAGCACAGGAGAACTTATATTCCAAATTTGAACTCAGAAGGATTGACGGACATGGCTGTTTCACCTGAACAGTAATTTATATTGAGGTGGTTGGAGGTGTTTGCTTCTGCCTGTTAAATAGAAACTTAAAACGTAAATTTTTCGATTTCATTTCAAAAATACGTGTTTTCAACTTTTGATGCATAATCAATATATATAAAAGGGACTTCATAATGGTGGAAAAAATTCGGACTTTGGACAATTATTGGCGAAGATACAACAGTTTGGGTTCGGAGTACAAATATATATATTATTATTGAAGAGGTCAAACCGTAATAAAAATTGCATTACTTGAACTCTCACTGCAAATATTTAACAGGGCATCAAAAAGAAGTATACTTGTTTTAGTCATGCTTAAGCCCTAGGGTATACTAAAAAAAGACACCATAAAAATGCAACAAGTAAAACTTCGTTGCATCTTTGATATTAAAAAGTACCCTGCAGTGCAGAACAGCTATGAACATGAAAGATATATGGATAGATATATATTCCTACATGACACATATATATATATATATATGAGAATATAAATATATACATGACTATGTGCTAATGCTCAAATTATGTGTGCCTTGCAATGGCAGTTACCCAGTACCGGAAACTGTCGCTATACTAAATTGAACGGAAATTACAACGCTTGAATGGTAAAAATATAACAGTGGCCAAATTGCATATTTTTTAACTCACTGCAATGGAAGTAATAAAGTCGATATGTGCTGTACTAAAAGATTTGAGCCATAAAGTTCTTAAGAGTTATTTCAGTTGAATTTACTTATAGACGCACATAAGCATTATAAATGCCATAATATAGATTAATAAATATTCTGATAGGCATTATCAAAAATGATTAAGGATGCTGCAGTTGAGAGAGAGAGCCCACCTATGAGATACCCTGAACTCAGATGTTAAATATATTATTGTAATTTTATCACTAAAAAAGATTCTTTGTTCATACACAGACAGTCGGGCATGGCTATATCGACTCGGATGTTGATCCTGATCAAGAGTATATGAGGTCAGAGCTGTATCCTTTTGCCTGCTGCAACTGTTCTACCCTTTTCATAATTATAATTTTACTTATGATTTATATATAATTACTGATCAAATTGCTTTAGTTTGAGATACAAAAAAAAAATGGTTAATTTTCGTAAAAACTTTGCAATGCAATAAATTAGATGCATGGATTTGTTTTACTTGCAACTACGAGACAAAATATGAGTTTCTGACCCACTGTGCTGAGCAGCACACACACACATATAAAATAAACTAATACACATACATCTACTTATAGAAGGGCTTGCTTGACTGCTGGCCAAAAAGAACTCATCCAACGAGCAGAGCTCAGGAGCAGGAGCAGTCAGGACATCCAGCGGAACAAAAACAACAACAACAAAAACAACAGCAAATGCCTGCATGACAACGCGTGATACCCCATGATGAAAATGACGCACACACACACACACACACACACACACATAGAACTCGAATAACAAGCCACAAGCATATAAATACAGGCAACACGAAAAGTCTTCCGTTATGAAGCGGAAGTTAGAAGTCCATTGAAGACAACGATTCACGTTGCTTCTGGTTTTGTTTTTTTTTTTTTTGTTGTTACTGCACTAGTTGTTCTATTGTTGTTGTTGTTGTTGTTGTTGGTATTGTTATCATTATTGATATTTTAGTTGCTTTCGGTGGTCTTGTGTCCTTAACAACAAACTTTCGCTGACTTTCTGATCAAATTTGAGTTTTGTTTCATTTGCCCCCAAAAACTACTAAAAACCAATAACTCCGCAAAGAGTATTTGGTGCACAACTGTGGCATGTGAGAGCAATCGGATTTGTTAGTTTTAAAATCTAATCGAGATGTTGTTAACAAATTTTAAGTGTAATAATAATTAAATAAATAAAAATAGTTGTGTAAAATGTAGCTAACTTTCGACGTGGCTTAACTAGAACTGTGTAGTTATCAAAATTCAACTCGCACAACTCGACAATTTGTTACACCAAATATCAAATGTTTTACAAAGTTTGCGTTTTGTCCAATGGAATGTGATTTTAATTAAATGCTACCAGTTGGTTTATTTTGGTTGATGGTCAGGTGTTTGAGGCACACGCACTCTCATTGTCTATGGCAACACGGCTGAGATGGAATCAGTTCAGTCAACCGACTGTCAATTTGGCCCGTGCGCTTTCATCAATAATGGCAAACATTTGTCAACATAATGTCATTAGCATTGATTGCATTACGCAACGCATTGATTGTGCGAACCTTTTGTAAATAGCCAAACGCGCACACACACACACACACACACACACAACCACACAACACACAGCCACACACACACACACACACAACCACACAACACACAGCCACACACAGACACCACATATCAAGTTTGAACAACGGGTCGACGACGACTAATTGCGGTTAACTACGTGACCAACCCCAAAACGCCCAAGATCCCCTGTCCCCCTTGATTCTATGTCGCATGCCCCACATCCATAGCCATAGCCATCAGTGCTGCCAAATGCCACGTGTGTCACATACCAGAAACGATGCCAATTTTTGATTTGATGCTATCCGCCGTTGAAAGCGACGCATTCCATTTACGATTAACGTGCATTTTAATTAGCAGTCAAAATTATCGCACTACGCTGCATGCATTAACGACAAGCAACAGCCACAACTATCATTCGAAACTTGACGCCTATAATTAGATACTCAATTTAACTTCACTTAAATGTTGCTAATTGAAGACCGCATTTGTATTAGATTCAGGCAGCTCAAAATAATCATTTCAGCATCAAAGTTTCGGATTTGTAAATCCATTCAGATCGAATATCAATATAAGAATAAGGAAATTTTATGCCTTTAGCTCTTATGTCTCTGCAATTTGCGTGTTCATTCTAATCAAGAATGGATATTTATTATTATTGGGGGAGGGGAATTGCACCGCGACCTATTTGATCTATTTGTGCCCCCTTCTAAGCCTATAGCTCTTCCATCAGCCCCAGCTCCCGCACAAACAGTGAGGATCTTTGTTGGGTTCAGGTCTTCTATGTCTCTAAAACTCGAACCATGCACCCCTAGGATGCTGCGTCTTCTTCAAGAATGGGTATAGTTTATGGAATGTATATACTTAAAGAATTTACATATTTCGCATAAAACTATATCTTATTTAACCAATTTTTATATAGGTAGTAACCATACCTACTTTCAAATTCCTACCCACATTTAAGGTACACTTCTATCATTCAAAAATCATTCCTAACTTCAAAATCGATGTTAATTTTTCGTAAATAAAATGCAAACATTTTCAATACTAACACAATGTAAACCGTTATAGATTTTAATTGTAGAACTTATTTACTTGATTGCTGACAGTTTAATTGTATTTTAATTATTTTCCAAGCAAAATTGTTTACATTTTTTGTTCTCAGTGACACAAGCGAACAGACAACTTAAACAAACCGCAAAACAAAGAGTGAAAAAATGAAAACGAAAAGAAACTCAGTACGAAAGCGAATTAATAAATGAAGAAATAGCCGAAGCGTATTGGTTTGGTAATGAAAAGAATTATAATTAGTGGACTGCAATTTTAATTTGTTTTCTCGCACTAATCTTTCTTTAAATGCACACACAAAAAAAAAGGAGAGAACAGTTTATGTAGTGATTTAAAAAATGTGCGCCCACATTAAAGGGTTCGTTAAATCTTGAAAGCAGCCCGACTTAAGATAAGCAGTGTGCTTGAAGAAGATTACATCAATGACAGGCGTACCACTTGCCACGCCACACTTTTCAAGTGGCGCATCGTGCGTCCTGAACCCGCCCCAAGGAGTCTCTCGCTGCCTCCGGGCATCAATATATTGGATGCCTTTGACTGCCGACTGTATTCAGTATCAATTACACATTCATTCAATGGGCGTGAGACGGCATAACACAGATTTTGCAGAGACTAAATCGATGTCTGAGCACAGCAGCACAGCACAGCACAGCACAGCAAAGCAGCGGGCTGAATGTGAGAACCGTTTTTTATTCAATTTTCCCCTGATGTCACAGCAGCGCTTTAAAAAGTTTGTGCTTCAGGGCCAGCCAGGCAAAAGAGCAAAAGGAAAATATTAGAAACAGTCAATGCAAACGGCGGCCGGGTTTATTTTCATTCTCATCTCCGCTCTCCTATTAAGTTTATATATATTTTATTTTTTTTCTTGCCTAAGAGACGTGCAAAAGTTGATCGGAAACCGACACATAACAAGCGGAAAGATTTGTGTTAACAAAGTCGCCGGAGTTGCTGAGTAGTCGCCGGTCTCTTACCCCCGCCCGTAAGTAGGCAACGGAAATCGCGGGGCATTGCGCAAATTACGTGACTTACGGTTGACTTACTTAGTTGAAATCTACATTTAAAGCACTGAAGCACTAAGCTCGAGCATTATTTATAAACTGTTGGCATTATTTAATCAAGAGCACAAAAACAAAAACCATATTTGGCGCCTTGAGGTCGCTGCGTAAAAGTGTATAAAAATACACGAACACATAAAAAACTTTTCCACATAAAAAGTTCAATTTAATTCATAAAAAAGCGTAAAAAGTCGCCGTACAATTGAATTTAAAATGTTACCGCTTAATAAAAATTTACCAACTGCGATTCAGGCAAACGAAAAAATCAACAAAACATAAGAAAGAAAGAAAGAAAGAGAAAAACAAAAAACAAAAAAACAAAAACAATAAGTGGGAGCAGTTATCCTGGGAAAAAGCCTTCATTAAATACTCTTTTTGCTACAAATTACACTGGCAACAGGTTATATAATAACCATAATCTGACCTGATTACTTAAATTATGCATAAAACTATCCATTACTCCACAGCTTCTGCGAAAGTTATGCATATTAAATAAATACTTTTTTTATAATACTTAAAGGAGACGATGGATGGATTTTTATTTACGTTGCCATGCATTTTATGATCAAATGGGCTTTGTTTGAGTATTAAAAACAATGAAAGCAATTACGCATACGCCGCATGATCCACACAAAAGACAAAAGCCGCAACACGTTGCTTTTGCTCCCTGGTTGGGTTTATCTAAAATTCATGCTATGTCCTCTGTCCTGTGGACGAGCAGAATTTTACGATTTAACATAAAAATCAATTACCAACACTGGTAAAATTTCACAGCCATAAAATTTGAGGAACTTTGCCGACGGATGCGAACGTTGATTCTCTCGATGCTTTCGTTGTTGCCTCAAAATTGTGAAATAATTTGAAACGTTTAAATAATTTTATTGTTCTACTTCTTGCTTTTGCGGTTAGTCTTAGTTAAGGTTTTTATGATACACAAGTCGTGTTTGGTGATTTTTTTATTGCGAACTATTTAATGAAAAGAATATTACGTCATCAAAAAAAATATATTCCCGTAGAATTTTTTAAATTTATTTTTAGTTTGCCTACTAAGGAAAAACGTATTATATCTGTATACCCTAAACGCAGTAAAAATGGATAAAAAAGTGATGTGCAAAAGTATATAACAGGCAGGATCAACAGCCTAGTCAATAAACCATTGCCTTCTGTCCGTCGGTATGAAAGCGTGGATCTCATAGACAATAAGATCTAGAGAGCATAAAATTCTCGTTTTTTAATAACTGATCCCGTTCCCTGCAAACTAAAATCAATAAAATACCAGTTTGAGAATTTTCTTTGAATTTGCTCACTTAAAACCAAAGTACATATTATCATATTATCTGCAGTCCTCGTAGTCCAATAACAATTTAAACGCTATTTTGATCAATTTTTTGCTCTTCTATCACAACACATAATCCACAGCTGTGAAAATTCCCTTGAATTTGCATTAAATTTCTATTTAAAAATATAGATACGCGGTTGCTCATCGTGTTAACCGCAACCACGACAAGGCTAATGATTGACTGACACACACACAGAACAAAACACAAATCACAAACGACGCACAACAAATTGCAGTCAGTTACTTAAAAGCCAGACTAATGGACAATCCACACCCATGCTAGCTAACCAAAACAAACAAAAAAAAAAACACAACCTGGCACCAAATGCTCGTCAAAATGAGCCAGCCAAAAACAGGATGTTGGGGGTACAAAAAAAAAAAACAAAAAACCAAAACAAAGCTGCCTCGAAAAGTGCCGCCAACAACATTCATAATCCGTCCATTTAGCGGGTGAAACTAGCGTCGAGCGGCAAAAGCGCAAAAAACTCATGTAATTTGAACGCAACTCGTGAAAATTTGGCTGTTAGCATTCGTAGAAAGAAAAAAATAGATTGTAATTTGTATACTCTATCAGAGGGAAGTTGACTTCATTTTGCCACAAAAAATTGAATTGGCCAAAATCTCTATTCCCCCTATAAGTCACCATCTAAACAAGCTCTATATTGAGCTCAAGTAAGTAAATAATCCAAATTGAAGGGTTATAAAAAGTATCACAAAGTTGTTTTATTTAGGATCGTTAAAAAACTTATATTGTATTATGCTAAAGCTGACATAGTTCTGATCGATCACATTACATTGTATTATGTTAAAGATATTTTTTTATAGACAAATATATTCAGAAGGGAATGTAATCTTCGTCTTGCCCATGGATAGCTCTGTTCTGTCTGGTTTTTCTTGCTTGTGGTCCTGATTTGACTTTTTTGCATTTAACGTTGAATGCGTTTTGAGTTTAAATCACTTTATCACAGGCACATTGACAAAGTGAGCTGATGTTGCATCAAATGCAGACAAGGGCGTTACTGGGCAGTCGTGTGGCTGCTTTGGGGATGGGTGGGAGGTGGGTACTACGTTACTGGCAGTTGCTTGTTTTTTTTTTTGCCACTGGAGACACAAACAACGAACGCGAACGAAAAATCAAAGAGCCAAGGCAGGTGATAGGCAGATGCGACTGGCGAACTGGAGGGTGGGAGCGGGGTATAATGGCCAAAGGCAGAGACAGAGGCAGGCCATAGCTGCCACGCCACTTGACCTCTGTGGCACCTACGCACCCAGCCGGTGCACGAATGACGAGTAACAAGAAACGTGGCACAGGGCAACCGGGTTTTCCGACAGTCGCCCATGGCGTGACAATGATGAATGACCATTGATCCGAAGCGTTTTAGACGTACAATAAGGTAACTCGATTTGCTTGCTCTGTCCGGGTGTAGCTTGGGGGCCCACGCACAACAGCTACCAGTTTTGACCACCATCCAACCAACCCAACAACCCAACCACCCACCGCAACCCCATTCCCCAATGCAAACCATTACTTTTATCAAGTGCCTGCTAGCGTAGATTGAACGCCAAAGTTTTTGATACATGTTGGAGCTGGAATTGGAGCATGTGTGTAAGTGTGAGTGTGTCTGCGAGTGTGTGTTGTGTATGTGTTTGTGTATGCAGACTGGCATAAATCACTGTAATACTAATCAATCTTTAAACCGAACATGACGTCCATCATTTTTCGCAACAATGCGGCGGTAAAAAATAATAAAAAATCGGAGAATAAACATCGACTGACCATGATAAAGTTAATTAAAAAACTGTATTACACATTTCTGCAAAAGAAACAAAAAATGTTGTGTGTTTGCCAGCATGTGTGCATTTTAGATGAGCAATAAATATATCCTTAGATAATTTTCTTTTTATTTTACGAATATTGAAGGAGAGTAAATAGAGTCTTAATAAATGAAGCACAAAATGCACAAATAAAACGAAAGAAATGAATAAGGCATATCAATATCAAATTAAAGATTACTGAGTTTGCAGTGTCAATAAATAAAATAAAAATAAATAAATATATACTAACTGATTCATAGTCTTTTTGCCTTCTCTTTTGACAATTTAAACACAAATTCACATACGAGTATATTATTTTTTTACAAAAAAAATTCCAAGTTTCAGAGTAATAAAAAAAATATCGAAATTGGTCGCAGTTGAAAATAAATATTATTGTCGTGTTGTTACCGGGAGATTTGAAATACCAAAAAAAAATGTTGGATGCTAAAAAATGTTTACGACTTTTTTATAGACATTTCTAGATAAGCTCGAAAATAAATTGAGACAATCTAGGGTTAATGAGCTAGAAAACATAAAAAAAAAGCGTTAAACTTATTTTGTTTGTGACTAACTTTATAAGAAAGATTCAAAACAGAAAACACTTTCTGTTATTTTTGTCACTTTTTCCGTAGTGAAATGAAGTAGCCAAGGAAAATTGGCGACTATTTAGACAGAGTATAGATCTTAGATTCCGACAGATTAAAGATATAAAAGTTTGTGTGTATTTTTTTAATGTATGCACTTTAATTTGTTAAGATTATTTTTTGGGTACTTACCGCCACAGAGTTTTTCATATCAGCAATGGCCGATGCAAATTCGGAGAAATGCAATTCAGGACAATAAATAATGGGCGCCAATAAATCGCCGGATTTGCGACCGGCTTGCAATGCCTTCGATTCCCAATGCTCCGAGTTTGTCAATATGGCGCCATGATATTTGCCTGTTGCAACACCCTGCAAGACACAAAAACAACAACAAGTACAAAACAATTAAATATGTATGCAGAGATATGTGGCACGAAATGGGTGAAACATATCGCTTTAATGGGCGACCATCTGAACTGATAGAAAACATGCAATATTCAAGTGAAGGCTAACAATAAAACTGTACAGTAACTATCGTTAAGGTGCCAACATGGTTTGCACTATGGACAGAGACAGAGAGACTGCTAGAGGGAGACAAACAGAGAGAGAGAGAGAGAGAGAGCTATAGAGAATCTAAGAGAAAAAAGTGCAGGGAAGTGGAGCGACGATGCATGGTTGCCTGCCAAAAATTGCAAGTTTCCGACGCGACCAGCAATAAAAAGGTGCAAGGTTATTTAGCACAAGCAACACCCCAAACAGCATCAGAGCAGGACCAGTCGCAGTTGCAGGAACAGGAATACGAGCAGAGGCAGCAGCAACAGGGGGCAGTCGAGCACTGTTAAACTACAGCTAGACAAATGAAAGCAAAAAACACACACACACACACAAGCACAACAACAGCAACTATAACAACATTTGGTGAAACAAGCCTTGGCTACATAAAATGTAAAGCACAAAAGTGCTCGTTTTTGCTCGTTGGTCGCTTTACAAATGCCCTTTCAAATTTCGAGCAATTGAAATAGTTGAAAGGATTTTTCCATTTTTAAATTCAGTTAAACTAATATAGTTGATAAGTTTGACCTACTTTAAGTACTTTTTAGCTGGCCTTATTTCAAAATATTCAAATGACCTCTAAGAAGCTTTAACACCTATTTTCCAAACTCGAGGCTAAAAATTGCCTTTGGTTTCTATTAATCAATGCAAATTTAAGAACATTAAAATAACTAATATTTAAACAATAAATGTACGACAAAATTTGTTTAAGAACGAGATAAATTACTTTTCCATTATATCAATTTATTACCATAATATATTTGGAATGAATTTGTTTCAAAATGGTTGCATGCCACAGGTCTTTTCGAGTTCTGTTATTTCAGTTATGAAAATCACAATCATTTATTAAAGAAACAATAGCGCCAACTGTGTGAAGGGTATTTTCTAGACGCAATTTATACAGTTTCACTAGTTCTTGCCATTGTTGGTAGCTCGTTGTTTGTTGTTGCTTTTGTTGGTGTAGTTGCGCCGATGTTGGCAATTAATATTATTGCATGTTGCAAGAGTGTTTCGCAATTTTTATATGCACTTGTGTGTGTGTGTGTGTTTGATTGTTAGCAGAGTGTGTAATGAAATTAAACGCAACAAGCGTCACAACAAATTCTAAACAATTTTAGCAAAAATTGAAATGTTGACCAGATTCTAGTTTTGGTTAGCAAAATTGTGTCGTTTTTTACTGCTGCTTACACGAGGACATGAGTGCTCAGCCATTTTTTGCTTGTCCTGTTTGTAACGAGAAACAGTTTCGATTTATTTCCCATCGAACCACAAATAACGCAAATTGGCATCATATTTTAAGCAAATTGCATCCAAGATTTATGGTAATTGTGTCCCATCGCAGCAATGCCTCCCACTGCATTCGCAGACACCAGCAACAGAACACACCCAACCAGCCACCAACAACCACAAATCGGGTTTGCCTCGTAGCCTTTATTGTTGCAGATGTGCAACCGCGTCGACTGCTTCTCCTCTGCTGCTCTGCTACTGCTTGCTACTGCCTCCTACTGTTGATGCTGCTTCTGCTTCTGCATCTGCCGCCGAAAAAAACAAATTTGCAATTTATTTTTGCCAATTAACCTCGTGACTTTTATAAAGCGTGGCATAAATTTTACATTTAAGAAAAATTGAAAAACGCTCTGCTCGGACACGGGGTAAGCAATTCGTCACAAATAGAAACCATTTTGGGCAAAGGACTGGGAAATTTCATAAAATATTGATAGCATGAAGAAGAGCTCAAAGCCGAGATGAGCTAAAATAAGAAAGAGCTGAAAGCAAATAAAATACTTTGCAGCATCAGCCAAGCAGCTACAGTTAAATGAAACTGTCAAGAACCAAGTTGAGTGCTTTGGAGAGACAGAGCAGCATAGATTACAAAATGGATGATAAAGGCAATTAAATTAAAAGTAAAATCAAAGTAAATTGATTTTGAACTATGTAGATTAATCTGCCAAACGATGCTTAAATATCGTGCAGTGCCAGTCAAAACTAATTTTCACTCACTTGTGCACCCGTCAGTGTGGCCATATCGAGTATAATGTTCGCCTTGAGATCCTTGTTGGCAAAGCAAACGCCATCGGCGAGCACCAAACGACCCTCAGCATCCGTATTGTTTATTTCCACTGTACGGCCGGAGTACAGCGTGTGTATGTCATCGGGACTGCGCGACAAATAAATCCAAGTTATCGATGAGGACAACATTTATGACGGTTTCACTTACCGGGTCGCATTGGGGCCCACCGAGTTCTCGGCCAGGCAGAAGACGGCGTGCAGATTATCCTTGAAGCCACACTTGACGGCCACATAGAAGGCGCCGAGAATGGCAGCAGCACCGCCACAATCACGCTTCATGCCCGGCATGGCTGTTTTGCCCTTGATGCTCAGGCCACCGGTGTCATAGACAATGCCCTTGCCCACCAGCGCAATCGTTTCCTGTGCACCCTTCGGCTCGTGGGAGAGCACCACCAAAGCTGGCGGCACATCGGCCGCCTTGCCAACGCCATAGATGCCGCCAAAGCCACGCTGCTGCAGCTCTTCCCCACGTATTATCTGTGGCTGCAGCGACAATTCATTGGCAAATTCGGTCACATTCTTAACGAAGTGATCCACGTTCATCTCGTTGCAGGGCGTGTCGACAATGCGAGCGGCAAGACGAATACCACGTGCCGTTTCATGCAGGCACTTCAGTTCATCCCTGCTCAGAGGATCCGCCTGAACGCAGCCATCCTTGTCAATGACAATGAACTCCACATTGACCACTGAACAGTTGGGCTCGCCATCACCAGCATCGCTTAAGGGAGATTTGGCACCGTTCCCGCTGCTGTTGCCCGCTCCCGTTTTGCGCGAGTAGAGGGGAAAGGCACGGACAACGGCACAGGCACTGGCAAAGATATTCTCACGCTCGCAGACCAACACAACGCTCTCCTCGTTCACATTGAGCACATGATTCTTGACCAGGCGCGTAATCGAGTGAGCACGCGAGGCAGTATTATGTCGCGAGGCTTTCAATGGCAACGCTGCCACAGTGGCAACGTCCAGATAGAGCGAGCACTTATCCGTTGGCGCCGGATGCAGGCAGGCGATGGCATTCTTGAATGTCTCCTCGCTGACGCGCGGCTCCAATTTGCTAGCCAATTGGCTAAACTTGAGCAGATTCAAATGACGCAGCTGGCCAATGATCAGCACCGGCTGCACCTGCGGATCTGTGCAGGTGAGCGATGCATTAAACTTGATGTCCGTTGCCATCTGCAATGCGAATGGGAATATTAATCTTGATTTGTTTTCACTATGTGCTACCTGAACACCCCTTATCGGTAATAATTGTGTGTACTAGTCGCATTTATGATAATCCAGATTGCCACTTATAATCGACTTTGCACTGTAAACTTGTGCACATGACACAGTTTGATTGGAATTACTGATTTAACTCCTGTTCTAATCAGAGCGGCCACAATTTCAAATCAATATTAAATCTTAATACATAACATACTTTTAGAAGGGGTTATAATAGTTTCGTGATTAAATACGTCATACTATAAAAAAATTTTTTTTTTTTCAAAAACATTTGTTATTAAAAATTATTCAAAAAACAAAACAAAAACATCAAATTTCAAATTACAAATTGAAGGATTTCAAAAATGAATAATTAAACTAGAATTAAAAATATACAAATGAAACAAAATATCTGAATTGTTAACCATTTGTTAAATTAGCTAAGAAATATGGAACATTTGCAAATTTTACTTTTTCTAGGGTATTTAAAAATCGTTAGCTTTAAGTATGCTCATTTTGTCGCTAAGGGATTGATAACAATTAGTCATAATAATAAATCAAATACGCTTATCTATAAACACCAAAAATAAATAGGAGCGCTGAGGCTAATCAAACTAAATACGTATAATAACAATTAACAATTTGAGGGTGGCAGCTGTCGTATTAGGCACAGCCTGATAAGCTTCTACTACATAGCTAATAAAATGTGTGGGTCAGCTACGTCATCAACGCCATGGCGCATTGACATCGCCAGGCGACGTGACCTTGTAGTTTATGGCAAGCAAAAAAAAATTAAAATAAAGAGTAGACCAACAAGTGGGGCTTTGTACATTTTATGCCGTTGTGTTATTTTTGTATAGATGTACGTTTACTTATGTATATTTGTGCAGTCGAACGAAATAGATAGCGACGCTGACTTTTTATGCAAATGTCTTGTTTATTTTTAGATGTCAAATAACAAGCGTTCGCTCGCTTTGTTCGTAGCAACAACATTTCTTTGTCGCCCCCGTCATCATCCGTGTATGCAATGTATATTTCTTAGTAATATACATACGTATGTATGCATGTACTTACCTTTCCAGAAGGGCTGTGGCTATAGCTACGATGGAATATGCTGCGAATCGCCTTGGCGGTTTGCAAGCAACGCATGAATTTTATATACGTGAAACCGAACTAATTTTAGCTGTCGTCAACTCTTTGCAAACTTCGATGATGCTCTTTCGCCTGCAATTTTTGCCGGCTACCTCTACGATGATTATACCAAAATCATCGATACGTTTACTATACGATAGTTGTGTCACTTCAATATGTGCTGCCACACTTGGCGCACACAATCAAACACCGTAAACTATCTGGCAACGCCACTTCTTATAAGAATTCATTGAATTTGTTATAAATTTCTGAAAAATTTAACTGCGGCTTATCTCTTTCAAATATTACACGCATGTCAACGTATTATGTGAGCAAGTAAGCATAATTATAATAATAAACTGATACCACGACTTTGTTCATCTCTTGCGCTAGAAACAACAGTCTGGCAACACTCGCGCTAATGGAAGCGTCACAAATAAACCTGGAACTGGAATGTAAACGAAGCGCTTTATTTTAAATAAATAAATAAATTGTGTTTAAGCAAAATGACTGAACAATTTGATACACGCAGACGCCTCATGGCTATGTTCAGAAATGAAATGCGCATGGAAAAACTGGAGAATACTATAGCTAAGAAGAGTACGAAATTTCACACCAACTCCGGTATGTAAATGAATCTTCGTCTACAAGCTTAAATAACAATTGAAATAATTATTGTTTGTTTGTCCCGCCCAGCGGCACTTATGACAACGATTGACCTCCAGCAACGTAAATTCGAAAAGCTAAATGCACTGATTACCCGACGCTGCGAGGACATCAACACACGAACCGCATTCACAAGGGCTGTGCGCGAGAAGTTGGCCGAGGAGAGGCAGAAAAATGCCGAGATGCAGGCACAGCTGGAGAAGGCAAATGATGAGCGCATCGAGCAAATGGACTGGTAAGCTCTGAACACTCCCATATGAGTAGATAGTGACCGGCCCCATGGTGCGCTGTGGACCGAGACGAGAGATTGTCGGACACTTGGCTCATGAGACGAGTTGCCGACAAAAAAATGGGCAATTCACATTCTTAATTACAGATAAGAATATAGCTGAAAACGTCGACGTAACTCATTGGCCTATATATCGCTCTCTGAGCGTTGTGCGCACATTATTATTTAAATGCCTTATCTTTTGCTCTTATATGTGTACAGCGTGCGGACTTTGAGCGATGCAAGCAACACGTTCATCAACCCAAGTGCATTGCCAGCACGCCTAAAAGGTGTCACTGTTCTGCGGGAAGAAGGCCGCTGGATAAGCTTAGATTACGACGGTGACGATCTCAAAGGATTAAGCACATTTTGGGCACAGGCGCACAGCGGAAGTGCCAGCCAGAAATGGCAGCAGCTATTGTCAATGGACAAAGCGATAATGCCCACCTTGAATGACAAAGGAAACGTAAATGTGTCTGTTTCATCAATAATTGAGATTGACCTAACCGCCTCGCCATCCCACAAATGATTGCAAACACAAATAATTAATTATGATTTGAACATAATCAATCAATTCGACGTAGTTGCTTATATTATTAGTATTAAACAATCAAATATAAATGTAGCAATAGCTTATCTCGTAATTTGCATTATTTCTAAGATTTGCTGTTCTAGTGTCATTGCAAAACAATCGAAGAGTGTCTTTGTTATAAATAAATAAAATGTCGCATGCCCACTATTTTAAAGTGATTTAATCTAGAATTCACATTTGGTGTGCATTTAATAACAATGATTATTATTATGTGGGTTTTTTTAGCTAATTGTTGAGGTCCATAAATTATTTATTATTTTGTAAATACTTTATTTTTATGTAATCGCCTGCTTTCGCTTTTCTATATTGACATCCCTTATCGTTTACAATAACTGATTTTATATTTTCAAGAGCATCGAGTCTGCTGCCCACCGGACGAGTTGAGTTCATTGTTTTATTTATATTATTTCTAGAATCACCCGATGAATGAGTATCATTTGCTGATTTATAATAGCAGTCGACAATCCATAAATGTTCAGTAATGTCATGAAATTAAACCGGAACGCATGCAAATATGTTAACTCTGCTTCTGCTGGCAACTTGCTCGTTTATATTTCTATATGAATTATATAAATATGCGATCAGTCGTCCTGTCGGTTTTCCGCCGGGTTCGTTCTTTCAACCGATTCGAATCGCGAATTAAACATAATTTGATTTTTCAAATTATCGTTACAGGTCCTCCGCGTATCCCCATATTTGGAAGTTATCTTTTTATGCTGTTGATAAATTACAAATATCTACACAAGGCAGCAATAACATTGAGCAAGTGGTATAAATCCGACATTATTGGCCTATATGTGGGAAATTTTGCAGTTGCCGTCGTCAACAGTGGAGAAGCTGTGCGACAGATCTTAAATAACCAGGTCTACGATGGCAGACCTTCGATATATTTGGCCGAAATGCGTGATCCAGGCAAATGTGTACGAGGTGGGCTATAACATTTTTGACATCAAGAATTACATTTCTTTTCAGTGAATAACTGAGAGATTCCGGTGCCGACGATTCTGAAAATGTTATGATATATAAAATATATTATTAAAAATGCAACCAATTCGAAACACTAAAAGTGTTTTTTTTTTCTACTAAAATCCTAGGTATATTCTTTCAAGAGGGAGTACTGTGGAAGGAACAACGGCGCTTTATCCTTCGCTACCTGCGAGATTTTGGATTCGGTCGTCGATTCGAACAGCTAGAACTGATCATTCAGGAAGAGATAACCGATATGCTCGATCTAATCCGCAATGGTCCGCGATATGAACACGAGCATCTCTTAGTCAAGCCTGGCGGTTATCGGGTGCAGCTACCCTTATTCTTCAATCCCTTCTCGGCAAACAGTCACTTTCACATTGTGTACAACGAGCGACTCCCACGTCACGAAATGGCCAAGTTAGTGAAGCTTGTTCAGTTTGGCTTACAGTTCCAGCGCAATGCCGATGACTACGGCCGTATGCTGAGCATAATTCCGTGGATACGTTTTATTTGGCCCGAGACAAGCGGATATAATAAATTAAAAGAGGCAAGCTTGTTTATTCACAAATACTTTGCAGAGTTCATCGACCGTTATATTAATACCTACGAAGATGGCTGTGAGCGTAACTTTTTGGATCTGTATATAGCTGAGATGAGAAAGGGTCTCCCCGAACAGTACGGATTCAACCGGGAGCAGTTCATTATGGGCTTGGTGGATTTTTCATTTCCTGCCTTTACGGCCGTTGGTGTCCAGATATCGCTACTCGTGCAGTATTTGATGCTCTATCCCGATGTCGCCAAGCGGATACAGTCAGAGATAGATGAGGTTGTGGGTGGTGGTCGGCTACCCACGTTAGAGGATCGAAAGAATATGCCCTTTACGGAAGCCACTATCCGTGAAAATCTGCGCATCGAGACTCTGGTACCATCGGATGTACCACACAAGTCCCTCGTCGACACAGAACTAATGGGCTATCACATACCCAAGGTTAAGCCAAGAATAACGTTCTTTTTAATTTAATAATTTAATTAGAATCTAATTTAAAGGACACCATAATCATACCTAGTCTATATGCCCTACACACGGACAAACGCATCTGGTCGGATCCTGAAAATTTCCGGCCCGAACGCTTCCTGGACGCCGATGGCAAATTGAGCCTCAAGCTGGACGTCTCATTGCCATTCGGAGCCGGCAAACGTCTATGCGCCGGCGAGACTTTCGCACGGAATATGATCTTCCTGATTACCACGGCCATGTTACAGAATTTTGACTACACTTTGGCGCCGGGTGACTCACTGCCTGATCTAACGAAAAATAACAATGGATTAATTATAACACCAGCGGACTTTTGGGTACAATTAAAAGAGCGACAGCATTAAGGCACAAACCGCTTCCAGCTTTTGGAAAAACTGTTAAGACTTTTAAAGCTCTTTAATCCATCTATTTTCTTTCATATTTTAGTTCTTAACTTCAAAATCATTGTCAGAGTCTGTCATGCTTTTGCTACCACGTGTAACTTTTTGTGCAGAAAGTATTTGCTCTAAATAGAGATGTTGTGGCTTTCTATAAGTCAGAGTTTTTCTTTTGTTAATTCCAATGTATCTTTTTCGAAATTTCAAAAATAATTTCCAGATATAAGGTAAACTTTTTAACGCTTTACTTTATTACGAAAAATTGTTGGCCTAATTGGGTTTTTTTCTGAGTATATATCGACTATTTCTTACTTTTACTTTTATATTTAATTATTGTAACTCCACATCAGATCAAATAGTTTTAAATGAAAATTTGTAGATTTTTACGGAAAATAGAAAATAAAAATATAATATGCAATGCATCGATTCAGTTCATCGGCTTATTTTTTATATATACGTCCAGATTATATAAATTGGTTGCATATCGCCGCCGTCTCACAGATGATTGCAACGCACTGGAATAAAATAATTAAAATTAATTCTTTTTATTGTAATCAATCAAACATATTTGCTTAAATTACTATTATATATATGGCAATAGCTAATCTCATCATGTTTTAAGATCGTCTGGCCAGTTGTGTTGCATGGCAAAATACTTATAATTTAATTTCCTGTTTACACTCAACTTAATCGATTGACCGTGTTCATGACCAACTTTATTGAAATATACAAACATTGATTATAATTTGTACTTTTTTTTTTGGATTGATAAATGAGGCCAGACTGCACTAAAGTTTGTGAAAATAATAATCGATAAGAGTTCTTATTAATAAATATAATATATAATATGGTGAAGGGTTAATTAGTTAAGACGTATTTGAAGCTGCGAATGGATAAACATATTTATAGTTAGTTTAATATAATTTAAAAGTTTTCAATAAACTAAACATTAAAAATTGATAACAAGTATATAATGAGTTTATGCAAATTTACATATGTAACAGGCAGAAGAAGGATCTCCGACCCCATAAGGTATATATTATTGATCAGGGTCAAAAGCCGCGTCGATATAGCCACGTCCCTCTGTCCGTCCGTGTGTCTGTATCAACGCGCAGATCTCAGAGACTATAAGATCTAGAGACTTCAAAGAATATAGGTTCTCGTATACCAGACGCAGATCAAGTTTGCTTTATTTTTATCGATAACTGCCTCCGTTTCTCGTAAATCGATGGATATAAATAAAGGCAGAATCTTCTAATTAATACAAAATATATTGATCAACGATCCAAATTTCGTCAAAATCGGATAAGAAAGACCCAAGTTATAGTCGAAAATATATTCTCATATTGATATCATTTCTATCAGCAGCCGCAAGCATTTTCTGAATGCATAAATATGCAGACTTGCTCAAATTTTAGTTAATATTTTATTCTTATGCAATGGGAAATTTTCTCTGTTAAATTTAATATTATTTCAAGTGTCCCCGAATATCGTACGACTATTCTTCTGTTCGACACATGTATGTATATACACACGTGCAGTCTGGGAAACCGTAATCACAAACTTAATTGAAAAATAAGAACAATGTGACACTATCAGGCTCTGCTCTGCTATAATAAGCGCCGACAGAAAAAAAATTTGCAGTTTTGCTACGAACATAAACCGGAACGCGTGCAAAATGTTGACTCTGCTTCTGCTGGCAGCTTGCTCGTTTATATTTATATATCAATTGTATAAATATGCCAACAGTCGTCCTGTCGGTTTTCCGCCGGGTTCGTTCTTTCAACCGATTCGAATCGAACGCAAATTAAACATAATTTGATTTTTCAAATTATCGTTACAGGTCCTCCGCGTTTACCCATATTTGGAAGTTATCTTTTTATGCTGTTGATCAATTACAAATATCTACACAAGGCAGCAATAGCATTGAGCAAGTGGTATAAATCCGACATTATTGGCCTATATGTGGGCCCGTTTGCAGTTGCCGTCGTCAACAGTGGAGAAGCTGTGCGACAGATCTTAAATAATCAGGACTACGATGGCAGACCTTCGCTGTATTTGGCCGAAATGCGTGATCCAGGCAAATGTATACGAGGTATGCTATACATTTTTACAAGCTGACTAAATACATTTTTTCACCTCCCATATATTAGCAGTCGATTTTAGAGATTACTAAATATAGGCGCAGAAAAATACATATGTTATCATCTTATACGGATGAATAGTGTCAATCAATTGAATAATATATTTACAATATTATTACAATAACCATGCACCGATGTATTTTTGAATTAATCTTTCCCTCAAATTGCATGCGATTTTCTCGGTAAACACAATCCTCAAAAACAAGTGAGAACGTTGCAGTATGACGAAATAATCTAATACCATAAGTAATACCAGCTGATAACAGCATTTTGAGAGCGTAAGTGGGCGCGGTCAGAACATTTTTTCGATGACGTTCTTGGTAATCTACTTTCCAAGTTTGGTAACAATAGCTCATAAATTACAGGAGATACATGATTTTATCATTGCCAGGGGCGGGAGTGTGCGTGGTCCTAAAATCACTTTCCAGATTCAGTAATATACCATTCAAATTGGGTGCTCTAGCTTTCAAATTGGGGAAGATATGCACATTTCCGATTTCTAGGGTCGAACTTCCTTGGTGCGGTGGGTCTGGTCGTGGTCTGAGAATTATAATTTACGCGGCTTTCTCGGTTTACACATTTCACTTTCGACGACGGCGTGGCCGTAAATTTTTTATCGCTACTTAAAGGCGGTTAATATACCATTTCGGCGGGTGGCCTTTCTGCATTGGATATGTGCGTCGCATATGCCGATCTTTGAAGGACATCACACACAACCTATCAACAAAATTTGGTGACTGTATCCTTACAATTTTGGGAGATGTGTGGCTTTATTGAAGTACAATGATCGATTTGATCGATTTCCTAGCAATGCTCTGGACGTAGCATTCCAATTTTGAGTATGTGTTCCAAGTTTCCAAGGCTCTAGATTTAAGGGTGTTATAACGAACACGTTGAAGTGTGCAGCAAACTGGAGGCGTACTCCTACGACGCCTACGGCGACGCGACGCCTACGACGCCTTTCGACTGTGCTCAGGGAAAATGGGGTGGGTGCTTTTGCTACCTAGTAAGCTGCCGTGTCACATAACAAAAAAATAGTACAGAATAGCTAACAGAATCCAGACAGAATAGCTAACAGAATCCACTAATGATATATTTAGATCGAAGAACAGATATTTTGATGTTCTTCTTCTTTTACCCGCCCAACCTGTAAAGAATAATACTCGGTGCCTTTACCCTATTAAAGATGCAAAACCATATTTATCTCAGGAGCTCATTAAACTATTTTAATCCATAATTAATTCCTTATATACTTCATAATGATGGTTTTAGTTCCAATATTTTAAACATTAATTTTAGGAGTTTTACTTAATTACTAGTTTTCAAGTTTCATGTTTGACAGGGTTACTTATTTACTAATAATTCATTCAATTTCTTTTTCTTCAATTTGGATCTAATGATATTCCATAATAAACTTATGCTACAAAGGCCATAAATAAATTTTTTTTTCTTCCATCAGTTGTATCATGTTGGTTCATTCAAAGTTCAAGTTAGGCAATAGATGGTTAGTTACCCATTTTCCTACGGAATTAGTACGGGTATCCTTATTGCAAGCTCCAATGAGTCTCTATGTTTTTGATTAAATTGGTTTCCATGATCTTTCAAATAAACGACCCAATCAGACGGAGTTTCGAAGCTTGGGTCTTGGGTCGAAAATCGTAAAAATATAATGGCTATATTCATTGCAGTTATTAGAGGACATTCTCTGCGTGGTACCCTAGCATTGATTGATCTATCATATCCCATCAGACTGCCTACTGAATGAATGATCATATGTGTGACAGGATTGGATTCTGCAGAATATGGGCTTTTTCTGAATAATTTCAACCCCATCATATAAGGAAAGTAAGAATAAACATCAGATTTTTCTTCGCTATCCCTAAGCATCTGGTCTATCTCCTTCCAAGCGGCCGGAACGAATATCCAATGAATGGCATCATGTATTGTGTCAACTCCTAGTCGAACTCTAAGATAATCTAAGTTCAACCAACCAGTTAATCCATTGTTTCGGGTGATTATTGACCCCAATCGGAGACTCTTTAAGGGGTGGTTAGGAAACCTATTTAGAAACATGTCAATGGCACAAACCAATTTAGTGAATTCATCATCCCTAATAAGCTTATCTCCCACTACACGAAGAGATATCTCATCATTCACCTCATGGAAAGCCGAAGTGACAATTGCCGAATGCATCGCTTTGAGAGCATTGTTCTTAAATGCATTAGACATGGAGTCTTTGTCAGCTGCTCGATAGCAACAAAGAAGAGATACAGCAAGCCAACTATCATCATTTACACAGTCGACTCCTTTATCCCCTAAAGGCTCACATACTGCTGCTTTAACTTCTACAGTATGAAGTAAGTCAGTTGCATTAATCGGGCCAACTGGAAATTTGTGTCCATAAGTTTTCCATACCGAACCCAAGTTGTCAATTTCTATCCAATATTGGTGGGAACGCACTTTTCACCGTTTTTTGTATTGATTTCTTTCAATTAATATCAACAAAACGAGCCAAGTTCTTTTCCAATACGAATATTGTTGCGCACGCCATCAATTGCAGAAAACAAAGGCATTGGCCAGAACCAACTGTATGGGCGTCACTACGCAGAGTTGCTTTGAGTCAGAGTTGCTAATTAGGCTGGGAATGGTGCGGCCAACTCGTCATTATCGATCAGCTGTTTACATGTGTACTTACAGGCAGACAGTTGTCACAGTCGCGTCTCAAAAAACGTTACCAGTGCGAATTGTTCTCTTTTTTTTTTGTTTGTTAATATTAATGTGCTTATAGGTACACCACTACAGTGTCAGGCAGTATAGCTCATACGGATGCACAGACGGACAGACAGCATGACGGAGAATTGACGATTGACGCCACCACCGATTCCATTATGTGTTTACAAATATTCTTCCAAGTTGAAATGTGGGATTTTTCATACATACTAAATACACCTGACAATGTGATATTTGCTTATGAAGATCTTGCGTTGGCTACTAGATTTTAAAAATATCAAAACCATTTTGAAATATTAAAAAAATAACATTTCTTATTACACATAATCTTGACCACTATCAGGTGCTAAGCATTTCAATTAATTAAATTATAAAACTAATTTAAGATGACAAATTTTTTTTTTAAATTATTCTTAGGTATATTCTTTCAAGAGGGAGTGCTGTGGAAGGAACAACGTCGGTTTATCCTTCGCTACCTGAGAGATTTTGGATTCGGTCGTCGATTCGAACAGCTAGAACTGATCATTCAGGAAGAGATAACCGATATGCTCGATCTAATCCGCAATGGTCCGCGATATGAACACGAGCATCTCTTAGTCAAGCCTGGCGGTTATCGGGTGCAGCTACCCTTATTCTTCAATCCCTTCTCGGCAAACAGTCACTTTCAGATTGTGTACAACGAGCGACTCCCACGTCCCGAAATGGCCAAGTTAGTGAAGCTTGTTCAGTTTGGCTTACAGTTCCAGCGCAATGCCGATGACTACGGCCGTATGCTAAGCATAATTCCATGGATACGTTTTATTTGGCCCGAGACAAGCGGATATAATAAATTAAAAGAATCAAACTTATTTGTTCACAAATACTTCGCAGAGTTCATCGACCGTTATATTAATACCTACGAAGATGGCTGTGAGCGTAACTTTTTGGATCTGTATATAGCTGAGATGAGAAAGGGTCTCCCCGAACAGTACGGATTCAACCGGGAGCAGTTCATTATGGGCTTGGTGGATTTCTCATTTCCTGCCTTTACGGCCGTTGGTGTCCAGATATCGCTACTCGTGCAGTATTTGATGCTCTATCCCGATGTCGCCAAGCGGATACAGTCAGAGATAGATGAGGTTGTGGGTGGTGGTCGGCTACCCACGTTAGAGGATCGAAAGAATATGCCCTTTACGGAAGCCACTATCCGTGAAAATCTGCGCATCGAGACTCTGGTACCATCGGATGTACCACACAAGTCCCTCGTCGACACAGAACTAATGGGCTATCACATACCCAAGGTTAAGCCAAGAATAACGTTCTTTTTAATTTAATAATTGAATTAGAATCTAATTTAAAGGACACCATAATCATACCTAGTCTATATGCCCTACACACGGACAAACGCATCTGGTCGGATCCTGAAAATTTCCGGCCCGAACGCTTCCTGGACGCCGATGGCAAATTGAGCCTCAAGCTGGACGTCTCATTGCCATTCGGAGCCGGCAAACGTATATGCGCCGGCGAGACTTTCGCACGGAACATGATCTTCCTGGTAACCACGGCCATGTTACAGAATTTTGACTACACTTTGGCGCCGGGGGACTCACTGCCTGATCTAACGAAAAATAACAATGGATTAATTATAACACCCGCGGACTTTTGGGTACAATTAAAAGAGCGACAGCATTAAGGCACATTAACTATATTTCAGAACAACTAATAAACCTCAATCTCTCTCTCTCTCTCTATATATATATATATATATATATATATATATGTATATAACTATCTATATCGACTCTGCTTGTGATGTTAATGAAGGAAATATATATATTATGGGTTCAGAGATGACTTCAATGTGTTACAAAATTGTAATACCCTCCGCAGGAGTATAAGAATGGAATTCGAATCACTATTCGAAAGGATTTGTTGGATATCTGCAAGGGAATTTAATGAATTTGCCGAATAAATTGTTTTAAACAACTTCTCTTTCTCAGACACTTGTGTGTTCGGATTCTTAATTTATTAGCGCATCTTTTTAAATCTTTCATTAAACCAGTTCCAACAGTTTTGCAACATTTCGTTAATCTTAGTTTAAGCTATTAATAGAAGCGAGTAAATATCTCACTGATTATGCATTATCGTTTATTGCTTGATATTCTAAATACTATCTTAAAATATAATTTAGCTTATATGCATGCCACACGTCAATGGGTAATACTGCATGCATCTAAAAACTGCAATCAATACTTAGCCAGGGCTCAGTTGGGCCTTGGTGCATGGCATCAACATATGCACGGGGAGTTTCTCACAACGCTTAACAATTACAATTAAAATTAGTTAGTGTTAAATAATAAACATTTGCTTTAGTGTTGTGTTGAAGTGTTCTATTTAATAATACGCCTGCTTGATAGCCGCGCTCGTGATCAGAAAAGCGGAGCCGATCAAAACGAACGTGATGATTTTTAAAGCGCTGGGCCTACCGGAAGAATCTGTAAGTGCAGTGAAAATATTTATAGTCTTAGTAATTGTATATCGGTATAAAGATAATTCTTACTTTTTTTATTGGGCATTACGCGTATGCATTGTCTATGCTCGGTGCTTGCCTGATAGCCAAATTTGCACTGACAGACAGAGTTGCGGCATTCCACATTCTCAGGATCCTTTTCAACAAAGCACTCTGTGGCCTTCGTACACGGCTCGCCCAAAGCTAAAAATAAATAAATATAGAAAAATTCAATTATTGACTTAACTTTTTGTGCAGTATTCCAGAAGTTATATACGAGTATATCAAATTTGTATGTGAATTTCTTAAGAATATTAAAACGTTTTCTCAATAATTGTAAATTTTCTTGCAACACTTCTTCAGCAATTTTCCGATATTTACAAAAGTTGCAAACAGGCTTTTAAGTAAGCAGCCTTCGCGACCAATTTTCCACAAAGGGTGGGGGTTGGCGGGATGTTAATTTCCATGTATCAACAGCCACTATTGAATTTTTACATGGATCTTTGAACTGCTGCGAAACTTGCAGCTTTATAGCTCTGATGGTTTGGGCCCTGCCTTGATTACCAATGACCAATCGCCAGGTTAATTTCATTTATATGAATTGTTAGAAAATATAAAGCAATTAGATAGATAGATAGGATAGTAAAATCTTACTGCGCTTCACTTCACAGATTCCGTTTTTCTCGTGTTGCTCGTCTGTGCAGCTGCATTTGCCCTCCGCATTGCAGGTGGCCAAAAGCGGCTTACATTGCTCATCCTCGACGCACTCATCCTCAAGTTCCTCCGCTATTGATGGAGTAGAGCATTTAGCATAGCTTATCACATTTGGCCATTCAGTTAACCTACCTTCCTTGTGACACTCATCCTTGAAGTGGACATAGCCACGGCGGCACTGGCAAGAGCGCGTCTGCTCCGAATCTCTGCCTGAATTGCTGTTGCTTCGCTCCAGGCACACCGTATTTTCAGCCGCGCATTCCTCATCCTCTGAGCATTCAGCACCAATGCCTAATACATATAAATGAAAGTTTAGATAATATTTAAAATGTCTCTCTCTTCCGTTAATAAAATTCACAATCTTATCATATTTTTGAAACATTTTTATTCTAGCTTAATTGGGGCGAATGACACCAATTCCTAATGCATTTAATTTAAAATTTAGATTAAATTTGATATGGTTGTCTCTAACTTGAATAGAACTCACTAGCCAAGCGTAATTGGGAGAATTTCCTTGTTTAGCTTTTTTTATTAGCTTTGGCCTTTATCATGTTCTATTTTTATGACTCTTTTTTTAATCTTTCTCTTATCTGTTGTTCTTAATTTTACTATTTTACAATTTAATACTTTAGATTAATTTTTTGGGGTTTTTCTGGGCTTCCCCAATCCTTCCAATAAAAGTTGAACCATTTCACATTTTAACACCACCATTTAATATTTATTATTTGTTGAAGTTTGCTTGCATTTTAAATTCCTTATTTGATTACTCCCCCTTATTGTACTGTAATTTAGTTGATAACTGCTATTAGTTCCTATTAAATTAATAAATAAATGTGGATCAAATTATGATCGACTTACCTGCCACGCACTCTTCGTTGTTCTCGAAATAGTTGTCGCGGCACACACAGAAGCGATTTGAGCAAATGGAATGATCTACTAGACAGCCATCATTAGATTCACACTCGGCACCTAGGCCATCTTTGTATTCACAAAGCTGACTGATTTCATTGTACTGAGCGTATTCCTCGCATGTGCAGCGTCTGGGTATCTGTGGGCGGCAATAGGAGGCTCCAAAGGGACTACATTGGCTGTTCGATGTGCAGGATAAATGATACTGAATGGCTGCAAAAGTGATTGAAATAATATTAGATATTGCACTTATATAATCATATCAATGATGATGATACTCACGTTTTCTACAGTTGCGCAGGTCACGTTCGTAAAAATAGTTCTTTTGGCATATACAAGTCTTGGACAACTGCTCGAACTCATATTCACATTCGTCACTGCTCTCCGCTATCTCACCGAGCTCTATCCATGATTAGAAAATACTGTAATATAAGCGCCACAAGTGTGCTAAGTGTACAAGATATTCCTTACCTGCAAAGCATTTAGAGTTCCGCGGATAATATCCCTGCTTACACAAACAGATCTTGTTTGTGCATATTGAGTGGGGCAAGCCGGGACACTGTTTGCCCATGTCCATGCAGCTGCTGCCATCTAAATATGATATTTAATTCGTATAACAATTATAATAAAATACTACAACTTACACTTAAAAATATAGTGAATATAATTAATAAAATATCACATATTATGTCAGAAATTATATTTTTATTAAGAATAAATTCAATAAATAATTTAATAGGAAGTGAGATGGAACTTTTAACTTCAAGATGTCCGAAATAGATTATGAGAATTTAAAGATGTAATGGAAAATGATTTCTATTTGGTCTACTCTGCACTGAAGTGCTTAAGTAAGTATAGTAAAGTCATCTTCGCAAATGGTATATAAATATTGGACCCAGCATGGTTTCACCGTTGATTAAGGAATGAAGGTTAAGTAAAAGTCGATTTGAGATTAAATACAACAAAACCATTAAATCATTATGATCAATGGACGATGGTGGAGATATGAGAATTGAAGTTAATTTTTCAGTTAAGAGTAAAAGAGTAAATCAACTCAATTACCAATACATACAATTATCGAAATTATTTAAAAAATCGGATAGGGGAAAAATGTTCGATTTGCGCAAAGCAATGCATTTAGTATTTTCAAAAAGAAATTAGATTGAAAAGATTATTTGTACATTGTAGTTTACAACATTGCTCGTTATGAAGTTAACAAAATTAAAACACTAGTGTATTTTTTATATTATAAAAAATATATATTATAACCATTTTTGAAATAATCGCAATACATCAAAAGTGCAGTCAACTTTACTAAAGCAAAAAATTAAAAACAAAAAAAAGGATTACATTTTTAACTATAAGAAAGTAGTTTAAATAAATAATTAAAATATGAGTAAGTCTAACCATAAGAAAATATTTAAAAATTTCAGATCAATTTTTCCATGTTTCTCCAATTTATATTAAATTTCGATCTAAGACGATTCTATAAAAAATATATGACTTTATGGATATGATTTCTAGAATGCTTTAAGCATTTTGTGGGACATTTCTAATTTCTCAAAGTTTATAAAGTTAAAGTTAAGTATATAATTACAATGCATACTTACACTTTTTCTCATCGAGATCATCGTCATCGCGACTCGATCCCAGTGTCGAATATGTTTTAATATCCTCATTATCATAGCGAAAGATGGCAGGGAAACGGGGACGATAGTTTTGAGTGTTATTTGAGGTTCGTCGACTGCTTGTCGAGGTGGTTGTAGTTGCTGTTGCCACATTACGGAAACTGCGGCCGAGATCTTTCAGTTCGTAGCTCTCGATGCTCGTCTGCACGGCTATTTCACGGGAGCGACGAGGTATCGATTTGAGGAGCTCGCTGTCACCGTTGGTCAATGAGAGCGTCGCCTGGGCGGCGACATCTTTATGTGTGGGCGTGGCATGGACAAAGGCTTTGGCAAATAGCTTCCTTCCGTGCTTGGAGCTGGAACTTGGTAGGATTGTTGTGGTTGGTGTCTCCGGTTCAGTTGTCTCTGTGTTGGGATCGTCTTTGGTTGTTTCCTGATCTACAGTTGTAGTCTCCGTACTGTTGTCATCGGGTGTGGTCTCAATATCGTCGGTTGTTGTAGTGGTGATCTCATCCACAATAGTACATTTCAGATCCACACAGGCAGCAGTAGCGTCCAGTGCATCACAGTCCGCATCCACGACGCATGCATCGTCCCTTTCTATTGCAAACAATGTTGATTATGTGTTCTAGCAATGTTTAAATAACACTCATACCCATTGATTTGCGACGGCATATGTTTCCATATCTGTTATAATAGCCATTTGCACAGCCGCAGACGTTCTCCTGACAGCGCACGGATGCTCGATCGTATCCAAAATAACAGTCAAAGTCCTGTCAATAAAATGGAGGAGTGTAAAGCAATTGTGTAAAAAGTTTCGATAATGAGATCAATATTCGAATTCGATATTGTTGGAATTTGTCCAGTTGATCAACAATATGTCAGTAAATATTGTGTACCAATTACATTGCAAATTCGGCTGTTGAACCTGACCAAGAATACATATACCTATGGGGTCGGAGATGCTTCCTTCTACCTGTTATATACAGCTGCACGTTCAGGGTATACAAATAATAACTAAATAATTTAAAATTTCCTGCGGTTTGTCGAAAACTCAACCAAAATGATTTCTTTTGGTGCCGGTATAATTTTTCTATTACCAAACGTTTTTTAAAACTCAACCGATTTGACAAGGTTCCGTTTTTTATCTCGAAAATACTACCCACACTGCAAGTTTGAAATACAATTTTCGGTTTATGTAATAAATCACATCCAAACTTTAAATATAATTTTTTTTTGTGTATTTAAAGTGTTCTAAAATTCTTAAAATAAATTATCGTAAATTATTAGAAAATATTTTTGTGTGAGTTTCTATATATCAGGGAAGACTCTCATCTAGTTTATGTGTAGCACAATGTTTCACTTCCTTCCTTAGCAGTGAGCCCTAACTTAATTTTGTTTATTTATTATTATTATATTATTTATGTTATTATTATAATATGTATATGCCTACCGTTTCGCAGGGCTCGTTGAGTCCATTCACTGGCCTACACTTGCCACGTAGATAGGTTTGGCCAACGTCGCAATCGCAGACCCCGGCTTTACAACTGGCTCCCGTTGGCATAAGATTGCATTGAACGGATTCTTGGCATGCGTCACCAAACAGCGAGTTTGTCAAGCATTGGCTAAAGTTCTCCGAGAAGACCGAATCGAAACTGGAGCACTGACAGAGACTCGTGTCTGGGTCACAGCTGGAGCCATCAGCTGTGCAGTCGACATCGCTTTCACATGGCCAATATACGGCAAATGCACCGCCTTCTCCTGTAACGCATTATTATTATTGTTTATTGAACAAGTTTCACGTTTTCACGTTTCGTTTTTCATCGACGATCGATAATCAATGCTCGTCGTCGAAACTTAACTAACTATGGTGACTTTAAATAATTTAATAACATAAACTTAAATATAATTGTAATGGCGCTTTCCTACAGTAACCAACAAAAATAAACTATTTCTATTTTAGTTTTATTTATATATGATTTGCTATTGATTTGTATTTAATTTGGGTTAGTATGTTTACTTCGTATTTATTTTTAGTTTATCAATAAGAATAAACTGCTTGTCCATTTTAGGTTTGCTCAATTATTTGAATGTAAAATAAGCTAGAATATGTCATACATTTAAGAAAATAGTTCAAAGTTAATTTGCTATTTTTATTTAAATATTATATATTTAATTTTTATCGGTATCATTTGTTAGACATTCATAAAGTCCATCAAGAAACAGAAAAACAACAACAATCTGCACCACGTTTGAACTACGTTATCAGCTAGTAATCAATTAAGAAAACGAATTAAGCCAATTACTTCGCTAGCATGTGAGCCAACTTAGTGCTCAACTGTTAATTAACTTATTAAAAATCCAACTTTCAGCTTTAATGTTTGCGATATTTTGCGGCTGTTACGGTTTCTAGCACGCAAGCGAACCTGAAAAATGTATTACGTATACGCAAACTACTTCCGGTTGTTCAACAAAAAAATCGTCAGTCGCAATAAATATTTTTGACTTGCCGAAGATTTAATACCCTTGCTGCCGCCAGAGCAGTATAATTTAAAATATAATTGTTGATCTAGATAAATAATAGAAATCTTGTCAAAATATAAGCTGAGAAATATTTGAGATAAGCAGACATACACACAATATATATGTAGTATATACTTTTGTATCTCGAAAATACATCCATCAGTGCGCTACATATTGCATGACGAACTTTAAATACCTTTTACAAGTATATTAAAATGCGCATATAAAACAGTTTTAATTCAAATAACAGCGCTGAAATTTGCTCGTCACTTTGGCACTTTAATTTCCATTTTCCGTGGCCTGCGAAACAATTTCTGTAACTCCAAGGACCTTCGAGTAGGCGGTTTGTTGTTGTCGTTTTGTTTTTTTTTTTTCGTTATAATTTCATTTTGCGTAAGGTAGGCACTTGGGTCAATAGGGCAAAGCACTTGACCTTGATTGCGTTTGCATTAATTACTTATGTTGTTTAATATTATGACTGACTTGGCCACTGTTATTGTTTTTCTTTTTCTTTGTCTTTTGTTATTTTTTTTTTGTTCTTTTATTATTTGAACACCAATTTGGCTGCCCTTTTGCGGACCTCACACTCTCTTTTCTTTTTTTTCTGCACTGAACGACAACTTTAATTCAATTACCAAACATTGGCCACAATGATTTGAATGATTGAAGTTTGGGTTTTCTAAATTGCTTATTTATGTGTCTGCGTTCATGTTGTTGTGTATCTGTGTGTGTGTGTGCGTGTTTATACCTTGTGGATTTAGCAGGGCGCACAGGACACCAAGTATTAAAAAAAGATTCAGTTTTCCCATTATTTTTACACACTGAGACTTAAACAGCACACACCGGGCCAACGCCAAATCGTTACTAATATATGGCCAATAAGTGGCTGTCGGTAGTAACTCGATGAACTGCCAGATAGCGACAATCTTATCGGAAGTACGAAAATGTACACCGATTTGGATTTCACAGGTGTTTTATTACCCATTTACACATAATCGACTAAATTTTCAGTGTATTATTTAAGTAAATTCATCAAGTTTGGATTGAAGCCAACTTTAATTGTTACCAAGGCCTGCCTTAACTACAAATTACATATACAATAGTTGCTAATCTCTGGCAGCCTGTCTTTGTCTTAATCAGCCACATTGCGACAAGAACCTCACTTATCAGTATCTAACACCTGGCTGTGGACACCTGTTCAATCGTTTATTGAGTACTATTAACATTTTATAATTTTACTTATTCCAATTAATGCTAGAGCTGCAGCTAAAAGATTAATGAATTTTTTCGATGAGTTAATTTATTCGTCATCGTGTCTTAAGTATTTTTCCAACCACTTTTATGAATAAGCTTCCCACGTCTCTTGAAAATGCTTTTCATTAACTTTACAATCTCATTAATTAGCCAAAACAGTAGCTTATCTTATTGTCTTCATACATTATCTTACTTTGTAAAAAAAAGAAAACATGAATATCGAAAACTGTATAATAAAACTGATTATTATTAAACATTTACATTTATAAAGTCTTTTGATAGGTTGACATTTACTCATTCTTTAGCTCCATTAAAGTTACTTATTATTCTTCATTCTTAAAAAAAGAAAGAACAACATATGCTTTAAATATATACCAAAATCATAACTTGTGCTAGTCTATCTGATTATATATAAATGTTTTCTAATTTCTGATAGCCATATGATGATGACGTATTAGGAAAACCCTAAATCGATAATTCCACCAAAAGGTTGAGCAGCTATTCTTGTATACAATGCAAATGTTAGATATGTTGATGTATATATATATATATATATATATATATATAATAATAACATAAGCGCCCTTGATAATACAATTGTTGCATAGACTACCATTGTTAACTACTATTTATTATGTATTTATAATACTATGTCGTATTATGCACATATCAGCAAAATGGAGCACCCAAATATAGCACAAAACATATTTCACGAGCTAAGTGTGGGTGTGTGTGTGTGGGTGTGGGTCTGAGTGTGTGTGTATCTGTGTGTGTCACGAACTGAAGTCATAGGTGCTTTGCTAATTGATTAACTGATCATTGACAGCATATTCAACATACGCTTGAAGAGGGTCTTATAAATTTGTAATGCACTCCGGTTGCATGTTTATATTTCTCAATCGGGACTCACAGCAACATTTGTTTTGTACTATATTTTATATATGAACATAGGTGTAAAAGAATTATTAGTATTAGAAACACGCCTCGGCATTAGTTAACTAAAGCCAAGTTAAGTCTGGAGAAAATGAAAAGGTTTATTGGGCCGCACCCAATTTCTGCGGAATGTTTGTGTTTGTCTGTTGGCTTCCTTGTTGTTTCATTCACTAAGCCTCAAACTGTGTTAGACCAATTTTTTATATTATTTTGTTTTGTTTTTTTTCTTTTTTCTTTTTTTTTGTCTTTTGTTTCTTTTGTAAAATGACATTTTGTGGCTGTTAAAATGCTCAGCCACGCACGCAATGAAAGTCAAATACCAGCGACAGGTGCAATCAAGGAGAGTCCTGCCAGTTAAGTAAATAAAGCCTAGTTTATATTAGGTGCCCACACACATACATCTACGTTATTATGTATAACTAAAATTTTTGATGCAAGATAAATGTTTCAAAAATGAAAATGCACTATTAATTCCTAGAAATATATTTATTATTTAAATAGAAATATATTTTTTATTCATGTATATAAGAGATATTTAGCTGTATTTGTTAAGCATTTTATTTTGATTAACAAATATGTCCTCAAATTATTTCGATTTAAACAAATTCAATTATGATCCTTTGAAAAAAGTTCTTTTATCAGAGTTGTTGAGCAAACTTCAATTCAATACACATTTGGCTAAATAATACGAATATATGACGAGCATTATAAACATAGTTATGATTTTGTTGTACTAAATAGCCGTTTATTAAAGTGTGTATGTAAGTGTGAACTATAATGAGTTATAGTGTGTGTGTGTGCGTGTGTGTGTATTTGTTTGTCACATGTATGAGCGTCATGCCTACAAACACACACACACATTTCATATGTAGGACAGTTATATTATTTTTGGTTTTTTTTTTTTTTTTTTTTTTGTTTTTGCTTCTTGTTTGTGGGTATAATGAATTGGAATGCGGCGGACAAGCGCGTATAATGACCTCCACGACCCTTCTTTCCTTTTATTGTAACACACATTTGAATTCCACTTACGACATATATTTTTATTCAATCAATATTCATTAAATTTTCCAAAAAAAAAAACTTGTAATTATCAACACAAAACTTCGCGGTCGGATGACAGCACTGAGACTTTTTCTTTTTATAATATATATGTCGTTCTTTAAGGTTAAATATGTGAATTGCTCTTGTTAGATGGCATTTGATTGGTATACAACTTTGAAAACTTTAAACACACACATTTCCACTACGAGACACATTTCGTACATGTTGAGTATGAAATATTAATTGCCATTAAAAGAAAGCATTGCATACTTTTGCGCGCATGCCGTTAAGTTTTAATTCTTGAGCGAACCGCGCGTCAAATTCGTTTGATCCTTTCGTCGTAAGCTCGTCCGCGTGACTGTTTTGAACATTCGCCCATTTGGCTTCAATTGCATGCGGCACACCTGAGCACACAGATAGACAGAGAGAGACAGAGAGACTGAGAGAGAGAGATAGAGAAAAAGAAAAAGAGAGTCCTAGAGAGAGAGAGAGAGTATAAGAAAACTGGCACACGAATAGCGCTCTAAGTTTATTCTTCGGCTGCGATTGAATGTTTTTTGTTTTTTTTTTGTGGGAAAAAGCAACAATTTAGTATGTGTGTATGTGTGAGTTTGTATATCGTATATTTCGTGCCATTGATGTATGTAAGTGTGTGTGCGTGCTGAACTATTACATAGCTCATACAATTACACTTGCAGGCTGTAATTTGAAAATCACAAATACGTAATTGATATCAAATGTTTGCAACTAGGCACGCAGTATTCAAATTATGTTTGACAAAACTTAATTAGTAATATTGTCAATCTAGAATTATGCTTGAATTTTAATTAGTATTGTTAATTGAACGACAGAGCAGAAGCTATTGGAAAATCTGTTAATGTTGCGCTCTCTGCGCTCATTAAGCGGACACCTATTAAAATGTCTAAGTACGAAGAAATTTGAGCTTATTTAGGTCAAGTGGTTACTGAAGCGACAACCTGCATACTGTATATGGGTTAGTCCTGTGCAACAAATCGAAATAAAATAATGGTTGAAATTGGTCGACACAAAAAATGCTCAAAAAGGGGCTACCCAAACACGGCCAGCGAGGGGCGTGAGACAGATAGAATAGAATTGGAATTTTGTCTGTGTTGGCCACATTATCACACACTAATACTAACTAACTGCCAACTGCCATGACTAACTAATTTTGTTGGCCGGTTGAGTAAAAGTTTCCATTGTGCCTGTGTGTGTGTGTGTGTGTTTGTGTGTGTGTGTGTACTGTTTTGCTAGTGTGTTCCTATTTGATAGCTCAACACACTACAATAGTTAGAAGTAGAATTGAGATATTATTCCAGCTTTGCATTATTCAGTAAGCGAAGCACAACGTTTTAGACAAATGAGCAAAGAGTATTTTCTATCAAATATAGTAAAGAATGACACGTTGCAAAATGATTATATAAAACATAGAATATAATTAAGTAAACTGTTCTAACTTCGATATATTTAACATACAACATTTATTTTCACACATCTTAACATTGTCAAAGATACAACTTAATTTGAAAATGTTTTTCGCTGGCTCAAAGTACTGTGTTTTTTTTTTATTATTTTAAGTTGCTCTGATTTATTTCTATTGGAGTTTGAAGCTTTCCCTGAAGGCGAGTCCTGAAATATGTAGGAGTGTATAATAAAAGTAAAAAAAGCACTTGACCTGAAGCCAACGAAAAATATGTTTAAATTATAAAAAAGATATTACCAAATAATATACGATAAAATTGAACTAAATTTAGTTGTAACCTTGTCATTTGAGTTTGAGTTTTAGAAGAGAATTTATTCACGAAAATAGCCAGAGCACGTGGCTAAGTATGCCAGATGCAGTCAAGAGCCCAATCCAAGGCCAAAGAGAAAATAACAACATATATGGCATATATACTTTCAGCCAAGTCTCTGGGCGGCCATCACTTTTAACATTTCGTTTGGTTGTTTACCTGGCTCCCCAGTTTTTATGTGATGTGTTAAATTTTTCATACTATTTTCAGCTCAAATATTATTATAAGCCATATACATACGACATTCATTTGGCATTTTCATGCGAGTGTTAAGCTATTTTTAGGCCCACAAAAAAAAAAAGAAATAAGGGACAACGTGTTTAAAGCTGGGCAGCACACGCGAGCCATGTTGGCCAATGACTATGCAAATGCAAACAGTGCAGCACCCAGGAGAGCCAATGATAGCATATGCGCTTTTCAGTGGCAACCACAAAGCAACAACAGCAACAACAACAGCGACAATAGACCATAACAGAGCGACATATGCGTTGTATAAACCAAAAATCAATCAAAAAGTCAGTCACGAGTATATAGACCACATATATGTGTGGCTGTATGGAGTTTAGCACCTTGTGGAACCACCCATTTGTCGCCTATTGGGCGTCGCATATGCATTGGAAATGAGTGCACAGCCGTTGCCCACATTATAAAAAATTCAAAGTTTTAATCGAAATATAGCGTAACGACAACAACAATGAGAACAAAAAAAAAAGAGAGCAAAAAGAAACGACGACAATACCTGTACCAACATCGACCATAACAAAAATAGATTCCAATGTCCAACATCCATGTCGTGTACGTGCTGCAGCTCAACCGATATAAATATAACTAGATGTCCATGGGCGTAGCCTAAAAGGGGAGAAGTTTCCCTTAGGACTCTAAGGATTAAACATGGGCATAACTCAACAGATTAAGTTTGTCTTCCATTCTGTACTTAAGTGTTGCTTAGGTCTCAATTTGTGGGCCCCCTTTACTAAATTCCAGGCTACGTGCATGCCAAAAGTAGTATATTTGTGTGTGGTCAACAGCAGCTAAATGCCAATTGCACTGCAAGCAGCAGTGGGCCAGGTCGCGAACCCAAACCTGGATATTGCCCTACACAAACTGAAATGCGAGAATCGTTTTTCACCCTTGCGCTGAAAAGTTGTTTTTCGCATTTTCCATGAAATCTAATTGGCATCAAATTGTGGTGCAAAATTTAAGCTAAATGAAAAACTACGAAACTATCTTTGACACGTCGAAGATTACATGACCTAGCAGTGGCTCAACTCGATCCCACAATTTAGACCTAATTGTTATATGATATAGTGATCCGATCCAAAAGACGGATATATTCCAAGTTTCATCCAGTTATTTTTGAAACTGAGAAACTAATTCGCATACAGATGGACAGATAATGATGCTTCTCAAGAATATATATACGTTATGAGCTCTTAGATGTCTTTAATGCGTTACAAACTGCACCACAAAACTATAATAGTCTCTACAAGTGTATAAATAATAAATATTAAGGAGGCTTGGTTGAAATGCTAAATGCTTAGTGTTTGGCGTGTGAAGTTTGTCGCACCATATTTGGCAGAACCCTCCACACCCTCCCCCTCTCTAGCTGACACGTAATTAAGCTCGACCATGACTAATTACGATTGGCAAAATGCCACCGGCACGTGCCGGACTCCAAGCACGTTGCATAAAAAAATAGTACGTAATTTGCATAATACTTGGAAGTATTTTGGGAGAGGGAACAAAATATTAGAATAATGAAGCAAAAAAGTTGAGAAAACTGTAGTGCAAACAAATTTATTGAAATCTAACAAACTCAAAACTTACCTGAAAACTAAACAAAATCAATATTGAAAAGTGTTCAACTCGACTAAATCGAAATCGATATCATTAACACTTGCTTATCGATTGAAATTCAGAGTCGACATCGGAATCTAAACATACATTTAAAAATTGTTTTGAGGACCCAAATAACAGAATTGATATTATTTGTCCCAAAACATCGTATGGCAACCATCATGTTTAAGGTAGTATATGAGAACATATATCTCAATTATGAAGTCTTTAGCACTTATAGTTTCTGAGACTGGAATTGTTCACTTTTTACACAGGTTCAGGCCATAACAAGAAAAACATTTATTTTAGACAACATATCAAGAAAAAACGATTTAAATTTACTCGATCGATTTATAAGAGGGTTTGTAGCCACTGCTAACAGCTCCTCACAACAATACTAAATAATAAGATCGATCGATCAGCTAGAGTTATGCGAAACGACTCATTAGCCCATTATCAAGAGACAGAGAGAGGGAGAGAGAGAGAGAGCGCTGCTAAAGCTGGCTGCTGCAGATCAAACTGCTCTTAAAAGTGCATATGTAATTTCAACTAACAATAAACTATTCATATTATGCCTCTCAGGGCGCCAAATTCAAATATATAAACAATTCATTAAGATTAAAAGTTCTTTGCTGCTACTGCCAACATTATTATTTACTATTTATTTAGTAGGCTCCAAGTTACTATAAATTCCATTCCTTGCTTTTAAAAGTTATGACTCTTTAATAGACCATCATTAATTTACAACAAACAAAAAAACATTTGGCAAAAAAGTCCGAAAGTATGTCGTTAAATTATTAAATTATTGTCGGTTCATTCAAAAATTACAGTAGCAAGCAATAAGCCAAACTTTTAACTTTAAGGTTTATGAATACTTACTTCACATCATTTTATAACTAATAATACGAGGTAACAACAAAATGTATGTGTAAAAAGGGTATAATGGTTTTGTGTAAAAGTATACATGTATGTATATTCTTGATAAGAGTCAACAGCCGAGTCGATATAGCCATGCTCGTCTGTCCGTCCGTCCGTCTGTCTGTATGAACACGCAGATCAGAGAGACTTTTAGAGCTAGAGACTTCAAATTTAGAATATAGGTTCTTGTATACCCGGCGCAGATCAAGTTTGCTGTATTTAATCGATAACTGTCTCCGATTTTCGTATATCGATACCTTTAAATTTCCGATAACAATAAATGCTACAATTTTAAAAGCAGAATCTTCCATTTAATGCATATTATGCATATGCATATTATTGATGAACTAACCAAATTTCATCAAGATCGAATAAGAAAGACCCAAGTTATAGTCGATAATATATTCTCATATTGATCTCATTTCTAACAGCAGCCGCAAGCATTTTCTGTATGCATAAATATGCAAACGCATGTGTAAGAAAGAGATGGCATAATAATCGACGAGGATCAATATATTTTTCTGTGTATGCAGCAAAGCCCCGTTACCTACAACTGCGTGTATGTGTTGTAGGGAAATTTTCCATTAAAACTAGAATATATTTAACAGGGTATATCGTAGCTAGCTCACTCGACTACAGCGCTCTTACTTGTTTAGTATTTTTTCTTATGCAGGGCACTATGTTTTATATTTATTTTTAAATACATACGTTTATTTAAATTAATTATGCTAATATTAATTTGACAAATAAATTAATTACATTTTAAACATATTTATATTACAATTTATTGCACAGTGTAAATTATTTAAGATTATAAAAAATAAACATTATTACATTATTACACAAAGCATTTTACATTTTATTGACCAAGCCAAACGTTAGCTGTGTCAATAAATCTGAAGTTGAGCGAACAAGTGCAGAACAGAATTGGAAAAGTAAAGAAACAGAGAGACAAAGGCAGAGAGAGAGAGAGAGAAGGGGAGAGATAACGGGAGACAGCAGTTATCAGCTGATATCGTTAGGCTTTGATTTTCGGGTATTTGATCTCATCTCGCTTATCTGGGGATGCCTTCTGTTGTTTTCTTTCTTGTTATACCGTTACATATTTGCAAAGATAAACGCTTAAGCGCTTGATAAACGCGCCAAGTAAATCGTGACAATATTGCAAATTGTTTCACATTTTACAACTCAGTTAGTTCAATGAGTCGAAAGCGCAACGTTCATCGCTTCGACCAATATAATTGCATTTGTTTTTTTTTACCGTGTCAGTATTAAGATCTTTAATATGGTGATCAGATCGTGGAATGTGCCCCATTTGGGTGGGCAACATCCTGGCGCCGACAAGCATAGTCCCCTGTGGGGCTCCGTGCGTCTCACCTACACTTTATGTGCCTTTCTCACCAACATGCTGCAAATGGGCATGCGAAATATGCTGGGCCTGGTCATTTTGCGTATGGTCAAAGCGCGCCCAGAAGATGTCCTGTTGCAGCACTCAGCGTTGGCGTCGAATCAGGCTAATAATTTGACTGACTCGCAGGTTTGTGGCAGCGGCGTGTGGCACAATGCCAGCTTGGAATTGGTTGAGGCAAGTGTTTGTTGTTATTGCAATCATTTCGGGAATTGGATTAATTATTTTATAGTAGACAGGTGATTTGCCATGGACCCGTAACCAGGAGCTAACGTTTCCAGGCGTTTTATACTATGGCTACGTTATTGCGCTGCCATTGGCAGGACATTTGACGGATCGATTTGGTGGCAAGGTGCTCTTCATCAATTCGATGACGATGCAAGCCTTGTCCTATATTGCGCTACCGGTTATGGCCGAATATAGTTATGTTGCCGCCGTCATTGTTATGGTCTTTTCTGGCATCTTTGCGGTAAGGATATCAGTTGTTAAGTTGTGCTTATTCAGTGACAACTGAATTAACCGTTCCTGGTAAATTGGGTTCATTTGCTAGGGTTGCGGCTCACCACCTTTGTACCAGCTGTTCTTGGTCTGGGCGCATCCCACGGAGCGCACCTCGATGTTATCCTTTGCATACAGTGGCCTGATCGTCGGCTCAATCGGCATATATCCGCTGGCGAGTTACTTGAGCGATTTCGGCTGGCGAGTTCCGTTCTATGTGCTGGGCAATGTGGCACTCTTATATGGCATTAGTTGTAATTGGCTCATTTACAATACCCTCGAACAGCATCCACGTCTGACTGATGCTGAGCGTGACTATTTAAAGCCCAAAGATTTTGCACAAGCGCCACAGGTGGGTGAATGATAAAGGCAATAATTAACATTACTATATATTCATATTGATTGCTTACAGCATTTGAGCATACCTTGGAGATCGTTGTTGACCTCAGTGCCTGTTTATGCATTTATGCTGACGCATGTCTTTCACAATTGTGGATTCCTAGTGTTTTCACTGATAATGCCACGTTTTATGCAAGAGGCCATGCAGTTCAATATGAAAGAGGTAAGTTGCATACAACTGAAGTAACTATTACCTAGATTGCCATAGGTCATATTTGTGTTACATTAGATATTAATTCTTAAAAGTGGAAGTGCCTTTTAAACAAAAATATAATCATTTTGTATTTGTATTTCTTCCTTTTTTTCTTATCCAATAAATATATATATTTATTTACTTTTCTAAAATTATTTATTTTCTATAAAAAAAAAAGATTATATATTGTTCAATCTTTTCTGCAGTGATTAAGACTAAGATTTTTATGTTTTTGATGTTATGCATATAATGAGCTTTTAATATGCATATACGTTTAATGTTTTTAATGCTCCGCTTCACTGCTGTACAGCTCAGATAAATCTTAGGATCAAGCTTACCATTTCACCAAAACAAAATTAAATTTGCTTACAGATTGGATTTCTCTCGTCGGCTCCATTTATCGGCAGCATGCTCTCCAAATTGATTTGTATTTTCAGTTGCTCCTATATAGAAAGACGTTTGTTCTTAAATCTCGGTCGCCTGCGTCGTCTTTTGTATGCCGTCTGTAAGTATTTTTTGAGGCAGATAAATCAGTTTTAACCTCCAGCTAAAATCGTGCTGTTTTTTATAGGCACCAGTGCAACAATAGTTTTAATTGGAGTCATCATCGTTGCGAGCTGTCAGCAAAAAGCACTCGTTTTACTTATTTTTGTGCTCGTGGGAGCTACAATGGATATGGGCTTTAGTGGGGGCTATTGGCCCACTTTATTGTATTTTGCTCCTTCATTTGCCGGTATGATTTCAGGCCTGGCCAACAGTCTGGGACACTTGTCTGGATTTCTGGCACCACATCTTATCGCCATTTTGGTGCATACCGTAAGAACTTATGCTATTTTCCATGCAAACTCCTCAGTTAACTTTTTAAAATTATTTTATAGGGTATTAAATCGGAATGGAATGCTGTTTTACTTACACTGATGCTTTTTAATGCTCTTGCCATAATTGTTTTTGGACTTTTTAGTAGTACGACACTGCAGACATGGGATCCCCGAAGCCAAAAGTCTAATCTTACTAATTCGACTCAAGAAACCACAAATTAGTATTGAAAGCAGAATAGTTCCTAAATCTAATCGATAATCAAGTGTATATGTGTGCCAAGTGCGTCCAAACTTTTGTGTATGTTTGCATATGTATTATTTAAGTGTACATTTTAAATTATTTGGCAAATGTTATTTCTTATTCACACTGTTATGGTTTATTGTTTTTGGGCCTGATATACTTTGCTATTAATAACTTAACATTAAAAATGTGTTAAAAGCCCTATGCAACACAATCACAAAAATCAATAATTGTTAAATATTAAAAGGTTTGTTCCTTAAGGATAAGATTCGAAAAATAAAGTCATTTGTAAGAATGTGTTGTATGTGTATTCAATCAGAATTCACCACTTTAATTTATGAGTAATACTAATAATATTAATTGCGAATTATTTTGAAATATAAATATAATATATCATGCCTCTATTAATAATAACTAAAATGGGGACTTAAAGAATTAGTTAAGATTAAATTATTATATTAGATTAACATCTATTTTCGCCACATTTCCTCTATTTTCTGGTCTTTGTCCGCCTCTACAAAAATTTTTTTAATGCGAACCGTTTAAATTCGATACTAAGCATTTTGCGCCTTTTCTTACAATCTAAGTCATCGATTATTTAGTATACAATATTGTTCTGGCATCGATATATTCCAAATATATCGATAGTTTAAAGTATCGTTGAACGTTTGTATCGATTTGATTGATGCAAAACAGCTGTACAAAATGTATCGGCTGTCAGTTTTTGTTTTATAAATCATTTTCGATTCGTTTGCTTGACGTTCATGAACGCGTTGACGCACACAGCATTTGAATTGGTTTCGCAATAGAGTAATTCGCGTATTGTCTATTTGAATGCAACAATAAATTGTTAGTGTAATCTCCCTTTAACTTTTGCAACACAAAATTCTCAGTGGAAGATCAGCAAAGTCGCACATCACAGACTTCACTTTTGGCAGCTCTTCAAGCAAATTGCAATGTGAGTACAACTACTAAAACCAGAGCAACAACAACAACCAAAAAGCGACAGCAGCGAACAAAAATAATTGTTGCTGCTACTTTAGTGTTAACTAAATCATTAATATTATTCGCCTGTGCGGAGCCAAAGAAAGGCGGAAGCTAAAATTAGCAAGTGAAGTACTTCCTGTTTGTTATTGTGGGTATTTTTCTCTGATTTCCGCAAGCTATATTCTTGACAAATCAATAAGCGCAAACGTAGACATTTTTTTTACTAATCCACTCAGCGGATTTTGTTGTACGTGCGATTTGCCTATAGCCCGATTTTAGTTAACGACGACGCAATTACAAAAACATGAAAATTAATTCTTATGTGGCATGTTTTTTTTTTTGTAAGCGTTTTTGTCGAAACATTTGTTACCTTGAGTGCGCCAAGTATTGTTGCTGAGTTGAGGGAGGTTCATTCAATCATATGAATATGTATGCCCATTTATTTTGTATATAACGAATTTACGTATACAGCGATCACTTAATATATATGTATATATAAGCATATGTAGAAACTTTTGAGTTAAGTTCACATAGAGCAAATACATTTCAATTTTCGCAATATGGCAACACTTTTAAAATGAAATGAGTGTGTGTGTGTGTGTGTAATTATGTGTGGGGCAGCACGTTCACACCAACATACATACATATGTAGTCAATCGCACAAATGGATTTGGCGCTTCATAAAATTCAACTACGCCCATGAACCAAACACAATGTCCAATCCGAATATACATATACACATGTATATTTATTGTCTTATTGCGTTTTGCATAAATTCGACATCGAATTTGTTTCAAGCTTATTTGTTTGCACTCGTCAGAAACAGGTGATAACGGCAAATGTATAAATTAATGACAAATAGTCGCCGCTTTAACAATTCACCGATACTTACTGTGCTTATCAAATATTTATGTGTATATATATATATATATATACGTTGTATCTAGACTTCTTGTTTATAAACAATTGTATATATGTGCACGTATTTGTGTGCGTCTGTTTGTCTCTTTTTCTCATGTACTTTGAGCTTCGTCATATTCTGATTTCAAAATATTTTTGTGTGCGGCGGCGGCAAAAAATAGACTTGGTACATAAACAAAAAATAAAAAAAAGCTTGTGCAAAACGAAAAGAGAAAATTTCACGTTTATTGTTGCCAATTTAAATGAACGTACGTGCATACAAACATATATATTGTAAATTTATAAATATACATATATTGTATTTATAAATTCATTTATATTTTTGCGTATTTGTTTTGTTTATCTAAATGCAAACCGGTTTCAAGAAGAACGACGCAACTAACAACTTAATGCCGGCACAAAGCAAACAAGCTTACACACAAATAGGAATACTCGATCTACATATATATATATATACTCGATCTACATACATAGATATTATTTATACACTGTTAATTTGCATATGATGAATTATTTTGCAGCACGATCATGTTGTTAAAAGTACCATCTGTTGACTGGACGGATCAAATTGTTTACGTGGTGGACGACGACGAATCTTTGTCCGATTTTGACGATGAGCCGGATTTCTCAGAATATATGTGGATGGAGAATGAGGAGGAGTTTGACAAGAACGTTAGTCCATCAACAATATTAATACAATATAACAAAAAAATTAATTAAATAAATACTTAATCTGGTTTTGCAGGAACTACAACGCTTAGAGGAGGAAGAAATCATGCAAGAGTGCTTTGAGGCAATGATCGAGGATGAACTCGAGGAGCAAATAAATGAATGGGAGAAGGCCAAGTTAGTTAAAAAAAAAGAAAAAACCAACTCAATTGAAGATCAACTCATTTTCATATCTTTTATTTCTGTTTTAGAACGGAGGAACAAAACACAGCGCTATCTGCGTTACCAAAAAGCCAATGCAATGTGGAGAAATCTGTATTAAATCCCATGGCTGACGAATTCGTGCCACTCTGCCATCAAATCGAATACATTGCCTCATAAGCCCGGCTCCCAATAGTCTGAACAATAGAACCTCACGCAATGTCGTTTTCGATACGTGTCTGGAGCACAACATCATGTTCAATTCGAAATTCCAGCGATTCCCAGGCAACAATAGCTCCATATACGTTTCAATATCATTTATGATACTCAACTCCCATGTCTTACCAAAACAGAAAACACAAAAAACTAAACGAAAGGGGCCGCAAAAAACTCTTTTAGGCAAAAAAAAAATCAAAAAACACAAAATTGAGGATAATTTCGCGCACAGACACACACACACACACACTGACATACTACGTGTAGATCAATCGAAATGCAAACGAATACCATAAACAGAAAGAAAAAAAAAATACTAAAATCAAAAGAAAAGTTTATATATAAAAAACGAAAGCTAAAAATCATCAAAACAAAGCAGCAAAAAGTAAGAAAAAAAATGTTAAAATGGAGTAAAGCTTAAGCAAGAACATTTTTGCTAACTTGAGCCAATTACGAAGACGCGCCGTGCTTAAAACTAGTGAGACTTTCGTGTAAGACGTGCAGCAAACAAATGACTTTTTACACACACAACATACACACACACTAACTGTGAATTGCAATTTATATACATAACAAAAGCAAATTTCCAGCAAAAGCAAAGCAAAGCAAATGTAACAACTACAAGACTCAATTTGTTTTTAGAATGTCAACCGAATATTTATGTACCTACCCCACACACATCGATTTATTGAAATTCTATCAAAGACTTTAATTGTAATTAATTTAGTGCACCACCTGCCTACGATCCACTCTCGCTTTAAGTTCTATTCTTTCGGCCTAAATGTGTTTCATTGAGTAATTGTTAACTCGTTGTATGTTTTCTGTCTATGTTACAAAAATAGCGACTTTACCTCCTTTTGACTCGCATACTAATTAATAATTTGTAATTTGCAGTTGTAAATAAGTAAAGAAAAACGAATGCTAATTAATTGATATATATTTCTATATATATATAGACTAATATTTAATGTAACTCTTACAGTATACATATGCATATATATTTATACAAATATATCTGCATTTGTATAACTAGTATTAATCAACTGCGCTGCAATATAAATTTTTTGTTTGTTTAACTTTAAGAATTAACTAATTTTGGTCTGTTTGCACTTAACGCAAATGCTCAAAATACACAAACTAAATTTACTTTAATTTACTTCTGTTTTCGGATGTAGAAATAATTACTTTTTTTTGGTTAGCTATAGATACTTAAGACAGCATTAAAAAGATCTTATTTACGTTACGTGTGATATAAAGATACATAAAAAACCAAACAAAAAAAATATAAAAACCTATTTTTAAAATCCCAATAAAAAAAAGTATTATAGCGTAAATCTGCGTAGTTTTATTTTGTAACTTCACTGGGGCCAAACTTGAGTGGGATTTTTGTTTAAATATTAATTTGTAGCTTTTAATAAGGTGTAAAAACTAACAATGATTAAACATTTTATGAAGTAATATATAATTCAGAATTCAAAAACAGAAATTCACCACAATCTCTGGTGTTGAAAGTATGGCAACGCTAAAGTCAGTAGCTGCCAACGCTGATGTGAGTTTAACGATAAGTATCGGAAAGCAGTCGATAAGCATTCCAGATAGCAAACATGGCGTCGTTGCCAATTTCTGGATAAAGTTATTTTTGTTTTTAACGCAAATGCAGACGATTTTGCAACAAATCGTGTGAAATGTGAAATACACATCAAGTGCAAACCAACCAGCGTGCATTTGAGCAACAACAAGTGCAGGAGAGCAAGGCGGGGCCCGAGCCAACATCGCTTAGGGGAGTGGACAATGGCGGCGGCTGCTGCAGCAGTGCCAGCTGCAAGCGCAACAACAGCAACAACAACAGCAGCGCCAACAACAGCAACACCTGCAAATGCACCTGCAATCGCATCGGGCGCCAGCGCGGCGCAATTTCGCGAAATCCATAAAAATACGTGGTTGAAAAGACTGACGGCCGATGGCAAAAAGTTAACCGTGGGCCCCAAGGTAACTAAAATCATACTGAATTTGAATTTGAATTTGAAATTGCATTTATTTCACATTTCTTGTAGAAATCGGAATGCAGCTGGGTAGTTTTCTGCGTTCACGATGACACCGATGCCCTGCTGGAGGGATATGCTGAGCCGCGGCAGGCGGCCGCTCACATGCCCGAATGGGCCGTTTCGCTGCGGGACACCCTGCACATATCACACGCTCTCATACCCAATTCCCATGAGTTTGAGTTTGTTGTAACACTAAGCAACGAGGTGTTGCGCTTTCATGCCGTTTCATGGTAAGTTGCACTCATTGCTACTGTTGCATTAACACTATTTTTAATTGCCAACCCATACACAGGGAGATTATGCAAGAATGGGTTGAAACGCTGCGTTCGAAGTTGCGCGAAATGAAAATTCTATCGCCGCGCGAAAACCTATACACAAAGTTACCTGAAATGCGCGCACCACTGCTGCCCACACGCGATCCAACATCCCCATTGCCGGCGCCACCGCCCGTTCCAGCAGCGATGGTGCCGGGTGTGGAACGTATAACGGCAACCACGCATCAACAGCATTCACAGCCAGCCGCAAATGATCAGACCACGTCCAGAGCAACTGCAACAGCAACCGCTATTGCATCCACATCAGTCATAGAAGCTGCGGTGGCGGCCGCAATAACAGCTACGCCGGCACCGCCACCACCGGCAACGTCCATGTCGAATACGTTGACGCAGCACTTGCTCAATATGCTCTCCGATCCGATTAGCACGTATAGCGAACAGATTAGCGAAACAGCATCACCCACTCTCACCGAAGGGGGGCACGAACCCGACCCGGAGCCGGAGCCCCTTGTAAGTGAATTGCCCAGCGAAGCTGCAACTGATTTCAATCTGTCCGACGATGAATTTCTATCGCCCATCCTACGCAATGGGGTGCGCCTTGATGTTGCCGCTGCATCGGCGCAGCGCATATCTGCGGGTAAGTCACCATCAATAACTTTGTTTTTGTTAATGGAACGTTTAATTAAAATTTGCAACAATTGTTACAGATCAAATTCTGAATTTTGAACAAATGGTGCAATGTGAACGTCTAATACCAAGGTAAATCAGGAACAAAACAATTGCAACATTTCACAGCTTGTTGGCGAGTTCATCGTGTGCCTTATCCAGAAATTTAAGCAGCTCCCGTCGCAGCCGCCTGCTGCCCTTGTAGGTGTCCAGGAGGAGTTTGCGCAGCTGCAACAAACATCGCATGCCCGTCAAGCATAATTTCCGCATCTCATTGTCCACTTGCATGTTGAGCAACTGTTTGCATTCGGCTTTGACTCTGCTGCGCATCTCATCGTAGGCTCTCTCAATTTGAGCATGCATTGCAAGCCGCTTGTGGTGGTTGATGCGACGGTGCAGTAAATGCCCCAACTGTTTGTCCAACTGCTCAAAAAGCAACTTGTCCTGTTGATCTTCACAGAATATGGCAAATAGCGTAACAAAATAATTGGGTTGCTTGTGATGCAGAAAGAGTTTAAGTGTCGTTATCACATTGCACGCAAATATCTCCTTCAGATATTTCATCTTTTCGCCGTACATATGGCTATGATCATTGGATACCTCAACGATATCGTTTTCCACAATGTTCCGGCGACGCAGTAGAAGACTCTCCCTTTGTGATTGCAGCGCCAGCAGCTGTCTGACCAAACTGGCATTCTCCTCAATTAGCTGCTTGTTGGCCAACTGCAGGCTTGCGAGCGGATTATTGTCCGCCTGCGAGGAATACTGCCTGCTTTTATGCGGTACACTGCCATACATGGCATCCGTGCTCTTCCAACTGTCGCCGGTAGCCTCATCAATGCCCGCCCCCGTTCGCTGCATCATGCTGATCTGATACAGCGTCCTCAAGTCCCGCTGGGAGCTTCGCGGATCTGTAAATGGATAGCTCAGTTTGCTCTGATCATTGAGCTGCTTGTGCAACTGCACCAAAATGCAATTCCGTTCAAACTTCTCATCGGCCGTGGCGCCATGAAAGATATTAAGCCAATGCGTGAATGTTGATCTTATTTGCTCATTGTCGGGCAGCTTTTCCACAATATTCGCCATACTGCGCACCTCATTGACGAACAGTTCGTCCAGCTTTTCATCAGTTAGCGCAGAGTTTTCATACATTTCAAAAATATATACAATAAATCGTATTAGGCTGCTTTGTGAATATGAATAGTATAGATTTGTTTAAGATTGTGTATAAGGCATTCTGTAGATATTAAGCTCTAGTTTAGAAGTTACACAAAGTGAAAGAAGTTTGAAATTTGTTCGATCAAACTCTGCAGTTAAAAAAAAAAACCCATCTGACTTTTACTCGCTTGTGTATTTAATCTTTGGCATTGCTTACAATTATAATTAATATATAATAACTTGCTTCTCCCTTCGTATAGACCGCAAACTTCACGTTCCATGTCCGCTGGCGCCGCCGATAAGTCAAAAAGGCCACAACGCAAATCGCCGCAACCTAAAGTCGTCCAAGGCTTAGCGGGCAGTTCAACGGCCATTGAGGAGACCGGCGACAACAATATAACCATTATACAGGTCTCGAATACGGATACAACTAATGCGGAAACAAAACCGCCCGAATTACCGCCCAAAAACAAAATAGTTGCGGACATTTTTCGCTTTCCCGAAATCAGTGTGAAAGCCAAAACGAAAAACCACAAGCCACAACAAAACGACTATAAAAGTAACGTACAAATAATTCCGTCCAATTCGAATACGATACAAGTGCTGAGCCAACCCAGCAGCAGCAGCAATATCAGCAATAGCAATCCGTATACCATTCCATTGAAACCGAATGCTTCCAATACGCCAAGTCAGAATGCTTCCACAAACACCACATTGGTCCAGGTGCTGGCTGATGGCGAGAAGATGTCACAGCAGCCGACGGCAACCACAGTTGCTGTCTACGGCACCTGCTATCCAACGGGCAGCGGTGGTGTCGGTGGTGCCAGCATCAAACCCCTAACGCCCAAGATGAGCAAAAAGATCATACTCAGCGCGAACAGTTCGGGAATCACAAACATACGCATCAACAATGAGCAGGCGAACGATGCCAACGTGATCAGCGGCAATGTGCACTACGAGAAGGTATTTCTCTCCTCAAGCATACCCATCAGCAGCAGCAACAGCAGCAATTGCAGTCCCACAGCGGGGCGAGCAGAGCGCGCCACAAGCAGTCAAACTCCTTCCCAGACTCAAGCACAGATCGTGGAGAGCACAGCGAATGGCAGTCCGGCTTTGCCACGTCGCGGCATAGCCATTGCCTCACCCACACCGCCGTCGAGCAGTGTTCGTGCCCGGCCACAGTTGACGCGTGGCCTGACGGAGCTGGTGATTAGCACGCGTCCGAGTCGACGTGATTTTCACTATCTGAAACTGCTCAATACGCCACTCAAAACGAAGACAGGTCACAAAACAAGCAGCGCCAATGCAAACAACAACATCGAACAGAACGTGGCAACAACCACGCCCAGCTCCGGCTCTAGTTCCAGTAATGCAATGCCAGCGCATGCGCAGCAAGTTGCTGACAACAGCATTGAGCAGCGCCGGCGCAGCTCATCAACATCGGATGCACAGGCGCCGCTGCAACGTGGTGCAACAGTTCAAGTGGCAACCACACAAGTCAGCAGTCCGCGTGGCGCAAACAACAATGAGTTTGTTGTGCCGGTTGCTGTGCGCAGTGCAGCAGCGAGCGCTTTTCGCATGCAATCCCCGCCCCAGTCACTGGGACAGGCTCAAGCAGCTGCCCAATCGAACGGCGGTGGCAGCAGCAGCAAGCGCCTGACGCTGCGCGAACAGCAGGTGATGCAACTGCGTCGCGAGATCATGCATCCGGGTGGTGTGCGCCTAAATTTGCGACGCAAGGATTGTGTTGGCTCCATTGCCTGGGTGGATGCCTTCGGCGGCGTTTGGTGAGTGGCATACAATCAAATAATTGAGATTAATACCTAAAGTCATTTGTAAATAATTTTTTCTTTTGTAGGATTGCTGGCTGGAAGCAAAAAGAGCATCCAGTGCTCTACAATGCGCTCCACATTGGTGATCAGCTGCTCTCCATCGCGGGCGTTAGCATTAGCACCGCCGCCGAGGCAAACAAAATAATACGCAACACAAACACACTATTTGTAAGTTTTAAAACAAATTCTTCATTTGCACTGCTGAAAATCAGATTCACATATTTCAGATATCAGAGATTATAATAGCTCCTTTTGAATATAGATTATCCTCTCCTCTCCTATGCATACCAAGTCTATTTTCAACATAAGATCTGTTGTAAAAGAAATCATTTTATTTAAATAATTACTATACTTTAGAAGGATTATATGTGTACTTTATGATGTGTGAATCTTCTTTTTCTATAATTTAATCATATTTTATTGTGACAGAATATAGTTCGAGTTAGAGAAATTTGTCTGTAATTGAGAGTTACAAACATCAAATTCATTTTACAGAGATAAAGTTCAGACTACTTATTCGTCCATATTTCTTCCATTTACATATTTGGTATATATAAATACTTTAACAATATGCTAATGAAAATTTAATATTGATCGCATATATGATAATCTAATCAAAATAAGATTTCCTAGTCGTGCACTTTCAATGTGAAATTTCTAAGCTTTTGTTTTCTTCGGAAACTAATTAACTTTTATTTATGACTATTTATAGGTTGAGGTGCTGCTTCGTCGCATGCCCTTTGGCCGTGCCTATGCCATACGCCGGGATCGGGACGGTCAGTGCTTGGGACTAATACGGGATGGCAACACGTCAACCATTGTGGATGTGGTACCCAACAGCTTGGCTGCCCGGCATGGATTGCCGCCCAAAGTAATTACAGTAAAAGTTTCTGATTGTTTCACAACGATATTGATTTCTCTATTTTCTTATAATTGTCAGGCTCAGTCTTGCGATGGCAGCTCTTTGACTTTTTGGATACTCACGGAAATAAATGGGCGGCCGCTGAATCTGTTCTTTAAGGATTTTGAAATACGCGATCGCCTGAATTCGGTGGGCAGGGATATATCGATATTGGTGCAACCGTCGGATTTGATAACCAAACTGAAGAAGCAACTAAAATCGTTGCGCGGCTACAAGGATTATCTAGTACAGTAAAGTGTCGGCTACAGCCTCAACTTCAAAAGTGGTCGGCTTTAAATAAGTACACACATATATAATATAGATATAGATATATATATATCAATTTAGAAACTCAAATCTGTTATACTATGTTATACGTGTATATTTTTGTATAACACTGGGCCAGATAACCATTCCATTTTCCGCGTAAAAATGCATGTTTACTTAAGCGACCGAAAAGCTATATAGTCATCTTTTATATATGTAGTAACTTTATTCTTAATATACACATACATCATATACATGCGAGTATAAGCGGAAACATCATACGACAAATATATATAAATATATATATATTTTTGCAAATTTTATATAATTAATATATAGAATACTGTCACTTTGAGAATATACACGTCAAATCTGTTCGAAACTTATAGAAACAAAATTATGAAAATTTACAACAAAAAGAAAAAAAACAAAAACAAAAAAAAGAAAGTAAAACGATCACAAGTATTAATGCTAATTTGAATATTTTTCAAATATTTTTTAAGCAAATCCACACATATACTACTACATACCATACACGCGTATTATACAAACCTGTGCAACTTAGTATCCTTATGCAATATTAGAGTGCCTCTGATTTCGTTTGATTTCTCATTTGTTTTTTGTGTATTTGTTTTAAATGTAAAACGACAAAAGATAAAAAAAAAGGAAACATCTATGTAACTTTAAGATGTGATAAACTGAGTACTCAAATTTAGGCAATTTTTAAAAGGTACATTTGTAAATGCTTTTTGATTTGTTTTTATATATACTATATAATGTATGTGTTAATATTTTCAATATACTTATTACATTATTAAACACAAATATAACATCATTATATAAACTTTATTGCGAAATATCATTCATCATTAAATCACTCGCAGATCGTGTTACGTTTGGCCTCGTTAACATCCTGCTTCCAAATGCGGAAATTAAAAACATTGCTATCCAACGTGGAGTAAATGAATATGGGCATTGAATTGGTCATGACCCAAATGGTGCCAGCCTCATCGATCTATAAAAAATATACATATCAAATTTTAAGTAGTGGCATTGAAATGATGATGATTATTATGTTTCTGACCGTTAAGTCGCTGGGATAAATCATGGTTTCAGCATTGGAGTCAACGATGCCATGATTTGCCGGAGAAAATGGTTTATTTATATTCCAGCAGCCAACGCCATTCGTTTGTATTTCACTGTAGAAGATGACTCCAGTTCGCGGATCGTACGCATGCATTGTGGACTGTTTATTCTGACCACGGCTGCCCACCACTCTAAAATCATTGCCGTGATCGGAACGCGCCGCATTCGACTCCATCTGCAGGACTCGATTCGAGACGACGAACTCATTGTTGCTGGCCATGGCATGGAAGTAGACATCGCGGCTACCATCGCCCTGCTGCGGTCCAAGTGTTGTGGAGAAGATGCCGTCATCCCAGCGAAACGATTGTCCGCCAATGTGCAAATCCCCGCCCAACGGATCGAACCTGAAGTAGTTGTGCTCAAACGACCACATGCCATCATCCGCCAGGCGGTACACATACAGACGACTATTGACCAGATCCGGTATATAAGCATGTGCCTGACCACACTGCGTCTCCGATGGCACATCAATTGTCAGACTGGCCAGTCCACGACCAGTGTCCACAATGCTCTCCGGTATGTCAAATCGCTTGATGACACGATCTGTGAGCAGATCCACTATCCAAATGCTCGGTCGCCTGATTTGCTGACGATTATCTGCCGGAGAAGTACATACGGCATACTGCATCCATGTATGAATAGTAAATTTACAACTCACTTGGATACTCCAGCATACCGGTGTCAATGAACCATAATCTATAGCAGGCATCGACAGTTGTGCGATAGACAGACACCAGATTCCGTGCACTATTATTAAACTGGTTCAACTCGAAGTTGGGATAGGCGTATAGCATGGGCGTCCTCTTTGCGCCATCTCGTCGCATATCTATGTAATTTAGTGTCGATGGAATGCCCACACGTCGTCTGGGCATCGTGACAAATAGACGACCTCGAAAATGTGTGGCACCCATTGGCACATTATTGTAGGGTATGTACGAGTCAGTATTATTATCAGCAATGGAGTTGCGTGTACCAATCCCCACTGGAATATCCCGAGAGGTGGTCACATTACGTTTTCCACGTGAACCTGGAAACACGAATGGCACTAGATACGAAAAAGTACAAAGTAAATTCCATTTAAATAATAAAATCGCAAATTTTTTTAACTTTATACCCACTTTAAAAATGCTAACAATAGATCTCTCTCATCACACACACACTCTGTTGCTCTCTTTCTATCTGTTTCTCTCTCTGTCTCTTTTGAACTTACGACCCAGACAGATTAACGTACATAAACTTACCTGAGGGATCGGGTCGGCGAGATGCGCTACCATCACCACGATTATAGTAATCCATCTGTTTCCATTTAAAGACCTCTATCATGCCATCTGCCGCCACGAAGGGCACGACTACTAACAGTTTCAGCAGAAGCAGGAACAACGATCTTGACATCATTTTTGAAACCGTAAGACGCAATCCGCGCTATCAATTCACGTTCACGTCTAAGCGACGACTGAGAAGACAGCTTGGAAATATTTCAGTGCGAAGTGCTGTGAAATCCAACTCAGAACTTGTCAGACAATATTGATAAGAGATATTCGCGTGAGAATTATGCACACAAAGCCGGAAACCAGTTTTTACTTTATTCCTCAAATGGTGCATAAAAAGCAGCTCGTTAGATCGTGAGCTGCAATAAAGTCCATTTAAATATTGATTGATTGCCAATAAGACAGGTTTTCGGTTTTCAGAACATCATTACTTTAATGATTTAATTTTCGCAATAGCACGAGTACATCTATCAACAAAAAAAGCGTTGAAATCAACATTAAATATCTTATTATTAATATTATTATTATATGGAATCAACTATTATATGAAATCAATATTATCTATCAATTATATATAGATATTATAAACAAAACAATAAACAATAAAAAATTAACACAAATTGAAGATTTTGTATTTGATAACAAATTATTTAAGTAGGGCACAACGAAATTGTACTTAAAATTATATTGCATATTTTTGGGCGGGATGACATAAAGAACATGTTACCTTGTGAATTGAATACATCTATTTAAATATTCCAATCAACGTAGGAGTATAAAGCATTAAACAGATAAAAAGTTGATCAACGAATTGGCATGTAGGCATTTCATATGCCAATTCATCCACTTACTAAATGCATACTATATTAATTTTTGTTATTTTGCTTGGTAGCTGGATAAGCCCTGTTGGATATTGATATTGTGTCTACATACAGCAATTTTATTATTTGCTCTGAAAGCAAATTGATGTTTTTTTTTAAGTTCTCAAGTATATTTTGATTTAAATTCTATGTACAAGTGTCACTTGCACGTGGCAATACTGGTCTATCGATGACACAAACCAGGGCTTATCGACGATAGACTGCTATTCGACAGATGAGCCGCTATGCAACGCTGAGCCAATAGAAACACGCTCACGTACACACACAAACATACACACACAAAAACACGCACACACACACAGTGGCAAGACAGAAAATTGCAATTGCACCGAACGGACGACGAGCGAAACAAATAACGAAAAATCCCAAACATTTCACTTGTTAAATAAATTTATTTACATCACTGTGCCACAGTGGATATAGGCCAGAATCACTTGAGGATAATCAAGTCAAATTGTCGATAGGAAGAAAACGCGCTCCACTCGTCAACGGCGCGCGCGTTTTAGAGGAAAAAAACGCGTTGCGTTCTTTTCCATTTGCTGTATGTGAGGAAACTTCTTCGACACAACACACACAGATACGTATACACACATATATAATACACACACACACACACACTCTCGCTCGCTCGCAGCAGCAGCAGCAACGAAAACGGCCGTCGACGGTCGGTCGGTCGAGACGACGAGGCGAGTGAAAGTGTCTCCACCACGGAAGTGCATCTGTGATTTGTATAATAATGCGTCGCGCATACTCAAATTTTTGTTACGCCAATGATTAGCGCAAAAAGCGGTGGCCTGCGTTTTTGCTTGCCCAATTGACGTATCAGTGGCTTAACGTTAAAGAGTGCAACAAATATAACAAATAATAATAACAACAACAACAGCAGCGTTAGCGTGCATAAGCAAAGTAAAGTAAATAAATAAAGGAAAATAAATAAAATGGCTGAACAAGTGGAAAAGGCGTTTGCGTACATCAAGGCGATGCCGATTAAAGCCACCTTACAATTGACGGACGCTGACGAGGCGGAGTCAACATCAGCCTGTATGAATTGTTGCAGCAACGATGACGATGACGACGATGCCAGTCCCAGTTGCAGTGGCAGTGGCAGCTCCAAGGCAACCAAGACAAGCAAAGGTGCCAAATCGACGGGCATCGATGCGAGTGTTGTTGCCGCCGCCGAGGCCGTTGTCAATGGGGAACTGGACGCTGCCTCCTGCTATCATGTGAGCATGAAGATGTCCATTGATGCAGCAACGCCTCGCATTTGTGGCGACACAATGCCGCTGAAATGTGATGCATTGGCGGCAATGCGAGAGGCGCTCAGCGCCAATAAGCCACTGTTGCCCGTCAACGTCAGTTCGAAACCCAAACCCAGCCCTCCACCACCACCACCGTGTCAGTTGCTCGAGCGTCTCAATTTTCCCGAGGGCAACATAATAAATACGCTGCACACGATATTGGCACTGCCGCCATTCGATCCGTATGCGCCGGCTCCAAAATCGGATGTCACATACAAGGAGGTCGTTTCGCTGATGCAGTGGAGCCTGCGCGAGGACAATGTCATCGAGATGGAGCTGAGCGACAAGCTGCTTCACGAGTGCAAGTCCAAATGCAAGGATCCCAACGATGAGACACGCTCGTATTTGGTATACTTACATCATCGATTAATTGAATGCAATTAGCTAATTAAAACATTTCAAATACTTTGCAGATGGCCATTGAGAATATGAGATTATTTTCGGAGGATCCAAGAAATCCGCTGCGCGATGCCGATGGACAATTGCGTGCAATTACGGTGTGTTCCTATTGGCTTGAAACTGTCTTACTGAAGCCTAATCCATTGCAGCTTTATTTTCAGAATCTTGCCTTGATATTTGTTAAACATCGTAAGGAGGAGTTCTTCACATTTTGTTCCTGCAAGGAATGTCTCGAATATCGTGAAACCATCATGGCCATTATGATGGATCAATTCAAGGCTGCCCACATGGTTGTCATGCTGCTCGATGTGCTAATCAAGGCATACAGCCCGATGCTAAAGTGAGTTACACCCCAAAAATATGTACAAATAAAATGTGTAAATAAATATTGATATATTTATATATTTGTTTTAGAAACGATGCTGCCTATAACAAATTTGAGAAGTTGCTCGAGTCCAATAAACAAATATATTGGATTACAAGCGGGTTTCTCTACGATAAAAATGCCGAATATCTTGATTTTATTGATGATACTGCGATCTCTGATAATATGATATTAGTGCTATTTAGCGCCATGTAAGTTGATTTTAAATTTGTTTGATTTTGTATAATTGAAATATAAACATTTCCATTTCGCTCGCAGACTGATGGCTAATAATCCGATGCTGCTGCTACAAATACTCGCCTATAATGTTGAGTGCATTGTGAAGGCATTTTCTGAGGGCATGGTCGAAATTGCTCAAAATGTGCAGGAGAACGAGAAGATTTCAGCCGAAAAGATGCTCACATGTATGTTGCACAATATCTATATATATACATATATATTAAGTGCATATAAAGTAGCATGAATATAAGTTTGTATATATATATATATATATATATGTTTGTTGCCTTTAAGGTCATATTATTTGTGCTAAATTAAACTTGTTGTTATTCAAACGATCTTCCGGAAATAAGCAATATTTCGAAACCCAGACATGAATCTAATATTTAAATTTTCTTTCACATTTTGAATTTCTGTTTTCAAATTCTTTTAAATGTAATCAATTAAAATTTAACTATTTTCTAGTGCAGATTAGAAATGTGTTAATTTAACTTTGCAAATAATGTTTATTATCTGCTTAATATTAATATTTGCCCAATCTAAAAACAATATTTATTTCATTTCAGATTTACTGGACGGCTACTCCGATTTGAACTGCATCTCACAGAAGATCTCTTTGAGCCTGTTCGCTTTTGAGAATGATTTTCTGCGCAAGTTCAAGCTCTCCTGGGTGCTATTGTGCCAGCGACTTTTTCAGCAACATGTGTTCAATCCGCTGGGCGATACGATGCTCGCATGCATATTATCGCTGAAGGAGGGCGAGGGCTCAACGCAGACAACGGCGCTGATCAAGCGCTATATGCTGTTCGATGAGCATATGCACTCCATTGAGCGCCGCTGGACGGACATTTGGATGGAGCTAAACAAGTTCAACTTGTCGCCCACGGAGCACGATCGTCGAATGGGCCTACTCGATGTGTATAACATATTCGATAAGGTCGTAATGGATGCCACCTCTTTCTCTCTGCCGGATATCAGTGACGATGAGTTCATCGATTTTCAGCGCATTGTCGATCGTCAGCTGGCCTGGAAGAATATCATGGCATTTACCAAACTCAAATGGCCAGATGGCTTCTATGATCCGCCCAATAAGCTGGTGCACGAGGATCTCTGCAAAAAGTGCAATGCAATGCTGGAACACCATAACGAGTGAGTGATATTCGAGTTCCACTAAATGACCAATGAGTTATTCCAAATATAAATATTGACATGCATTTTCTTTCCATATTAGAAACTGCAATTGCATCACTTGCTCCATTGCGGGTACGCCTCTGTTGCCGCGACAAGCCGGCCATTGTGCCAAATGCACAACGCTCGGTATTGTTGAGAAAGACGCCAAGCTAATGAAATCAAAAATACTGAGCACCTGCACCAGCGATGACGCCAGACACAATGCGGCGGCAAGTACAAGTGCCGCAGCCGCCGCTGCCGCAGCTGCACAGCAGCAGCAGCAACAACAGCGTCGCAGCATCGAGCAGCCAGAGGCGGCTGCTATTACTGCCAAAGGAGAGGAGTCGTCGAGTGGAGTGACGCTGCGGCGTCAGGAGATGGATACTGCCTTGCGCACCACATATCACATTGCATGGGCCGTCTTTCAGCATCTGACGACAAGGAAACGCTATCGCTATGACAGCGTTGAGCCGCAGTTCTTTTGCGGCGAAAGTTGCCGCGTCTCCGCTTGCCAGCTGGCGCGCAAGATACTTGCCAATGAACTGTCGCCGCCGTTGACAAAGCATCTGTTGCGCTGCTTTCAGCCGCTGTCTTTTACGCGCGAGGAACTGCGCTCCACGCTGCCATCGCTGATGTTCTTCAATCGCAAGCTGGCGCCTAGTCCCGCCGAGCTGCAGGAGCTGAAGAACCAGCACTATGTCTACAAGACTTACTGGACCTTTGTGCTCTCCATCTATGCCAATTTCTTTGTCAAGTTCAATTCAACGGCAACGGACTTCAAACACCTGGAGCTGCTTAAGGGCGATCTTCGCCTGCGCCCAAACAGTGTCGTCGGTGACAAGGATGATGGACGCTTCGAGCAGTTCTTGGCACAGGTCATTGGGTAAGTACATATAAATTATGCGCCCTTTTACATTGTTCACATTTGTAATTTGTTTGTATTTACTTTTGCAGCTATTCGCCTTTCAAGATAACGGATGAGTAAGTTTGAGTTCTGATTCAGAATTATATGTTTTTGCTTTGAGTATTGGCTTCAATAGAAAGTGGGTAAATTGGGTCTAATGAAAACAGGCAGCATTAAATGCAGACAGAAGCGTCTTCGATGTTATATGAACTTTGTAGTTATATTTTTAGTACGACGAAAAGTTGAGTTCATTAAAACTAGCCTGTTCAATCATTCAAAATTGAAATTCTGATTGCACAAATCAGGGTCAAAAGACAAAAGTTCCCAATACAGTCATGGTTAAATAATTAAATAACATCGCTCTGCCCTTTTGCTTAGACATCCTTAAACAAGAAAAATGAAGTAAATTTGAAAATCTGAAAAGTTTTTAATATAGCAACTGCAATCGCTTGACGTGCAAAGATTCGTTTGTGAATATATTTAAACCAGCAATGAGTCTATAGAATGCGTGTCGTATTGATCAAGTTTGCAGTTTTTTTTCATTTGCTAGCTTCACGCTCGGAGACGCGAACATCGACAAAATGCAATTTGGCGTTGATCATCTAATGAAGCTGCACGACTCACAAACGATGTAAGTAGCCCATGAATGATTACAAATACTATATATATATAAATATGATTATGCTCTTATGCGCAGCAAACGCGGGAAACCGGATAGCACCTCCAGCCTGGCGGGCAATAAGAAGGTGAACGAAACGACGCAAACCGGTGCCGGTGGCAACGACTCGAATAACTCGAAGAAATGCAAGGAAAAGATGCGCAAATGTGAGCTGAATTCGAATTTACTATATTACAATTTGTGAAATGTGTTGTTGTTGTTGTCTTGGCAGGTTGTGCGGACTATGCGGATATCGGTGAGCCCTGCAAGGAGAATCACTCGAAGAAACGTGTCAAGAAGGAGTGCAATCATGCGCGCTTTAACGAGACGCGGGATCGCCTGCGCAAGAAACTCACACAGATTGTCAACGATCGGAAGAGCAAGACTGGCCAGACGGAGGTGGTCGCTAGGCCACAGGTGCCAAAGCCGCAGCCACAGCCACAGTCCGAGCCGGTGCAGACGCAGACACAGCAGCCGCCGACGCTGAAAGTTGTCGCCTCGGCGCAGGTTCAGGCGGCTACACGTAAAATGCCCGCTGCTGCAGCAGCTGCGGCAGCGGCAGCCGCAGCGGCGGCTCTTAGCGAGATCGGTGAGAACATTGAGGATGGCGACAACAGTCTGTTGTGCTTGGACAGCCTCTGCAAGAGCATACAGATGCACACGGACGCTGGGGGTGGCTCCACAGGCGGCAGTGGCAGCGGTGGCAGTGGCTGCAGCAGCGCTGGCAGCCTGCCAGCCGATCTGAACAGCTACAGCAAGGAGGAGATGATGCAGGATTTTGCCGAGCTGCTCGGCAGCTATACGCGCGAGCAGGATCAAAAGCGCTGGATCAATGAGACGTTGAATTTTATTGAGGGCAAGCCGCAGCAGCCGCAAACGGCCAATCCGAAGAAGGCGGCCAAAAAGGCCAAGCAGAAGCAGCGCAAGGAGGAGGAAAAGCGCATCAAGGAACTGGAGGATCTGCGCAACCAGTTTCTCGATATCTACTTCAAGGAGTTCATTGACAAATACGAGATGAAAACCCTAACAACGGCTGCTGGCGGCCGCAAGCGCGAAAAGAAACGCATCGGCGAATTGGAGGCCAACATTAAGAATCTGCAGCGTGCCAAGGGCAAAGTGGAGACGATCATCTTGGAGCTGATTGCCACCGTTAAGCAGGCGAACAACGAATTTAAATTCTCCTATTTGCCCACCAAGGAGCAGCAGCTGGCCAAGATTGCCCAACTCGAGGACATTTTAAATGGTGGCCCAATAACAACAGCAGCAGCAAACGCAACACGACAAGCATCAGCAGCCACAGCCACAGCAGCAGATATATTGCCACCGCCACCACCACAACTTCATTCCCAATCATCTCCGGCACTGTCCGCTGCACACTATCCAAATTTCATTAGTTCTGCCGCCTACTTTCCACCCCACCTTGGAGGAGGACCACAGCAGCACACGCCAGTCTGCTATGCGCCGCCCCAACAGCCGCAACAGCAGCAGCAGCAACTGCCTCGCGATGTGATCGCTGCGATGGCGGCCAATGCCATAACCGCTGATCCGGCGAAGCGCATCGTGACCATACGACGTGTACAGCTGCCACACGCTGGCGGCGAGCAGCAGGTGACGGTTGTGGCCAAGGGCAGCTCGCCGGATGAGGACAAGTTGCTCTACACATTTGTCAACGGTCACATGGTGGCCTCGGCCCAATCGACAGCCAGGAACACTGTGGCGCCAGTGGTGCAACCACCGCAGCCAGATAAAACTAACAAGGTACGCAGAAAGGAGGCTAAGCGAGCAGCGGCGGCAGCAGCGGCAGCAGCAGCAGCAGAAGCAGCAGCTGCGGTGGCAGCAGCAGCAGCAGCTGCAGCAGCAGCTGCAGCTGAACTGGAAGCGAAAGCCAACAGCGGCGTTAAGGCCAAGAAGCAGAATAAGAAGGCAGCATCGCGAGTTGCTGCTGCTCCGACTCCTACCAGCTCCAGTTCGAGCATCAGCTCCAAGTCGCAGACGCCGCAGAGCAGTGCCGTCAATACGCGCGAGAATTCCGTGTGCAGCATCAAGCCCAAGGTGGCGGCGTCTGTCCACAAAAAGGCCCACAAGCAGCAGCAGCAGGTGGCAAACAAAAATGTTGTCGTCGCAGCTCAGCTGCCCAAAGTGGAACCGCAACCTGATCCCGAGCCCGTTAAAAGACACAAACGATTAAGGCCACGTATCGATCAGGGGCAGCTGGATAACAATCCGTTCAAGTCGCTGCATGTGGTGGACTCCTCGGATGGTGAGTGGGAAACGGGCAGCGAGTCGGAACAGTGGATGGAGCCACAAGTGGTGTCGGTGAAGGCAACAGCCAAACACCCGACAGCTGCAGCTAAGCCAGCGGCAGTAATGCCCATTGCCAAGCAAAAGTCAGTTGCACCTGCTCCTGCTCCGGCCACGTCGCTCAAGAAGTCCAAAAATGAGCCCACCGCAAGATCACAACAACAACAACAGCAGCAGCAAACTCAGCCACCAAACAAATCCTCGTCAACGTCGGTGGCTAATCAGCGCAAGCAGCAGCAGCAGCAAGCGGTGCAGGTCAAGCAACTGGCGCAACGGGCGCCGGAATCCGTGCGCAAGTCCAAGTCCGCTCATGGACAGCAGGTGCCGGCGCCTGCGCTGGCACCGAGCGGTCAAGTGTCTAATGGACTGCGCGGAACGCAATCGCAGCAAACGCGCGGCGGACGCGGCAGTGGACGCTCCAAGCCCACAAGTGCTGGCGGACAACAGCAGTCGCAGTCGCAGTCACAGCACGGGCACAGCAATAGCACCTGCTCCTCCTCGAATGCGGCGACGGAGAGTGGCGGGAGCATGCAGACATCGAAACGATCGCAGCGCGGCAAGCGTGGCCATCGTGGTCAGAAGCAGGGTAAAAGCAATTACTACTCCAACTCAATGAGAATGGATGGCATCACTAATCCGAATACGAATCTGTTTGCTTTCACAGAGGATCTCTCGGGCATACCGCATAACATGGGCTATTTCAATCCCAACGAAGTTGCCATACCACCGCCGTTGCCGCCGCATGCCGGCAGCTATGCCAGCACCCTGGCCCAACAGATGCAACAACTGCGCATTGCTGGCCCCACCAGCAGCAGCAGTTCATCGGGCAAGCAACAGCAACTGCAGCTGCAACAGCAACATCATCAGCAGCAATCGCCCAATTGTAGCATCATGGATCAGCTAAATCGGGGTGTGCAAGTGGAGCATCTATCACTGCCGCCGGGCATTACGCTGACCAAGGTGGATCCGGCCAAAAGCGAACTGCTGCGCCAGAAGAGCGAATCCATACGCAAGCTGTCCAAGCCAATAACCGAGCAACAGCAACAGCATGCATTGCAGCAGCAACAGCAGACGGCACATCTCATGGGCAACTACTATGCGGGTAATGTGGGCAGCCTAGACAACGCCGGCAGTGGCGTCATCATGGTCGAGGCCAATCCCCGCAGCAACAATCGCATCTGCCAGCCGCTAGCCATTATTAATAACAATAATAATAATAATAATGTGGCTGCTGCAGCTGCCGCAGCCACGGCCAGTGGCAAGTCATCGCGTCGCCGTCGCCGCAATCGTGGCAAGTCGGGCGGTAGTGGCACCACCAATCTCTGCAGCAAACAACGTGCTGGTGGCCCGGACAATCAGCAGACGCAACAGCATCCAACGGCGCCCATTATGGAGGCTAGTGCTGGTGGCAACATCATCACGTTGCGCAACCCCATGTTCCATCAGGGCGTCAGCAACGGGCCCGTCCCTGGCGCCACAATGTTGCCCAATCCGAATCCCATTCCGCAAGGTAAAAGCATAAACCACCAACCAAAATCTCAAATGAGCAGTTTATACTAATCTTGTGCAATTGCAGCTCGGGCGTATGGCGCGGCTCTTCCAATTGCCGCACCGTTGCCGATGGACCAACCAGCCGCGATTATTAAGAATGAGAACGGCATGTTCACCATACGCAATCCGGCGCTGCATCAGGCTGTCACCAATGGCCTGGCCATGGGCGGCTATCGTCAGTTTGGCAGCAATGTCAACTATTATACGCCGCAGGAGGCGGTCGCCGAGGCGGCGCGTGCCACACAACAGAAGCAGTCATCGCCGCCGCCTCCGCCGCCATTGGTTGTCACGCCCAGCAGCAGCAGTAGCGGGATCAACAACAGCAGCGCTGCTGCATCCGCCAATTTCTCATATTTCTCCAGTGATTCAGTGGCCAGTGGCGGCAGCAGCAGCAATAGCAATAGCAGCGGCGGTGGCGCTGGCGGAGTTGTCGACACGCACAATAATATCAGTATTAGCTGCACAAACGTTCCAATCAGCAGTCCGGGGCGGCTGGTAGGTGATGCGGCCGTCATTGCGCGGCCGAAGCAGCCCCAGAAATGTTTGTCCGCCATTGGCAGCGAGCTGAAGCAGAAGACCAAAGACAGCCACTCTGTGTCTGCGTCGTCGAGCCAATGGTCGAGCTTTGGCCAGCCATCTTCGTCATCGGAATTTGGTGGCGGTCCAGCGGGCGGCTCCACGCTCCAGGAGAAATACCAACAGTCGAGCTACTACAACGGCTTCGAGGTGTTCCCCTCGTCCGTTTCGCAAGCGGCTGGTGGACCCGGCGGTCCCGGTGATTGTCACATGCATCATAATTGTGGGGACGATTCGCCGCCACCAACAATCACCGGTTTCAATTCCTACCTGGAAGGAATACCCAACACTGGCGTCATACGCTATGATGACGCCGCATTCCTCAAAAACTTGATACCGGGTCAGCATCTCAACAACGAGGTGCGTTTATTCTGATAACATTGAACTCATAATTCATTTTTTTTACTCCTCTCACATTAAATCTTAAATATTATTTTAGGTTTGAATTAAATGAAATTCTAAGAATATATAGAAAAAGTGATATATTAGAGATTAAGAGATTATAACTTTTTATTTAAATGCAACGATATCTGCAAGATTGTCTTAAATATTATAGGAAATGAAAATACAAATTCTATTTTCAAAAAACCTAATATTTATACAAATAGAATGTAGTATTGAATGTAATCTTTTCAAAAGATTGTAATTTCTGATTGAAAACAGCAGATATTAGCAGTAAATGCATTCTATATTTATATATATTCAAGAAGATTAAATAGCTTAATAAGTAACGAGACAATATGGGAAACTAAACCGATTCGATTTCTATAAATCTTTAGTTAAAATTCGTTTTGAATTTTCATTATAAATATAAATTTGTTGATTCGTTGACAGGTCTCCATTCACAACATATCGGAGTCCAATTTCACGCGCAACAACACATCGCCCTCGACGCATCATGTGGAGATAACAACTGTGTTTGGCAATCGTGGCACATGCCCCACAAATGCCTACGAGCAGCAGCAGCAGCAGCAGCCGTCGCAAGCCGGCTCGTCGTGCAACAGCTACTGCGATAATGTCGCCGCCGATTATGGCAGTGGTAAGTCGAATGTGAATCCTTAGTTGCAAGAGCATAATCCGTAATTGTGTTGCTCGCATCCTGTGTAGATTCCACCCACCTGTTTGTGCAAGGCAGCATGCTGCCGCGGATACCACAGCCGACGGCAGCGGCTTCAGATCCCTTTGGCTATGACTTTGAGTCGGCGGCTGGCTCAAAGCCGGCCAGCGTTGCCAGTGATCTGAATGAGTACTTGCGCCGCAGCCCGCACAGCCAGCGCACCTCCCCCTACAGTCCGGAGGAGAATGTGGCGCTCGAGGCATACATGAGTGCCCTGCAGATCGCCGCAGCAAGTGATGCCGAGCAGTGTTCGCGCTTGAATGGAACAGCCTCTGCTGCTGGCGATGCGGCCGTTGCAGATGCGACTCCAGTTGGTGCTAATTGGTGGTAAAGAGTTCGAGACCATGACAATTGTTGCTCTCCCTTCTCAACAATACACACACAACACACACACGCATATATATACACACACCCTTCAAATACATCCGAGCGCCAGTGACGGCCAGAAAAACGCAAACATTTCATTGATAAGGCGAAAATAAATGAAAACAATACAAAACAAAACAAAAATACCAGATGAAATCATTCAAAATGACTTAGACGTCAATTTCGATGTTTCGCAAGAAAAACAAAAACAAAATAAAAGCAAATTAAATTAAATGGAACTTCAGGTGGCTTTATTATTCTTCAATTTGCTGCTAAAAAAATTACAATTATTATTTTAGATAAGTTTCAGTTTAAAATTCAACAAAACTAATAAGCCTAGCACACAGACAAAAAAATACTTTTCGTTTAATTCTCAATGATGAGCGAGCCGGAAGCGTAGCTCACACTGGAGTCCTCCATGTCCAAGCACTGGCTGCTCTGCGCATACTTGAGAAACTTAAAGCTCATGTTCTTGAAGCCCTGATCCTGCAGGGCTTTGATAGCGCTTAGCATGACGCCAATGGGATGACGTCCGCATATCGTATTATTATATTTACGCAAATACTCTGTAAACGCTGTCGGACTAAGCGTCTCAATAATGTCCATACCCTGCTTGTCCAGCTGCTCGATGCATTTGTGTATGGGACCAGAGGAGCGATCATAGTATGTATAGCTAAAGCGTTGGCCCCAGTGGCAGAAATCGGAAGATATCACAAATAGATTTGTCGGATCCATAAAATACGTGGCCAATAGGCTGCCGTATTGAGCCTCCTGCTCAGGATTTAGAGAGCCCACAAGTATTGGCACAATGGTGAACTGATCCTTAAAGCTGCAATAGTTTCAAATGAAATGAATCATTTTTAATATAGATTGTGCTGGTAAATAGAAGCATGCAACTTACTCTTCCATAACTTTCGCAATATAAGGCAAGTGCATCTCGATTGAGTGCTCATCCTCATCCGTTTTAATGTCCATCCATGTGAATTGCCCCGTCTTCTCTAGCTCAGCATTGACTGTAAGATTAAAGGATGTATAAGTAGGAGTAGCAAATGAGCTGAGCTAATTGCTGTCTGCGCACCTTCCGTATCAATTTTGAGATCATATAATGGTGTCTTATATTTTTTCGTCACCGAAAGGGCACAGCCGCGCAGTCGGACATGATGCGATGGACCCAATATGAAAATGCGTTTACTGCAGAAATCAAGAAAGGGCACATCAGCTCAGTTTGCGACACCAAATCTGACTGAGATTCCACTTACACAACAACGGGGCTCACTTGACGATAGGCAAACGCCCCACAGGCACCACAATAAGCATATCCGGCATGCCTACGAATATCATATATATACATATAACTTGGATATCGATAATATATATGGGGAAGCACAAACTTACGGGGCAATTATGGCACGTGCAGGCCCATGGGACAGATCCGCAGCACCCAGCCAACGATCCAATTGCCGGGAAAGATCGGAGCCTGCAAAAAAGAGTAATGATGATGATAATCACAATACAATATTTAAAATCATAACCTGATAATATAAATAAAGCATTGCGTAGAAACTTAGTGGGCATTGCGTTGTTGCCTAGCAACAAATAAACAAATTCCATTATAAACATATTTCAAATTATAGTTTCAACGAAACTGCGCTAACAACACACTAAATCTATAACAATTATCCTGAGTGGTTTTTTTCTTCTTCAAATTATAGAATTTTGCAAATATGGATAAAAAGAAACAAAACGATGATTTATTTAATCGCATACGCAATGAGTTGACTGCCATTATGGAGGAAAAGTGAGTGCAGCCAAAACATTTTAACATAATTATAAGTAATTAATTCAATGCTTTCTCCAGTAATAGCAACGATCCGAAGCGCAAGATTTCGTATGAGGATATTATGAAGTCCACTCCACTGCCCAGTTTGGCGCCCAGTAAAAGCCAAAAGAATAAATCGTCGATATACCATAATCCTCAATCGCATCGTCAGTCAGCGGGTGGCAAACCGATTACAATGAAGCCAACGTTCGGAGAAAAGGAGTCGTCATCATCATCATCAACGAGGGTAACATCCTGTAGAACATCAGCCACATCGTTGAGAAACTTGACGTCTGATTTGGACCAGATTCCGTCGGCCGATTTTCTGGACTCTCAAAGTGCCCATTCAATGGATGAGGAAATGAAGAAAATGCAGCTGGAGTTGGCGAAGAGCTATGAGCTATTTCAGAGCATTGGTGAGAAGTTTGAGGCCATCAATTTTGGCGCTCTTAAGACACGCATACGCGACTTACATTTGAACAATGAAATGGGCAAAGCCTCCACCATCGAGCTGCAGAAAACGTTGGACGCTAGTTTCGTGCAGAATCGCATGGAGACGTTAGCTACAAGTGTAAGCGAGGATTTTCGCCGGCATCCTGGCGAATTCGGGGACATTCCCGAATTGAGCACCTTCTTTCAGACGTGCGCCCAACTGGAGCATGGCCTGGATACGCTCAAGCGACAACGGACGCGCAGCACTGACCTGGAGAAGCGTCTATGCTGGGCAACTGAGATTGCCTATAATCGAATGGAGGAAATTCGTAATTCTGTTGGCAACAAGCCGGAAACTAATTTTTAAGCACTTGTTGTTTAAGAATATATTTCATCCTACAGATCTTAAGAAAAAGTTGTTTCTTTATATAAGAAATTAGGCCGTCAATGTTTAGACCTTGTCTTGAAAAACTAAATTAACATATAAATGACAGTCATAATTTTTTCTAAAAAATCTTATCGAAGACTTCTAGCGTAGACTGGTTTTTGTTATCTATGCTAATCGCACCAAAATTTTTTTTATCATATCCTCTACTCAAATACAGAGGGAGGGTGTAAAAGACATAGAGGACATATACTTATAGGCATGTCATTACCGGAATCTGTGTACCAGCTTCCTGCGTGCGTTGCTCTTCTGGATGACATGTTGATTGTGTTGCTATGTGCGTTAAATTGGTCTTTCAAAAATATGTTGAGATAAGATAAATTAATTTAGTTTTCCACGCCCGCACTTGTCTCTGCGCCTCTTCCTTTTATGCAAAAATGACTAGCACAAATACGAATGCAATGTGCATTCTTTGGTATCGGTACCAAGTACTTGAGTACTTATCGTTATCGATACCCGGATAGTATCGGTCAGTCCCAGCGTAAATCGCATCAAGCGCTGCTCGTTTGTCTTCGTTCGGCTTTAATTAATTAAAATATCGCTCCCTTCAAATATTTATTTATAAATTTTGTAAGAGCAATTGTAATATATTGTCGCTTTATTGTGTGCAAAAATATTTTTTTTTAGTCATTGGAATTGCGCTCTTGTGCGAGTGTGCGTGGGTGCGTAAACATGGGAATGGCTCGACGAAAAGAGGAAGCATAAAAGAGAATATTTTGTGTGCAAGTGGATGGAAAAGAAAAATTTCCTAGTTAATAGTGCAAAACTAAATAAATCATTCAACGTGGTGTACATCAAATATAGCCAGGTGTGTTTAAATATATGCAATTGCAGAGTTTATATATACAATTACATACTTTAATTGTGATACGCGGCAAACGAGTAGCATCGCGGTAGTGAGTAGCATCGCGTCATTGCTGTACTAAAACTAAAAATTGCCGTATTCGTATTCCGCCATTTTGAAAGCTGCGAGTCGAAAGTGGAATTTGGACGCGTTGCTGGTAAAAAAATTGTTGAAAAATATATAAAAAGTATACAAAATTTATGAAAAATGCATGGAAAATGTGCAGAAAGCTAGCCGCCAAGTGTTTGTTCATAAATTGTGCGTGTTAAAATGTGTTTAGCACGTGAATTTTGTGCAATTACAAAATCGCAAAAAATGAAAAAAACGCGAATGCTGCTGCGGCCGCCACCGTTGCCGCCGCCGCCGCTGCCGCCACCACAAAATAGAAAAATTATACGAAAAATACATAGAAAATGAAAAACTAGTGCGCTGTTGCTTGTAGCATAATTTAACAAAAAAATTTTGTTATATACGCGTTTTAGATGATCTCCTAAATCTTGTAAAATTCACAAAATGTATTTGCTTCTTCTTCTTGTTTTCGACCAGCGTGTGTATGTTCATGTATGTGTGTTTGTGTGCGTGTGTCTGTATGCGTGTGCGTGCGCGATAAACGTGTACAAGAAAAAAAATTTAAACGTGCAGAATTTCGTATGAATTTTAAAGCCGATCTGCATGTTGGTGTGTGTGTGTCTGTGTGAGTGTGTATTTTTAGGAGTGCTACTGTGTGTGGAAGAGGAAGTGAATGATAGCAATAATAATCATTTTTGTTGTTGCTGCTGCCAATATGTAAAACATAAATTCAATTGTGCAATATTTGCCGTACAACGCGCGCGTACCAACACACAGTCACAATAATAAACCCCCCTACTCAAACACATGTACTCAAGGGATGTGTGTGTGTGTGCCAAGTGACAATATACACGCAAGGTTCACTGCGCAACGCCCCTGCACTTCCCCTCCCTCACTTTGCTGCAACTTCTGCTGTCTCTTCTTCTCATCGTTGTTATTTTGCCGCCGCAACAATTTCGTTCGAGTGAGTGAGTGAGAGAGAGCCAAGCCAAGGCGAGAGGCCTCCCCCTCCCCTTCCCTTCCATCGTCAAGTGAGCGAATGACATATTTCAAAATTATTTCTGTTACTGTTCGCTGTGACTGCGTTTGTTTGTTAAGCAAAGAGTTGCCGAGTCCTTTAAAGGGTGAAAGTACAACATTTTCGTGCATGAAAGTTCGTGCAAGTGTATGTGTGTGTGAACGAGACGAAAGCTCTTAAAAACTCTTTAAACAGTTAAAGCTTGCTACTCTCTCTTTCTCTCTCTGTCTATCTCTGTGAGCAAAAAAAAAAGTGCGCATTAAAGTTAGTTCTCTGTTGCTGTTCCCCTTTTATTTTTTTTTTTTTGTTGTGTTTTTGCCCGTGTTTTAGTCCTATAAATAGCCGCCGCCTGCTCGCTCGCTCGCTCGCCCGCTTTATTGTGCACTGTTGCCCAACGCCTGCATATTGATTGAAAAAAGAAAAACTTGTGCACAGAGTCCGAGCTTAGTTCGCTGCTCAGCGCTGATGGCAGGGATAGGAGTCTGCCTGCCTGGGCCAGGGGTATCGATGCAAGCCTCGTTTTCGTTTGTTATGTGCATTGTGCATTGTACATTGTTGTTGTTGTTGTTGTTCTCTTACAATTTATGCATATATACATAAATAAATAAATACAAAGCGCACATGGAAAAAAAAACAAAAAAGAGAAAGAGTTTATAAAATGTTGCCGCTGTCGATTTTGCTCACACACAGAAAAATCCATTGGCCACCCTCTCTAACCTTACCCTTGCAGGCCAATAAAATTGGCGCTTGTTTCTAGTTTTATTACAACACATTTTTTTCGCTTGTCATGTTTCCGTCGTTTCTACATTCTGGCGCCCCTGCTGTACCCATCACTGGAGACACACACATACATATACATTTGTGTTTTTGCTTGTCTGCTGCCTGCCTGCCTGCTCTGTGTAATCATATATTTTTTTTGTTGCCATCACCCCCTTCCCATCAGCATCATCCAATTTCTGTCTATTTCGCATATTTGCATTGTTATGGATTTTTTTTTTGCTCGCTCTTTCTCTTCTCTTTGAACGATCTTGTAGTATTTTTGTGTGCTGCTTTTTAAAGTGGGTTGGGCAAGTGGCGGACAAGACAAACTCGAATTAGCTTTGTTTTTATATTGCGTATTCGTTTTTGTACATGAAAACCCCCACTTGGAAAATTTTCCAACAAGAACACTAAATTAGTTTTTATTGTGAGTTGCTTTTTGTAGATACCTGCTATCAATGTGCATGCACCCGTTTCTTACCCTTTCTCCCACTCGTCTCCTCATCGCCTGGTTGTCCAAATGCATTGCTGCTATCTATTGCTTATCTCTTTTTGTTTGTTGTTTTTATCTCTTGTTTGTTGCCAACTATGTAAAAAGAAAAAAAGAAGGAAAACAAGCACACCTGCGGCAGGAGGAATTTCACACTTTTAAAGAATCGAAAACAAAACCACAAAAATAGACGGCAGTCATTTAAATTTTCATTTCCCACGAAACACATTTAAATATAAACACAGTACTCGCCCACAAATGACGCTTTTCAATCTAAAATTATTATAATTTTTTTTTTTTTTCGCAATAGCGCAAAATGTTTATTAAAAAATTGTTTTATCAATCAAAAATAAATGAGTAAAGAAATTAGAAATGTTACCAATTTGTCTGATAGCGTCGAGTTCCAATATACTAGCGACTACTGTAAATATATAAAAATACCGCCGTATATCGGGCGAATCTGTTGGCTGTCTGCCGCTGCTGATTTTGGTGGTGTTGCCGCGCTGGCTGCTTTGCATCATCCATATATCGATCTGTGGCCAATTCACTGACGCGCTTTTAGTCTAAATAAAAACGTATAAATCAACGGAAAACACATTTTGATTGTTGAGCCAAATGGTTCGCTCGGAATTGCTAAAGGCGTGTGAGCCAAATAATAAATTGTTGTTGCCCTGTGATGAAAGTGACTTGCAATGCTTGCAGTTTTTTTTTTATTTATTGTTTTTGCTTTAGATTTGCGTCATTCACTCAAAAACACACACACACATACACATATAAAGAGACAGAGACAGAATAAGATACGCTGACCTTATGCAAATTTTAGTAAATAACTTTTGCTTTAAGCTATATTGCCGCATTTAATGCGAATTGCGCGAGAGAGAAGACGGAAGAAGAAAAAGCGCGCCAAATGCGACGTCACGGATTAAAGACTCTGTTAATTAAAAAAAAAGCACAAAACAAGCTGAGAGAGCTAGAAGCAAGCGCAAGCAAGTAAAAATACAAATGTAAAAAAAAAAAACAATCACAAAAACAAAAACACTCCATTGGCAACAAGCGTAGTGTCAAGTACAGTACATCTTTATTAAAGTGGAACTGCCAGTAAATAGGGTGTATTTAATGTAGTCAATTAGAAAATATATATAAAAAATGATGAACTAGAGCAACCATAGTAATTTAAGCTGAAAAGTAATCGAGAGCAAAATGAACGTACAAACTTTGACGTAAACACGAGACACGAGTGCGCCCTGTCGTAGTACTAATAATTTGTGCGTCTGTGTCGCACCAACCGGTGCCCCTCCCACTCCCTACACCCGGGCATATCCCATATGACCCCCAACTCAAGCGGAAAGCACTCATAAGTTTGACTTTTCTGTCTTTTTCACGCACACATATATATATACTCTCTCACTCTATGTCTCTGCCGGTCTCTCTCTCTCTCTCTCTCTCTCTCTCTATCTGTTTCTCTTTCTCTGGCTGTGACTGTTGACTGTTGCAATGGCGTCATCAGCATCAGCGCTTTAAAACTTTTTTGCCTGCCCCAAGACACACACACAATCAAATATGTGTCTGTGCAATTGTATATGTGTGTGAGTGTTGAGTGTACAAATGCGCATGACTTGAAAATACATATTTATATGTATGTAAGTATATTTAAACGTGTATCCCACACTTACACACACACACACGTTGTTGGTAACGTTGACGGCTCGAGCCAATGCCTCGTTTTCGTTATTGTGGCATTAAGCCAACAAACAATTTAAGCCAACATGAGTTTTTCCTGCCTAAAAAATTGTGGCAAAAAGAAAGAAGAAAAAACACACACATACACATTGAAATTGTACTTTTGTTGGCTTTGCTGTTATCGTGCGTCGTCGTCTTTCGCTTGATAAACCGGTTTGCCACTCGGCTTGGCTTGGTTTTGGCTGGCTCTGTCGGCTATTAAAATAATACACACACACACACACATACACACTGAGAGAGAAACAAAGCAAAACAAAAAAAGATACAATATGCCATTCGCCATAGCAGCAGTCACCGTGTTTGTGTGTGTATGTATATGTGTGTGTATTCTTGCTTAGTTCAACTTTTGCTGCTGTTGCTGCTGCTTGCTGTTAGACAGCCGGTGGCTCAACTCGGCTCAGGTAGCAGCCGTCGCGGCAACTACAACAGCAGCAGCAAGAGTTAACCAGTGAAATGTATCTGTTAGATACATTTAGTGTACACTCATCTGCGGCGCTAGCTTGTGATTTATGTATGTACAATTGCTTGTGACTAACTTTGTGTGCATGTGTGTGTGTGTTTGTGTGTGTGTATTTATAAATGTGTACTCCATGTATACACATCAACAGGTTTTTTCTCTTGTTAACTTATTTTTTATTTTTATTTTTTTGTATTCAACTTTCTCAATAAAAGCGTGCGAAGCAGCAGCAGCTGCGTGGGCGCGCGAACACGTTGCTGCATCGCATCCTGGGGCAAACTGAAGTTGCTGCCTGTTTTTCTTCTTTTTTCTTATTCATTTTTTGTATTTTTTTTTTTTTTTGTGTAGTTCAGTTGCAAAACTTGTTTTTTGGCGCGCTTTCAAGTATGCGACTGTTTGTGGCTTCCTTTCACTATAATCGCTTGCCACATACGATTTGAAATCGCTTTTGGGCTCAATACAATCAAATCCGACTACTTATTCTGCCCCAAAACAAAAGTAGCATAATCGCAAATGTCTTCATGTGTTGTGTGGGCTTAACAAAAATTGTTTTAAAAATAAACAAAGCAATGCGCTGGGTGAACGTTCGCTTTTTTTTCTTTAGCATTAATATATATATATATATATATACCATACTATATATATTTAAATGTCATAATTGCGATGCTGTATTATTTATTATTCGTTTGTTAGCCATTATCTCGAGCATCTGTGCATTTCTATTTTCTCTTTGCTGTGCTTGACATTGCTATTAATATGATTATCGTTATTGTTGTTGTTGTTGTAGTTGTTGCTACTAGCTGCTGTTTATCTGCTGTTGCTGTTTCTGTTCTGTTCTGTTCTGTTTAGTTGAGTCGCGTAGCGTCGAATCGCTTTGAACGTGACACACGACTGATGTGTCGCTGGCTATCTGTGAGTAGAGGAGGTCTCTTGTGTGTGTGTGTATTTGTGTATTTCATGTTGTTGCGACAGACAAAAGTAGCTATACTTGACGGGTGGGCTTATCAACGCTTGTTGTTGCTCTTTGATACTGGAGTCAAGCGAACTCTTAATTTCACGAATTTCATTTCATTGTTGTTCATGACTGAGTTGTGTATGACGAAAATGCAAATTTTTGAATTAACAGAAAAGAATTAATATCGTTGCCTGATCGCGGTATAATTATATTTTGTAGAATTTTGTGTGCATGCATTATTCTGTGCGACCTTGAAATATTTCCGATATCTTTAACTGTAAATGTAACTGTGTCGTACACCGTATGCTTATCACAGCTGTACACTGTGCTCAGTCACCAGATGCAACGACGCTGTTCGCTCTGATAAGATAGGCAAAAAAAGAAAAGAAAGAAAAATGAAGGAACACGTCAACTAATCCAAAAATAAAGCACAATGGAGCAGCAATACCTGGAGTGGATATTTGTAGTGCTGATATTCGTGTTGGTTTAGCTTGTTGCTGTGGTGCTTGCTGCCTTGTTTGTTGTCCATCTAATCAAAAGCAAACGATGTTGATAAGCACATTGCTGGAACGGAATGCAAGGGAAGCGATGGATGGAATGAGGGGGCAATGCCACGCTATATCACGATGTGTTGTGTTGTTAATATGACGATAGCAGCTGCTCAACAGCAATCACAACAATAACAACAACAGCAACAACAATCGTTTCTCTGATAGCGACACAAACACATTACATGTATGAGACACACATTGACCGACCCAGGCGCTGCTGCTGAGGAGGCGTTGAATTTCTATGTTCTTGCACCTCCAGCCCCTCCTCGAGCCAGCTGCGCACTCAGTGACTGTGATTGTTTGGACAGACAAACAGATGAGGGAGGGGAAAAAGCGAGCGAGCGAGCGAGCCGAGAACGCATTGCAATCAAATAGTATCTTTATCGCTGACGATTGCGAAATCCAAACGAAAAACTTGTCATCGGTGAATATTATGCTGACACTGGCGCGATTTGTTGGCGTTGCTGTTTTCAGTTGTTATTTGTTTGTACTTTGACATCAGATTTCATGTATTTCCATTTAATTTGCAAGTCGTCTGTTTTTTCTTTTCTGATATATGTTGTATATATATATGTATAATCTCTTTTTCTCTTGTCATTGCAGGATTCTCGATTTCAATATGAAGCGCCAAAAATGATTGCAATGTGTGCATCGTCGTCTTGAAAAGGTTTTGTTTCCGTTGATTAAAATTAAAGCAACTGCAACACGCAACGCAACGAAGAAACAATTGCGGCACAAAACAGAACAGAACAGAACAAAACAAATCACAATAAATACCAACAACCAACATATATAAGTAGAAATTAAATCAAATATTAATTTCATAAACAAACAAAGGAGCAACAAAATTAAAGCGCGCTGTTAAATCAACAAAATATCGAACAAAAGGTAAAAAATGGATAAAAATCTTATGATGCCGAAGCGTTCGCGCATTGATGTTAAAGGCAGCTTTGCCAATGGTCCGCTGCAGGCGCGACCGCTGGTTGCGCTACTGGATGGACGCGACTGTTCAATTGAGATGCCCATACTGAAGGATGTGGCTACAGTGGCCTTCTGCGATGCACAGAGCACATCCGAAATACATGAGAAGGTAAACACAGTTAAATCCCAGCACTAATTTACGTTGATTGATTGATTGATAACATTTATTTATTTACTTTGGTGGCAGGTGCTGAATGAAGCCGTTGGCGCCTTGATGTGGCACACTATCATCTTGACCAAGGAGGATCTTGAGAAATTCAAAGCTTTACGCATCATTGTGCGCATTGGCAGCGGCACAGATAACATTGATGTGAAAGCCGCTGGCGAATTGGGCATCGCAGTCTGCAATGTGCCCGGCTACGGGGTCGAGGAGGTGGCAGACACAACAATGTGCTTGATATTGAACCTATACCGGCGCACATATTGGCTGGCGAATATGGTGCGCGAGGGCAAAAAGTTTACGGGCCCCGAACAAGTGCGAGAGGCAGCTCATGTAAGTGAAGATTGATCACACTAATCGATCAATTTTAATAATTGCAGATAAAAGTAGATAATTATACTAAATGTTATTCAAATCATTTACAGGGTTGCGCACGCATTCGTGGCGATACCTTAGGATTAGTTGGACTGGGTCGCATTGGCAGCGCTGTTGCGTTGAGAGCAAAAGCATTTGGCTTTAATGTTATATTCTACGATCCCTACCTACCCGATGGCATTGACAAATCTCTCGGCCTCACACGCGTCTATACGCTGCAGGATCTGCTTTTTCAGTCCGACTGCGTCTCACTGCATTGTACGCTCAACGAGCACAATCATCATTTAATCAATGAATTCACAATTAAACAGGTAAATATATATATATAAATTTCTTCCTGTACACCTATTAAAATCATCATTTTAGATGCGACCTGGTGCATTTCTGGTGAACACCGCCCGCGGCGGATTGGTCGATGACGAGACTTTGGCGCTGGCACTGAAACAGGGTCGGATAAGAGCAGCCGCATTGGACGTGCACGAGAACGAACCATACAATGTATTTGAAGTAAGAGATTGTTGTAAAACGAAACATTTTACGCAATCTGAGCAGACGCAGCGACAGCGCTTGATATGTTTCATACTAAACGTTATGTATTCTTTGGCTTGCAGGGCGCACTGAAAGATGCTCCAAATCTGATTTGTACACCACACGCCGCCTTCTTTAGCGATGCATCCGCAACGGAGCTGCGCGAAATGGCAGCCACCGAAATACGACGAGCGATTGTCGGAAATATTCCAGAAGTGCTGAGGAATTGCGTTAACAAGGAGTACTTCATGCGCACGCCGCCAACCACTGCGGCCGGTGGCGTTGCGGCGGCTGTTTATCCCGAAGGTAAACTACAAATGATATCAAATCAAGAAAAGTAGTGCGAGGCTGAAACAGATGCCAGGGAGAGAGCGTTACAAACAACATAACAAACAAAAAAAGAAATACAAAAAAACAAAACCAGAAACAGTAACAGAAATCGTTTAAATACAATCATAAACACACAACACTCATAAGCAAACAAAAAAACACCATAAACACACACACACACACTCATACAGAGACATACACATTTATGCAGCAAGCGTCTACATACATAATTCTATTTCTTCTGGTTCATTTCAAAGCACACATACATATAAATACATATATATATATATAAAGAGAAAGATAAAGTCGCGTTGAATGAAGATTTCAAGAACGCGTGCTATAAACGTTGATATATAAGTTAATCAGTTTAAGCTATATATATATCTATACATATATATAGACATATATATTTATATATGTACGTATATAGATATGTATTTAGTAGCGGTTTAGGGCCGCATTACGAACATAAATAGAAGGATGTTGAGGAGGAGGTTTAGAGCGCGACCGATGATTATACATACAAATGTGTGTACCAATCGATATATGCACAGTAAGCAAGCTAGATAAACTACAAACGCCGAGCAAAGTAATAAAACATAAATGTATGTTGGTCTTGAATTTAATGCATGCACAGCCACAGTTGGGTCTTAATCACAAATGCGACAGGGTCTTAGTTTTCTTTGTTTAAAATTTTTTTTTTTTTTTGTTCTTTGTATTCCCAATTTTTTTCTTTAATTATGTGTTTATTGAAAGAAATAGATTCCATGGGGACTAGAATCACTAATTTATTTATTGTAAAAGTCGTTTGTCCACCACATAAAAACTTCTGGTCCAGACTCCCAAATGTTGTTGTCAGCGTTTGTAACTAGCTTAAAACTGTAATTTCATTTGTAGAATGTACAGAAATAAATATATATAATATATATATATATGCGTATTGCGTATGTAGATATGTATGTATGTATGTATATATGTTTGCATATGTATACATAATTCATAATTATTTACAGCAAAAAGGTGAAAGTAAACAATTTGATAGATTGTTGTTAAATGTTTTGAGACCCCTGCCCACAATAAATACTTAATCTAACTAACGACTTAACTCAACCGAATAATTATTACGAAACCATTGTATGAGAATTTGTTGTTCAAGCACATATTTATATATCGTATTATTCTTTGTAATATTTTTAATACTAACCAGCAAAAAGTTTATATATCCCAATTTTGTAGTTTACACAAAGCAATCAAAACGTATTATTTTTAAGAATCGATCGCAAAATCGCCATAAATTACTGACTTTCTTTCTTTAAAATATGCAACACAAACGAAAAATTGCAATAAAAAAGAAATATGAAAAGAAACAAAAAACAGAACTTTTGTAAAAATTGTGCGATTTACCAACTTTTTTTTGTTGTTTGATGCTCAATACATTTGCTCTATAATGCATAATGATCTCATCATCCGTGTTTATTTTCGCCTTGCGTAAAGATCTTTACCATGCTGAGACCACAAAAATAAAAATTAATTAAAAACGTACACACAACTATACAAACAAGCAAATTAAAAACAACAACACGGCGCGTGAAAGTAAACCACATCTATAAATAAATATAATAATAATAATAATACAAACAAAAAACAAAAAAAAAACGAGAGAAAATTAAAAGTAATTTTAATGCATAGTCTATGTACATTTAAAATATATAACAGAAATTATATAATAAAAGAAAACAAACAAACAAAAAAAAAAATTACTATTAAAAACTTAGAATTACATTATTGAGGAAAAGATAAGAAAGAAAACAAAAACACAAATAACCAGCACATTATGATCAACCGAGAAGTCTCGGTACATTTAAGAATTGTTAGCGTATAAAATGTAATATTTGCATAAAACAAAACAAAAACAAAAAAAAAAATGAGAAACGGCGCAAAGTATAGTTTTGTAAAATTTTCGCAATTTAAGTTAAAAATTAAACAATTAATGCAATTGCCGCCAAGTTTTTCACAATTATCTTTATTAATTTTCGCTCAAGACCAATATCAGCAATACAAATGAAGCTTATTCCTTAAAATAAACAAACAAAACAAACAACATTCAAATTTGTTTAAAAATGCATCGAGAGTATTTTTTTGTTGTTTTTTATTATACATTATTTTATTTTGTTTTAAAAGAAAGACAAAATTTGTTAAATTTCAAGCACAAAGCATATATGCATATAGAAAAACACACACACACACCCACAAATACGAATATACAACACACTCACACACATACCCACAAACACACACACATCTACTGAAGCATAAATCCAACAATATACATCTATAAACAAGATCCTACGAGTATATAGCAAGCTGCAACAAAAAATGAGCAAAATAAAGTTATACATAACAAACAAAACGAAGGAAATTAATAAGCATAAGCGTAAAAGTAAAGAGACAAAAAGAATAAAATACTGTTATTTTGTAATGTATAAAAATATTTTTAATAACTGTGAAAGCTAAATAAAATTAAAAACAATTGATGAAAAAAAGCAAGTTAATTTCGAAACCAGCAACCAACAAAACCTTTACAGAAAAAAGAAATGCAAAAAAAAAAAAATTAACAAAACAAAGATAACAAATAAAACAAAATCTTTAATGAACCAATTATTGTTGCTTTTGTGTGGCGCATTATTGCAAAATTGTTTAACAAATAATTATTATTTATTTTGGTTTATTATTATTTATTTTTTTTGTAAATATATCTATACATTTTTTTTTTTGTAATTTGGTTCTATTTTGGGATGATGGCATCATTGAGTGCAGAGCAGAGCAAGCGTAATTTTAATTGAAAATTAAATCGATTTATAATTAGATTAAAAAATTGAGTAAGAGTTCGCCCAACCCAATTGAAAAAGTCAGTAATTTATGACCGGCCGGCCAGCGGAATTGATTGCATAGCTAACATATAGCTTATAGCCTATTTGTATTTTAGCCTTAAGGAAAGCAAGCATCATTAATCAATCGTGATAATACACCTACATGACTTGGTAGGAAGGTTAGTTTTAGGCGCCTGTTCTGAACTCATCGCATCATAAGTTCTTTTTAATGACCGCTCCAAAAGCGGCAAAACTCTCTTTCCTATTCGCCACTAGCCACTTCTTAGACCACACGCAGCCACCACCAATTCGAGAACAACTCTTTTCTTTTCTTTTTTTTTTTTGATCTGAAACTACCGCTACATTAAACCAAATCAAAACCACCTACCTCCTTAAAAAAAAATAAAAAGAAACAACAGACAAATCAAGAAAACAAAAAAAAAAAAAAAACAGCAACATATTATTAACTTTACCAATAAACAAAATACCAATACAAAAATCGAAATACAAAATACAGGATTAAATGGCGGCTATTATACAGGCGCACTGCATCATCGGGCACACAGCACCACACCGCATGATGGTCCACACAGTACAACAAATCTGGGCAGCAGCACCAGCTCTGCCCTGGTACAGCCACCGAACGCCGGCACCAACACCATGGCAGCAGCTGCTGCGGCTGTGGCCGCCGCAGCGGCTGCTGCGCTCCTTCCGTCACCGGTTCCGCCGAACGCTGCTGCTGTGCCAACGGTGCCACATTTGTCGCCGCAAATTGGTGGATTGCCGCTCGGAATTGTGAGTAGCCAATCGGTAGGTACTACATACATGCACCACTCAGTGTTCTTCTGTTCTTTGTGTGTGCGCAATGTGTGTGCAAGTCCAAGTTTGTGGCCAATACTGTGGTAATCAAAGCTACTGTGTGTGTGTATGTGTGTGGTCTAGCTTGTTATTGTTGTTTCTTGTTGTTGATATGTTGATGTTGATGTTGATGTTGTTTGCCAATTCTTGTTATTATATATTGGTCATTCATTACTTAGTGTTGTTGTTTGCCTAGGCTAGGGTTTACTAACAGAAATATACATACTATATATATATATATATCTATATATATACTATATACCATATATATATACATACATACATACATACATATATAAACATATATACATACATATGTGTGTGCAGCCAAGTGTTATGCATATGAATTCTAATCGCTTTCACCAATCTTGCTTTTAGCACCTGAGTGCGCCCGACCCTAATAACCATCTGACATCGAGCATTAAATCTGAAGTGAAGGTCGAGTCAACGGAGACGCCGTAGGCTGCTGCATCGTTGCTGGAGGCAAACAAAACTGGTGTGACAACGGGCAGTGACATTATGGAACTTCATGCAGATGGCAGGCAAGGCAGGATAGGATGGGAGTGGCAGCAGAGTTCAGAAAGTCAGATCCAACTACTACTACTACTACTATAATGGATAACATTAATTGTTAATGCTGCTGTGCATTTTTGGCACAGCAGTTGTCGGACAAAAACCGTGATCTTACATTTGTTGTTGTAATCACAACAATCACACATCATCAATCTGTTTCTCTGTATCTGTTATGTGTCCTATACAATAATATCTGTCCGGCTCCTGTATGCCAGATCCATGCGCAACTGCGCCCAGCCTTTGATTTGAATTTTTCCAAGTTTCTAAGTTATAATTTAAAATACGATACATATTTGCATTACCAACCCCAAACAAAATACACACACACACACACAAACAAACACAACAAATAATATACATAAAGAGAACTCCAAAACAAACAAAAACAAACAAACAACAACACACACAAACACAACACGCCTCAAAATTAACTACGTATGTATTTAGAATATACTTTGTAACTATTTAGAATTTTACAGTTACAATTTAAGACTTTTATTTGTATTGCAGCAAATTGTAAGAGAAAATATGTTACCTACATATAAGAGCAAAAAACAAAACAAAAAACACAAAATGTTGGAAAATTTTAACTAAACAAAAAAAAAAAGAAAAGAAAAGAAAAAAAAGCAAGATTTACGGCATACAAAAGCAACACACAAGAGAGACGTTTAGTGCTTAAGATACGTTTAAAGTACATAATAAAAAACAAACGCAGTGTATAATTATATGTGTCTAGATATTTGTTCATAGTTAGTGGGATATGTGCTTGGTTTGTCTCAGGTTCGGAGTAAAAGTTAGTAGAAATATTTGTAGGCTAGAAAAGCACATTAAAATTTGGTGGAACTGAATGATTAAATTCTCTAATCACCCCGAACCGATATCAAAATTCGCTCTAGATAAACACAATTTATTGGGGGTATGTAAACTTTTATTTGAGTCAATTATACACAGTGGTTTTATTTCTGTCGGGTGGTATACTATTTTAAATGCTACATAACACCAGTTCTAAATTAGCACAAACTACGTAGCGTCAAAACAAGTTTGCTTGTATTTGTAATACAATTTTTGTTACGATACAGTTAAAATGTGTAGTAATGTTTAATAAAGTATTTGTAGGTCGATTTTGTTTTCGATTTTTATTTTTGTATTGTAAAATTTCTCAATATAATATGCAACATTTAACACACGGCCATTCTTTCAATATCGAAGGTCCATCACGTTTCCACTTAATTTTAATCGGTACTAGCTAAATTCAGAATCAGAGTTTGAATGCGGAATGAACAACATTTTCATTTACATTTACATTATATGGAGTAAGTCGAAGATAAAGTATTGTGACTGCTTTAGGCAGGCGGGCACGGATACAACGGGCACATTCACATTAAGAGCATTGCTATTGATAATTATTTAACTAATTTTGAAGTATTTGTTTTAGTTGAGTTTGAGTTTGACATGAAATCTGCCACGAAACCATGTACATGCAATAATATATGGTGCCTAACTAACTAGCTGGTCAAAAACACACAACTAATTCGTAGTGACCGCAACAATCTTAATGAATTCCGTCTGCAAAACAATTGAATATGAATTGATATAATTTGTAATCACATTCACAGCATCCCAAGCCAAGTACATAGAATGTACAAAGTGCGCGACTATACTTTTTAATAGTATCATTGATTTTTTCTTTGTTTTGTTGGGTTTTTAAAACCAGGAATATGTTTGAATGTCTTTTTTTTGTTTTTGCTTTTTTTTTTTTTTTTTTTTTTTTGGTTTTTGTTTTTTGCACACATAGATATATTTATGTGTAGCGTATAAACACGTTCTATCAAAAGCATCAAGTACTCGCAATACTTATCATATGTCACCGCCCATTCAATTACATGGGCGTGTCACCTATTAACGAAAAGAATGTCAACAAAAGTAGAAAAAAAAACATGGTCCACAATCAACTTAAAAGAAACGCGTCAGGCGCGGCCTCATGAAGCGGAAGGCGCCATAGCAGCCAAGACCGATAAGACCGTACTTGAAGGTTTTCTTGCAGATCCGCTGGCCGAGACTGGCGGGTGGTATCTCCAGTATGGCCGGTATCTTCTCCGGATCCACATGTCCCCACATCTTGGCTATGCCATTGGCATGACCAATACCCACAACGCCAACAACGCGCACGGGACGCACATGATGGGCACCGGGCGCCGCTTGCGGCAGGGCGGCCAGCTGTAGTGAGTGACACAAGTAGAGATCGCGTTCGCGGACAAAAACGTCGGAGAAGGCCGGAAATTCGCCAGCCATTTCCTGCATCAGTTTCTCGAGCAGATCACGCTGCTTGCACTTCTCCACCTCCTCGCAGCTGATGCTGTCCGTGAATGTTAGGCGCCACACCAGCTTCATCGTCTGCCACAAGGATAATGCTCGCAGAGCACGATAAAGTGTGATACGAATGGGACGATCGCCCAGGTGTAGAATGCAACCAGGCAGCTTGTGTATCTCCTCAAAAGCACGCCGAAATTCACCGCCGGGCGCCATGCCCAGATCTTTGGCAATTTGTGCGCTCATCTGCAGCAGCAGAATAAAGAAGATGCCATTGATATAGCCGTGCGTCTGGAGTATGCCACGTATCTAAAAAGGTAAAAGTATTTAAAATAAGTATTTCGATTTAATACTCGTCATACGTTATACCTTGGGTATATTGATATTCTTGGCCTCCTCCAACAGTGTCTTCTCATCGAGCTTCAGTATGTGTACACGCGATGGACATAGCTCAACCATGACCACATCTGGACGGACGTTGCGAATGACCTGAGATCAGAGGGATTAGTGGGTATTTAATTATTAATTTGTTGGCTTGATACTTACATAAGAGACGTCATCCTGTGACTCCTCGCTGAAGTGTGCCGTGCCGACGAGGTAGACCTTGCTGCCAAACGGCGTATTCAGCAGTGTAACAGTTGAGGGTAAATTTTGATCGAATTCATCCAGAGAATCGTAGATAACAATTTCGCGCTTGGTCTGAGGCTGATCGCTGCCTGTGGCTGCTGGCTCGGCAAGCTGCAGACGCTTCTCGCTTGGCCCATCCGCTGCTGCCGATGCCTCAGCTATTGATATGTCTAACTTTTGCTTGCTGGAATGCAGCAGGGATTCGGCTTTGCGGCGTCGCTTTTCTGTGGCATTATCCTCCACTTTGTTGGGTGACTTTTTGAGTATGTTCTTCACCTTTTCGACTGTCTCGTCGGGATCTTCGGTTGAAAGGCGCTCAATTAGGACCACCTCCTTCTCAAGATCCTCTTCCTTGATGGAATTATCATTTATCTCTATAATTGACAAGTTGGGATTATCGCTCTTGAATATTGTCTTGTTGGCCAGTTGAGACTTTGGATCGACTTCCTCCTGCGAAGTATTCGTATCGGTGCTTTCTGATTGTATCAGCAGCATGCTGGCATTAATCGCCGCCGGGTTATTGGAAGGATAGATATTAAAAGCAGATGCCTCAACGCCACTTTCATTTCCGTTCCCATTCCTATTGTTAATGCCATTGAGAGTGGCAAATTCATCGGCGTTTAACATTTTGTGTGCATAATTTGTTTGTCCTGAGCTTTGATTGAAGTCCCCGTTCAAGCTTTCTGTGAATGTGAATAAATTCATGTAGCGAAAAATTAGAAAAATATATTATATATCAAATTAAGAAATAAATTAAAAGTCTTGTGTTTGCTGCTCATATAAAGTTTCTAGTTCTTTTATATATGGTATTATATAGTTCTGATTCTTGCAGCTATCATTCAGTAGCTGCTGCAACAACTCAAAGCATTTGCGTTTTAGTAATAACATTGTTGACTGTTGCATTTCTTCCATTTTGCTGTGCCTTGCTTCATATTTAGCCACAAGTTTTGATCGGCATTGGGGCAGTTTTTTGTTAATCACCTCCCTAACCCGGGGCTCATGTGCCTCACAAGCCTGCATGCGCAGCTTGTCCATTATATAGGCCAGTTCAACATCAAAATGTACACAATGGTCCATAAAATTGGCATCTTCTGCAAAGGGCTTAAATATTTGGGCAAGAAACCGGTCCGGAAATGTTCTACTTGTTTGAGAGTTAAGCGCCTCTTGTGCAGCATTTAAGAATTCAGCTTTAATGTTCTGGTTGACACAAGTCTTTTGCCGATTTTTCCTATTTTTCACATTTTCCTCTGCGTAATCGATTTCAATTTCAAGTGCAGTCAATTGTAGTTTCAGGCTGTTTAGCTCTTGCTTCAATTTTGCCTGCTTCTGTTTGAGTTCGATATTTTGCAGCTTAGCCATTGAGTCGTTATTAATTGACCCCAGGTTTTGGCCATCAGCAGGCAAATTGTCTACCTCGGCCTGAACATTATTTGCCATGCGGGAATTCATGTTTGAATGTGTAACTATTATTATGAACTTAAAAAATACAGCCTCAAAGCCAACTCAAGCGTAAGTTTTGAATTTACAAAAATGTAAATAGTAATAATTAATGTTGGATTCCTTTGTGTATATTTTTGAGTGCGTTATTCCTGTACTCATTCGAAATAGGAAAGAAGGCATCTTCTACTTATGATTATAAAGTAAAAGTCATTAAGAAATTTGTGCACTTTATCTGTTTTTCTGTATGAATTCACCGAATTCAGAGACTATTTGACCAGGAGCCTTCTACTTTAGAACTATGAGTGAAGGCTCATTTACCATATTCAGATCAAAAATAGCTCGTATTGCTTTGCCTACACGAACTTTGTGCAATTTAAGGTAAGGTTTGCGACATACAGAGTATCTCCCAGCCTATCTCCTCTGCTTAACTTCTTATTCATAATATGAATCGAATTACAATATGAGAGGATTAATAGCAGAACTTACCATTGCAGGATCTGTAGTTCGACGTGGACAGCTGATGGTCGAGGGCACTGTCGTAGAATGTGGTGTCGCCTGTGTAGGATTTACTTTTGGGATCCGGTGTGGCCACTGGCGAGTCGCTTGAGGTTGATGCTGTTGAATCCATTTTTTGTGCACAATCGGTGGATGGCTGTGTGTGTGTGTATTTGTGTCGGTTAACAGTTGTTTTGCTTGTTTGTGTATGTGGGTGACGGTGAGCCGTCAAGTGTGCTTATTTGTGTGCACAGCTGCTGGCTTGGAAGAATTGGTTACGGGTTGAAATTCGGTTTCAGTTTGTTTCTTTGCCTTCATCCACGTATGTATGCATGTGTGCATGTGTGTGTATGTGTGTGTGAGCTGGTATTTTTCTTTTATTGTATATATATATAAATATATATATATTATTTGCGTGTACTTTGTTGGCCTGACATCAGTTTGTTGTGAGTGCCGTATTCGGTGAATAACTGTAAGATAAGTAAGAAAATATAATGAATTAATGAGCGAGAAAGAGAGGGAGAGACAGATTAGATGAGAGTCACCAACAGATAATTCCAGTCCACCTCCTATCATGAACTTAAAATTTAAGAGATTTTGCGTACGTGTACGACATGCTGTTGATTTCAAAGGCACAGCCTAGTCGAGCATTAGAAATTCTCGGTTGACATGACGAAATAACAATCATTATTTTGATACAGCAACTGCTGTCCTCTGCTATTATTTTGATTGTTTTGCTTTCGTCAGCCACTTATACAAGTAGTTAATGTGTACACACACACACAAATATATATTTACACATGCATATAGATGTGTGTGTATGTTTGCTTCGACATACTCGAACATACCTGAATATCTTAAATTGACGTTGCTGTACTCACACACATATAATTGACATTTAATTTGAGCATCTGTGGGTATTCAGCATTTGCAGTTGCTAATTTGATTAACGAAAAACCCAAAAAACTAAAGAATGAAATTGTGATTGTGGCAAACGGAGCTAGAGCGTGCTCTGCTTCTTGCTAGCGTCAAGCAGTGCTGCCAATTCTTACAAAATATATTGTACACACTGTCTGATTGTGAATGAAAAATTCGCTTACAGTAAAGAATTCTTACTTAAATATTAATTATATTTATTTAAGTTACTTATACTCTATAAGTGAACAGCACAATACATATAAACTGCATATCTATGTAAATATGCCGAAGTCGACCGCCAATATTTGCATGATGGTTGTGGCTTGACATACATTATTAGATATTTTACTTTGACGCAATATGACAACACTGGAAATAATCAGCTGTTTGCAACGCGCAAGTAGAAATTCTGCTGTTGAAAAGATTTAAATTAACAAAAAACTTAGCAAAACAGCCATGGCGGATGATGCAGAAGAACCGGCCAAGGTAATAATAATACCACATTTTACAAATTGTAATTGTTCTAATTTGGTTGCATAATTTCCTGCAGAGCTTTGTCATATTTGGGCGCGATGTTTCTCAGATTCCATGCTTTCGTAACAGTTTTCTTTATGGCATAAGCGGCGGGATAGGCGTCGGTGTGTTGGCGTTCCTAGGCTCCTCCCGCCCACATCTCTCCACACATATCGGCTTTGGTTCGTTTTTCTGTGGGACGATTGTCTACTGGATGGCCTGCAGGTAAGTGTTTATATAAATTGCTAGAGATGCAGTGCAACAAAGTATTGTTTTCTTTTTTTAATAATGTTCAGATATCATTGGTCAACGCGACGTTTTGAGCAACAGCAACTGCAAGAGGCAATGCGTCGCCAGGCGTTGTATGAGGGCACAAAAGTTGAACGCGAATTGGATCTAAAGTCTGCGTAGCACTCTTCTGAAATCTAGATAAATGCATAGGTCATTGAACTGTGCAAATAATGAGATGCTTAGTAGCTATTCAAATAATCAGCACAGTATATAATATGAACATATGTAAAAATATGCAAAATTTGATAAGATTAACGTTTTAGATGTATGTATTTGTATATGCCAAATGTACTTGACACCTTTATTTTAATGCTTAAGATCAATATTATGAACTACAACACCTTGCTCTATATATACTAAATTTACACGTGTTTTTTCTGATATTAGCGATAAGCAAAAACTGTTGCCACTTTGAATGACAGTGTCAATAATATAATCATGTATATATGTGCATATAATATATATAATTAAATTAGTGCCTAAGAATTAAACAATGTGTGTAAAAATGTATACAAAAACTGTTCAAGTATGAACATGTGTTGCTCTGGGTATCAGCTAGCGGGCTCATGCAGCACACTCAAGGATAGGTACCTGAGGCCGGGTCACGCTATTCTTAGAATATCCCAAAAGATAGCGAGGGATGAAATTACATATTTTATTATTATATATTATATTATTTATACAAAAACATTACTTGAAAGCACATGCCGTCATTTTAACTGATATCTTACTACCTTAATCACTTTTAAGTGAGGTACCCCTGCCGAGCTGGCCAAATCAACAGATGCCAGCACTACTTTATGTTTATGATGTGCTATATAATCCTAGAAGTGCCGACGTTCGACTCTGTAATCTCAAAATTTTTGCGCCCCAACGTCAGAACGATTTCGTTACTTGGTCGAGCCGGTCGTGCATTGAAAGTCGAAGCTGGTCGGTCTACGCACAACACACAACTTGTTTTGTTTAAGTGATAACACAGATACATATATATGTATATATATATAAACATATACATTTCAGAGAATAGCAGGTTACATTTTTAAAAGAATATTGTGTTTAATATGTCAACGACGGCGGCTAAAACTTCGGTTTTGGTGTTTTTTGTTAATGGAAAAAAGGTAAAGTTGTTGTCAAGAGTGGGGAATTTACAGTTTATAAATAGACTTTTTCGATTATGCAAATGCAATTGGCACAAACAAAATTTAATATAATTAAAACAACTTTTTTTATATCGAAACTTGTTATTGCTTCTTGATTGCTTTATTTGCCAGTTAGGTTGAATAAACGAAGCTTCTCATTCAATTGACTGAAATTAACGTCACACAATTTAAAATTGAGTAAATTTGCGTTGCTGATAACAATTGACCCATAACATTGGGTCATGGTTAATTGGTAGAGCAACGTCACAGATTATCAAAATGTTTTTAAGTTTCCTTGAAATATATCTGCAATTGTTTTTGCTTTGATAAAGATATGATTTGATTAATAATATAACTTTCGTTAGTTCGCTGATACTTTGATTGCACAATTTAAGCCGTTATTAGCCTGTAGTAGTCAGTGTTAGATTATTTTTATGAGGACTCTTACAAACATGGCAAAGTGATAACAAAAATAAGCAAATAAATACAATGTTTGAATAGGACTGCCGCTAATTTCCTTTATCTGTTTACTTAGTGCAAACATATATATGTATATATTTGTATATATGCAAGGCATATTGTACTGCAGCCATTATACGCAATCTCGAGCAGAATTACAATCAACTTGGTTGAGTTGTTTTTCGAGTAAAACGCCTGATAATAGCAGATAGCACATTATAAACGGCGAGGGATGGAAAACAGGTTGAGAGCAGAAAAACGATTGAACTTTGTTGACCCAATTTCGCGCAAAATGCAATTTAAAATTTCAAACAGTTGCCAAGAATAAAAAAAAATAAATAAATACTCACTTAATACGCATTTCTCAGTTTTTTTGCAAACAGAGGAAAACCGGTTTTATGTGCTTTTAGTATTCTCACAATTAAAATAAATATTTTGTAAGCTTGCCAATCCATTGACCTGTTGTTTGAATACCCTTATCTTTAAAAAAAAAACAACATTTAATATAAAATATAGGTGATGAAATCTCGCAACTCTCTATCTTATCAGCCAATATATATATATAAATAAACATATTATTTTACTTAGCAATAAGAGTCGTCTACGGAAAGTGCATTGATTGCAATTGAAATAACCAGCTTTAAAATTCATTTTCATTTAATGACTCGCTGCATTGTTGTTTATTTTTAAACCCTGAATCCATTGTAACGAGAAGGAAGCAGTTTTGTTTCCGTAAATCATATATATTCTTAATCAGGCAAGTCGACTCGATATAGCCATGTTCGTCTGTTTGAACCCGAGGATCTCAGAGACTATAAGATACTTCAAATTTAAAATTGAAGTTCTCGTATACCCCACGAAGAACAAAGTTTGCTTCATTTTATCGATAGAGGCTTTTTATTATTAACATGCAACTGGACTCATTGAGATAATTTCAGTCAGCAGCCGCAAGCATTTTCTGTATATTTTTACTTAGTTTTATTTTACAATTCAGTGTGTTTTCCTATGCTTGCGAACAGAAATAAAGCACTTCAAGATCTGCTTACATTTAAGTGTTCGTTGCTCACTCGACTTCAATATTCTTACTTGTTAAACATCAAATAATTGAAGTTGTAAAATTTAGATTTATCATCAAAAATGCGTTGAAAAACGATAAGATGGAAATATGCTTTTAGGCAGAATGAAGTTAAAATGCCCGTTATACATTTTCGTCCGACTTTATTGTACCCTCTTCATGCGTATAAAATGCATATAAAAAAAATAATAAAACTTTTTTATTAATTATCTGCAGGTGATCGACTCGAATCCTGATCCCGAATGTACACTGCTCACCTATCTGCGTGAGAAGTTGCGGCTGTGTGGCACAAAGCTTGGCTGCGGCGAGGGAGGATGCGGCGCCTGTACAGTGATGATTTCGCGATTGGACCGTCGGAGCAACAGGATTAGTCACTTGGCCGTGAATGCATGCCTGACGCCAGTGTGTGCAATGCACGGATGTGCAGTGACCACTGTGGAGGGCATTGGGAACACGAAAACTCGACTGCATCCGGCCCAGGAGCGTTTGGCGAAGGCACATGGATCGCAGTGTGGCTTCTGTACGCCGGGCATAGTGATGTCGATGTATGCACTGTTGCGCAATGCAGCACAGCCATCGATGCGAGATCTGGAGGTGGCATTCCAGGGTAATCTGTGCCGCTGCACCGGCTATCGACCCATCCTCGAGGGCTACAAGACATTCACGAAGGAGTTTGCCTGCGGCATGGGTGACAAGTGTTGTCGCGTAAATGGCAAAGGTTGTGAAAACGGTTCCGAATCCCAAACGGATGACACGCTCTTCGAACGCAGTGAGTTCCAACCCTTCGATCCCAGCCAGGAGCCGATCTTTCCGCCAGAACTGCAGCTGACCACTGCATATGATGAGGAGAACCTGATCTTTCGCTCGGATCGTGTGGCCTGGCATCGACCAACGAGTCTGGAGGGGCTGCTACAGTTGAAATCTGAGCATCCAAGCGCCAAGCTAATTGTGGGTAACACCGAGGTGGGCGTGGAGGTGAAATTTAAGCACTTCCTCTATCCGGTGCTCATCAATCCCATTAAAGTGCCCGAGCTGCTGGAAGTGCACGAATCCGAGGAGAGCATTTATTTCGGTGCCGCCGTCAGCTTGATGGACATCGATGCATATCTGCGCAAGCGGATCGAGGAGCTGCCCGAGACGCAGACGCGCTTCTTCCAGTGCGCCGTGGACATGCTGCACTACTTTGCCGGCAAACAGATCCGCAATGTCGCATGCCTCGGCGGGAATATCATGACCGGCAGCCCCATCTCCGATATGAACCCTGTACTGACGGCGGCAGGTGCTCGCTTAGAGGTGGCCAGTCAGGCTGATGGTAGGCGTTCGGTTAACATGGGCACTGGCTTCTTTACCGGCTATCGTCGCAATGTTATACAGGCCCATGAAGTCCTCCTCGGCATACATTTCCAGAAAACGACGCCCGATCAGCATGTGGTGGCCTTTAAGCAGGCGCGTCGTCGGGACGATGACATTGCCATTGTGAATGCTGCTGTGAATGTCAGCTTTGTGCACGGCACCAATGTGGTGCAGTGCATCCACATGGCGTTTGGTGGCATGGCACCCACAACGGTTTTGGCGCCGCGCACCTCGGAGGCGATGGTAGGACGCAAATGGAATCAGGAGCTGGTTGAGGACGTGGCGGAACAACTGTGCGATGAACTGCCCTTGGCTGCCTCTGCGCCCGGTGGCATGATTGCCTATCGACGCGCCCTGGTCGTCAGCCTGTTCTTCAAATCCTACCTGGCCATCAGTCGGAAACTGTGCGATGCTGGCATCATGCCGCCGGATGCTGTGCCCGCCGTGGAGCGCAGTGGCGCCGATTCCTTCCACACGCCCATTCTGCGCAGCGCCCAGCTGTTTGAGCGTGTGTCCACGGATCAGGCCAGTCACGATCCAATTGGTAAACCTAAAGTGCATGTCGCTGCCCTTAAGCAAACAACTGGTGAAGCCATCTACACGGACGACATTCCTCGCATGGATGGTGAGCTGTATTTGGGACTGGTGATGAGCACCAAGGCACGCGCTAAGATTACCAAGCTAGATGCCAGCGAGGCACTGGCCATGGATGGCGTGCATGCCTTCTTCAGTGCCAAGGATCTAACCGAGCACGAGAACGAGGTGGGACCGGTGTTCCACGATGAGTACGTCTTTGCCAACGGCGAGGTGCATTGCTATGGCCAGATCATTGGCGCCATAGTCGCTGATAATCAAACGCTGGCCCAACGCGCCGCTCGCATGGTCCGCGTGGAGTACGAGGAACTGCAGCCGGTGATTGTGACCATCGAGCAGGCCATCGAGCACAAATCGTATTTTCCCAACTATCCGTGCCATGTGATCAAGGGCGATGTGGAGCAGGCCTTTGCCGAGGCGGATCACATCCATGTGGGTAGCTGTCGCATGGGTGGCCAGGAGCATTTCTATTTGGAGACCAATGCCGCGGTGTGTGTGCCCCGCGACAGCGATGAACTGGAAATGTTCTGCTCCACCCAGCATCCGACAGAGGTGCAGAAGCTGATATCGCATGTCGTAAATCTGCCCGCCCACCGCGTCGTCTGTCGCGCCAAGCGCCTGGGTGGCGGTTTTGGTGGCAAGGAGTCGCGCGCCATTATGGTGGCTCTGCCCGTTGCCTTGGCTGCCTCTCGCCTACGACGTCCCGTTCGCTGCATGCTGGATCGTGACGAGGATATGCTCACAAGTGGCACAAGGCATCCATTTTTATTCAAGTACAAGCTGGGCTTCACCAAAGAGGGCCTCATCACCGCCTGCGATATTGAGTGCTACAATAATGCCGGCTGGTCGATGGATCTATCCTTTTCGGTAATTGTATATGAACAATATTTAAAATATTATTTAAAATATTATTAGTCCTTATACTGAATAACAGATTTCGAAGCAGATTACGCTTTACTCCGCCCTGGACAAAGTACTAAATATAATTGTATATTTTAGGTCTTGGATCGTGCCATGTATCACTTTGAGAACTGCTATCGCATTCCCAATGTGCGTGTGACTGGTTGGGTGTGCAAAACGAATCTGGCATCGAATACAGCCTTTCGAGGATTTGGTGGCCCGCAAGGCATGTTCGCTGGCGAGCACATCATTCGGGATGTGGCCCGCATTGCTGGTCGCGATGTGCTCGATGTGATGAAACTGAACTTTTATAAGAACGGCGACTTCACACACTACAATCAGCAGCTGGAACGGTTCCCCATTGAGCGCTGCTTCGCGGATTGCTTGAAGCAGTCACGCTACCATGAGAAGCGTGCAGAGATCGCTCGCTTCAATCGGGAGCATCGCTGGCGGAAGCGTGGCATTGCTCTGGTCCCCACCAAATTTGGCATTGCCTTTGGGGTCTTGCATCTGAATCAGGCTGGTGCCCTGATCATCATCTATGGTGATGGATCGGTGCTGTTGTCGCATGGTGGCGTTGAAATTGGCCAAGGATTGAACACGAAGATGATTCAGTGTGCTGCACGAGCGTTGGGCATACCCATTGAGCTCATACACATCTCGGAGACGTCCACGGACAAGGTGCCCAATACATCGCCCACGGCGGCCAGTGCGAGCTCGGATCTTAACGGAATGGCCGTGCTGGATGCCTGCGAAAAGATCAACAAGCGACTGGCGCACATCAAGGAGGAGTTGCCCAAGGGCACCTGGCAGGAGTGGATCAGTAAGGCATATTTCACTCGCGTCAGTTTGTCGGCAACCGGTTTCTATGCTCTTCCAAACATTGGCTATCATCCCGAGACGAATCCCAATGCACTCACCTACAGCTACTATACAAATGGAGTTGGTGCTTCGGTGGTGGAGATTGATTGCCTGACGGGCGATCATCAGGTGCTCAGCACGGACATTGTCATGGACGTTGGGTCCAGCATCAATCCGGCCATTGACATTGGCCAGATTGAAGGCGCCTTTATGCAAGGCTACGGCCTGTTTACGCTCGAGGAACTCATGTACTCTCCACAGGGCATACTCTATTCCCGTGGACCGGGCATGTATAAGCTGCCTGGATTTGCTGATATACCCGGCGAGTTCAACGTCAGTCTCTTGACCGGCGCACCCAATCCACGCGCGGTTTATTCATCAAAGGTACGTGAAGAATTCTAATTAGCTAATTTACTACAAAGTATGAAAATTATCAGTTTTATGTTTTATTTTTAATGAAATTGGATGATATTGTAACCATTTTTATTAAGGAATTTATCTCTGACTCAAAAATATTTGTGTATGGCTTAATGCAAATGGAAACACTGGAAATGGTATTCGTCTAATGTAAAACTATTTAATTTCTGTAAAATATATTATTTGAGCGGCCATTGAATATTTAAATATGTCAATTAAAATTATAAATATTCTTTAAGTCTTAATGTAATCTTAAAATCTAGTCAAGTTTATTATTAAAAATTGTCTTCTCGTTTCAGGCCGTTGGCGAACCTCCGCTTTTCATAGGTTGCTCGGCATTTTTTGCTATTAAGGAAGCCATTGCAGCCGCTCGCTTGGATCAGAATTTGAGCGCTGATTTTAATCTGGAAGCGCCGGCAACCTCGGCACGCATACGCATGGCTTGTCAGGATAAATTTACACAGCTGGTTTGTTGCACATCCTCCCCAGCACTTTGTCAATCATGTTAACCGGATTCTCCATTTCAGCTAAAAATGCCAGAGGCGGGCACCTATACGCCTTGGAATGTGGTGCCATAGGATCTGACAAATCACAATAAACTTATTCATAAATATAGTAATAAATTCCTGTACCTATTGATTAGTAGTTACATACATATACAACTTAAATCTAATGCTTTTTAAATACAATCTTCTCAACCCAATCCAAGTAATTGAAGAGCTTAGTATAGACACCGGGGGCATTGGGCGCCGCACAGAATTTGCCAAATGATGTTATGCCCACAACGAAGGCGACGCAATTGTTTTCGGGCAACACCGCATGCAACGGTCCGCCGGAGTCGCCCTGACACGTATCCTTCCCACCAGGCAGATAGCCTGCACAGAACTGTGAATCAATGATACCATTTGGCATACGACGTTCCTTGCGATAGATCTGCTTGCAACGCTGCTGCTTTATCATATCGAGTTCGACCTGGCGCAATGTGTTCGACTTGGCGCCCAGGAATTCGGTGCGTCCCCAGCCCGTGGCCACCACAGATCTGATATGCAAATCGGATATTTGCCACAAGCATGCTGGGCGCACACGATCCGACAGCTGGGCACGCTTGGTCAGCTTAAGTAGCGCTATATCGTGGTAGTAGGAGGACGACCGATACTTGGGATGCAGTATAATCATAAGTATTTTAATGTCCTGCTGCCAGGGACTGCTGACATTGAGCTCCTGGGCACCCAATCGCACCATGTCAGGTGGTTTACTGCAAATGATTTAAACGTCATACAATTGAGTTTTACTGGGCCTTGTCACTCACCTACCCGATGTGGCGCAATGGGCCGCTGTCAGCACGTAAAGCTCACTGATCAGCGTGCCGCCGCAGCCCCATTTGATATCGCCGTCGCTCTGTGTCCAACCCAGAGCTGTCATGTGCGGGAATAGAGAGTGACGCGTGGGCGTGCCACCCACAATAAGTGGCACACTGGGCACACACTGTTTGCCCGAGAAGCTGCGTCCGGTGTCGCCCAGGCGCAGTCCCCGCGCTGCGCTATTATACTCCTGGCATTCTGAGGAATAAATTGGCATTACAAAACAACAATGAACTCGAGCGTGTACTCCACTTACTGGTGGCACTGATACGCTGCGTATGGACATGCTTGTCTGCCAGTGGGCAACAGATAACCGGCACATTATTGCGATACATGCAGATGTCAATGCGGGTGCCATGCACCCGATACTCGCGTATGACATGCAGACACTGATACGCCAGGATGCAGTAGCCGCTGCGCCCATCGAAGCTGCGCCGGCAAAAGGCGCCCTCCACCAGCAACGGCTGAGTTGGCGCTGCAGTTCGCAGCTCGTCATCGTTGTCGAATTTAAGATAGCTCTCTTCCAGATCGTTGTGGTCCACTGCTCCTTCTGCTCCGCCCACTCCATCAACTTCGTCGGCAGATGCCTCCTGTGGCCATGGCTTGGCAAACGTATACTTTGTGGTTTGGTAATTAACTATCTCAAAGGCATCGAGCGCTGCTAAAAACTGAAAATATTAAAAAACGGGCTATTGAGTATTTTAATATTCTATTTATGCACCATTTAGCGCCTGCATTTGTAGCAGTAAACACATCCATTGCAGACTGACGGTTGTTGACAAAATTAGCATTTCTGCATTTGTCTGTGCTTTGGCTTTGTTTTTCACGCATTTGTACTTGGCGAGATTAATTAATAATATTAAAAGTCAGCTGCGCATCGAAAGCTGAGCAACAAAACGATAGTTTTTAAATACCTTAGCACGACTCACGCTCAAACCAAATTCCAATTGGAATTAGGCAGCGCGGGGGTTGCCAGGCAGCCCAGTTATTAAATCGATGGGGCAGCTTTGTTAATCGGTCTTTCCATTTTTAAATGGGCGGCAAGAGTAAAAAGAAACGAAATAGCAAAGATTCCACATCCAGCAACGCTGGCAGTGGCGAAGGCGATGATAAGAAAAAGAAGGAAGGCGCCGGTGGCAGCAAGAAAAAGGCTGGCGTTGGCAAGTCCATTGGCTGTGATATATTCAATGATGCAGCCATGGATAATGCCTACTATGTGTGTCACAATGTGCAGGTCGGTCTCTAAAGAGAATCTCTGATTTACGATAAACACCAATTATACACTTGCAGGACGTACTGAAGTCTCGTGGATTTCCTTGGCCAGATGGGCAAAAGAAGAAGAAGAAGGGAAAGCGTTGAGCAAAAACCAGTACTTTATTCACAAATATCTCCCAAATGCATTGTATATTAGAGTATCCAAATTTGATTGAAAACCCAGTCATAATTTTCAGACCAAATACAACTTCTCAAAGCAAACAGTTTCTAGAACAAGCGTCAAAATCTCCACAAACAGAAAACAAAATCAAAATTTTCGGCGTGTGAAAATCACAACAAAAAAGTGGCAAAAAATAAATACACTCGTTTTGTAGAGAAACGCCAAAAATCGGCGAAAAGATTGCAACATAAAAATCAGAGCGTCAGGCGGTCGCACGATTTAGTTAGTCACCGACAGCAGCGGCAAGCGAATCGCTCAGAATTGAGGCAGCACTCGGAATTGGAATAGTTGTGGAATAGTATAAACATGGCTAAGACAGCGGCAATTGGCATCGATCTGGGCACCACGTTCTCCTGCGTGGGCGTTTGGCAGAACAATAAAGTGGAGATCATAGCCAACGATCAGGGAAATCGTACAACGCCCTCCTATGTGGCCTTCAATGACACCGAGCGACTAATTGGCGATGCCGCCAAGAATCAGGTAAGTCAGCCAGCGGTTGCACTTGACATTTAGCCACTCAAATTGGCCAAATATGAGCATACATCAAGTATAAAATATTGCACATATGTATGCACATAAATGGATTAACTTACATATGTACAAATGACGGCATCCATGAATCATTAAATTGAACCACATTCAAACAGACATATAAATAAAAAGATGTATATCTTTGTTTATGTACCGAATTATTTATAAGTATGTTTTCATCTGTATCTAAAATTAAATGAAGAAAAAGCCAACTTCGGCATACCGAAGATTATATAGGCCTGCAGTATGGACTCCACCTGGTCATATTTTAAGTATATTTACTAACTAGAAATAGTCAAAAAGTGCATCAAAAAACATATGGACAGATGAACATATCTGCTTATCTGCTTGGCCTTTCATGCTGATCAAGAATATATATGAACTTTATGGGAATGAAGATGACTTTTCAATCCGTTGCACATATTACGAGAAAATTTTTTAAAATTCTGGAGGGGCACAAGCACAAAGCACACAATATTGTCTGCTAAGTGGCATTATAATTCGATGATTCTAAAAAGTTTTTGGTTTTCAAAAAGATTAATATCCATAAAAAGAGATGTTCCACAAAACTATTTACTCCTTTATCTATGTGGGAAAAAGTATTGCAAATAAATTCAAATTTATATATTCATATTATATATTTATGGAAATATTTTTAGGCATTCCTGCAAATATATTTTCCACATTGAAATCAATTGGAATTTATTGGAACAACCCCAACAGTTGGCCACTTAAAAATAGCATTTATTTTGTTTGCTGACTAATTTTCTGTATATGTATTTATGATCAGGTTGCGATGAATGCCAAGAATACGGTATTCGATGCGAAACGTTTAATTGGACGCAAGTACGATGACCGGAAGATACAGGAAGACCTAAAGCACTGGCCTTTCAAGGTTATCAGCGATGCTGGCAAGCCGAAAATTGAGGTTGAGTTCAAAGGCGAACGCAAGCGCTTTGCACCCGAGGAGATCAGCTCGATGGTGTTAACCAAGATGCGTGAGATCGCCGAGACTTATCTGGGTACAAAGGTAAAGGATGCGGTGATTACGGTGCCCGCCTATTTCAACGACTCACAGCGTCAAGCGACCAAAGATGCTGGCTCCATAGCTGGCCTGAATGTGCTGCGTATCATCAATGAGCCGACGGCTGCCGCTTTAGCCTATGGCCTGGACAAGAATCTCAAAGGGGAGCGTAATGTGTTGATTTTTGATTTAGGCGGTGGCACCTTTGATGTCTCCATACTGACCATCGATGAGGGTTCATTGTTTGAGGTCAAGGCGACGGCTGGCGATACCCATCTGGGTGGCGAAGACTTTGACAATCGTCTAGTCAATCACTTTGTGGAGGAGTTCAAGCGCAAGCACAAGAGCAATATAGCCAGCAATGTTCGAGCTCTGCGACGCCTGCGCACGGCTTGTGAGCGGGCCAAGCGGACGTTGTCCTCCAGCACTGAGGCGTCCTTGGAGATTGATGCACTGCACGAGGGCATTGATTTCTATTCAAAGATATCGCGTGCCCGCTTCGAGGAACTGAACATGGATCTGTTCCGCTCGACGCTGGAGCCGGTGGAGCGTGCCTTGAACGATGCCAAAATGGACACAAAGGCCATACACGATGTGGTCCTGGTCGGTGGCTCCACTCGCATACCGAAGATACAGCGCCTGCTGCAGGACTTCTTTGGCGGCAAGCAATTGAACTTATCCATCAATCCGGACGAGGCGGTGGCCTATGGTGCTGCCGTTCAAGCAGCCATTCTCACCGGCGTCGGCAGCTCGCAGATTCAGGATCTATTGCTGGTGGATGTCACGCCACTTTCGCTGGGCATTGAGACTGCTGGCGGCGTGATGACCAAGCTGGTGGAGCGCAATGCTCGTATTCCGTGCAAACAGCAGCAGACGTTCACCACGTACAGCGACAATCAGAATGCGGTCACCATTCAAGTGTACGAGGGTGAGCGGGCCATGACCAAGGATAACAATCTGCTGGGCACTTTCAATCTGACTGGGATACCGCCAGCGCCACGTGGTGTGCCCAAAATCGATGTGAGCTTTGATTTGAACGCTGATGGCATTTTGAATGTGGGCGCCAAGGATAACAGCACCGGCAAATCGGAGAAGATCACCATAACAAATGACAAGGGTCGACTCTCCAAGGCCGAGATCGATCGCATGCTGTCCGAGGCGGAGAAGTACAAGGACGAGGATGATCGTCAGCGCGATCGTGTGCAAGCCAGGAACACACTGGAGGCCTACATATATGGCTGCAAACAGGCCGTGGAGGAATCGCCCGCTGGCGTCCTCAGCGACTCCGACAAGTCTACGGTGCGTGATAAGTGCAGCGAGGAGACCAAATGGCTGGACGGTAATTCGCTGGCCGAGAAGGAGGAATACGAGCATCATCTTAAGGATTGCCAGGGCGTCTGCGCACCCATCATGTCCAAGCTGCATGGCCAGTCATCGAAAGCCGGCAAACAGACGGGCAGCGGATCCGGACCCACCGTCGAGGAGGTTGACTAATTCGACACTGAATATTTTAGTATTCGGAACTTATGCACATTAACATTATAAAACACCATAAAATCACTCGGCTCGAAAAAGAAATTCCCTGTTCTTATATAACACATATCATATTCGTTCCTAAAAAGATATAAAAATTAAAAGAAAAGAATCATTTTCTTTCATAGGAAATGTTATTTTGGAAAATATAATGGTCAATTCTCACAAAATGTATTTCAATAAATAATTAACAAATTTTTGGTTGATTTTCTCTTCAATATGGATCGAAATTTTAAACTCTCCTAACATATCAATTACATATCCGAGGATCAAACTAAATGATCGAGTAATACAATTTTAGATGGAACAACTATTTTCAGGCAAGTTCCAAAAATAAATGCAATTTGATTTATAAATGTATTGAAATAATACTCAATTATGTTGGATTTTGAATCGATTTTTCATTTTATTAAATAATAAAGAAATAATTTTAAAAAGTTCTTATTTATATTTAAGCAAATTGCGTTTTGGGTGATTCATTAAAATATTAAAATATTCAATGGAAATTTATACGGGCTTAACGAATTTTTATATAACATTTGGATATAACATGTACATATATATAACATATAATTAATTAGATTGCACTTACGATTTTTTAGAGGAGGGTCCTACTAATTTACATTCCAGGTTTGGTAACTTTCGATCTTAAATTACAGGAGTGGGCGTGGTCCAAAAACGGTTTTTTAAGTGTGTTACTACCAATATACCATTCAAGTTTTGTGACTAGCTTACGAAGTTCCCGGGACGGCTAGTGAGGATATTATCAGAAAGCTACCTCCCAAGTTCGGTGACTCTATCTTTAAGAGTGTGGAAGATATGCGGTTTTATCGATTTACACCTTCAGAAATAACACTTTTGGCGATTATGGGCGGTGCTGTGGGCATGGCTTTTATCGGTTACCCGTAAAAAACCCAAAAACTGCGGAAGGCAGAGCCATTTAAAATTTGTATAGGAGGGGGCTTGGGGCGGCGGAGATGGACGCCCAGCTCTTCTTTAAGAGACATCGCCAACAAACAAAACAAATCAAAACTACAAACAACATTTAGAATTGATCGTTGCTTCTCCTATCATAGACATGGTGCCCCATATGCATATATACATACACATGTATATAAATATTTAGTCTGAATTTGCATACTGACCTACCATTTGAATTGCACCGGGAAATCGGCTGGTGCATTCGATTACAATGGTTAGCTATGAAAATTGAAACAGTCTGATTGTTGACGTGCTTAGAAAATGGTCTCGCCTAGTAAGATTTTTAGTCCGCCCATGGACTGTTTACATTGTGGATGGGTATTGCACAGTCTGCCGGATCAGAGCTGCACAGAGGCCCTCATCTGGAATCTGTATCGCAATCATATATCGAGTTCTAAATTTTTTTTGCCTTTATTGTTGGTATGTGTGTGTTTTGCTATGTTGTTGCTGCATTTGCTTGCATTTTATTCGAGTGTTTCCAATTCTGCTGCAGTTTCCATTGATTTTAAATTGGCGCCGACAAACGAGACGACGTCTGTGGGCAATAGTGAAAAACTATCTGCAAACAGTTAGCGTTGCCTCAACAGTTAACGCCCTGGCTTATTATTTGTCTTGCATACTGAGACGTTTGAATGATCGATTCGTTTATAGCTGCATATTCGGTATACCTGCCCTTCTGGCTTCACAACTCTTGTGGTTGGCACCGACCAGAGTGGTGCAGTTCTTTGCCACAGGCGTATTGCCTTCGGTATGTTGACTCTGACCACTTTATCTCATATAATTTGATATTTACTGATCCTATTGTTAGGCCTTTGAGGCAGTGCTGCGCCAGCTAAATGTGGGTTTGGTGCACTCCCGTGGCGCCCAAACATTAATATTTATGGTGTGCTCGCTGGTGGTGTTGCGGCGGCAGCAGATAAAAGCTTATTCCGGGTTCTGGTTCATTCGACCCGCCCCAATGCCCGCGAACTACGACAAGTGGTCGTTGGGTGAGCGTGTTAAGCAAAGTCTACTCGAATTGCGCACCCATTTGGGCATTGGACTGGCATTGGACTTGATCAATGGGGCGCGGCGCAAACAACTCAAGAAGATGCAGTTGAAATCGACAAGATTTATGCTAAGTTGTATGGGCATATATCAGGTGAGATTAACCATTCCTTAGCTGTATTATAACAATAGACATGCATATGCCTTTATATTCATTTCAGCTCACACAATGTTTGCTCGCAAATAGGTTGGAGTCGAAAATTACGAATTTACTTGCTGCGTTTTTGAGTGGTGGCGCCTTTGGATTAGTCAAACAAACACCCTTAACCTATATGTCGATTGGTGTGGTCATTGCCAGCCAAGTGTTGTGGCAAGAATTCTGTGAAATGGATGCTACACATAATGGTCTTTTGGCTATCCTGCAGCGGATTCCCTGGGCACTACTGTTTCTGCCTCCGTCCTTGGCCTACTTGATACACAGCATGTTTATTCAGCCACACGTACTTACTGGCTTAGCAAAGTCATTTTTGAATAACACGGCCGATAACAAGTAAGTCAATTTAGTTGTGTATTTATTTACAAGTTTAAAGTCACTTAAAACATTTCAGCGTTCAACGTGTTTACGCATTAATAAATCAACCCACTGACATAGTTATGAACACGGTTCAAAAGTTACCCATTAAGCCGTTCTTATTTTAAGTAGAGGAATCAAAGTATTGGCTACTTATGCAATATTTATTTTCTTTTCATTTCGCTTAAAATGAAACATTAAACATTTGTACAGACACAAATTCAAACATTTTATTATTATTGTTTGAAAACTAAATTGCACAGAGGATGAGAGCAGATGGATGATGGGGCACTGTAACCCTTCAATATGGGTAGATAATAAGCATATTTTTAGGCTTAGAGATAAAACCAATAACGGAGCTCTGAAAAAAGCAAAAGAATTTAGGGCATACTTTGAGGGACCCACTGACGCTGTATCTTTACAGCTTTCCATTAGAATCACAGGGACCAAATCTATCGAAACACGTTCAAAGAATATTGGATCATCTGAGATCCCAAATTACATCCCGATAATACTTGAAATGGACAAGATAAATCCGATCTTTCGTTATTTCTAAATTTATGTAGTTTTTGCCAACATTTTTTCCCCGAATTATGTAAACCCTTGAATGCAAATCGATCAACTAACATTAAAAAAATCATTTATTTTGGATTACACATTCAATATAATGATAGAAACAGTTGAGTATGTCTGAGTATATCTTACTTATTGGCTAGCCAAATATCTGAGGTGCAGTCTCCTCCTGGATAGCGCATCTCATGTGGTAGACTTGGCCCATATGGTTCCTTTCCAAAGTCAACAAAGAAGTCCTCATTGAGAGTCATGCCTCCATTGACCACATCGATATCGATGAGGCACACGGTTCCACCCTTGGCCACCATTTCTGGATAGAACTGTAATGAGATGAATTCTCTTAGTAATCTGCACAATCAAATGGTCAAGAAATAAGTACTTGTTTATCCCAAGGAGAAAAGAGTGAAGAGGAAACATATAATCGTTTGCCATCAAGAGACAGCTGCATCATTTGGGGTCCTCCTTCCAAGCGACGACCCTTGATGAAGCATGGAGGTGGCCTTTCCTGAATCATAAAATATATATATATATAAATTGGATACATTGATTTATAGATTTTCTTCCCAGCAACATACAGTCAACTCTTTATCCTCCTTGACGATAATATTGGGAAGATCACTGCTGATAGAACCTCCCATCCAGATTTGAGAAATGAGTTTGGGCTTGTCTGGATTGCTGATATCATATTGCCTGACATCGCCGTGACGCCAGCAGTTTACATAGAGGAATCGATCATCTAGCGATATGATAATATCTGAAATCATTCCACCCATCTCAGAAGCAGTGCCACTTCCAGTGTCCACCAACTTATTTGGTATGTCAATTACTTTCTTGACATCAAACTCGTCGGAGTCGGTTTTTTTCTTGAAATAAAAAACTTTTGCATTCAAGGCGCATCCAACGAATCCATCTGGACGTTTTGGGTCGTGCATGAAGCGTATCTCCAACGGGGTAACGCCCTCAAAACCCAGATCAACGGTTTGATACAGAGTTTGTGTAGACCACTTGTAAAAATTAATTCTGCAGCCATACTGGTTCATATCGTTCAAATCTTCAATATTCCATCCACTAAAAACGAATCAAGGATGTTTAGTTTTGTACTTGGATAGGGAAAAATTTGATGAAGGCATACAAACCGTCGAAATTTGTTGGGTGCTCCCCATTCGGATGAAGCCATAACATCAAAATAGGGCTGATACCAGAAATCATAACCACACAGCGCCTTCCGATCTCCCTTAGTCCATGTGCCGACACAATTAAATTCTGAGTCAAACAGGATAAAGTCTCCAGATGCATTTCCCTTAGCATCACCCATAACCGATATCATTACATTGCCATTGGCCAAGCAGTGAGTTGTGTGCGGAGCCGTCACGTTGTGGCTCTTCAACACGTCTCCTTCGATGACCTTGACAATTTCAGGCTTGCGTGGATCCGTCGCCACATCGAGTACATAAATAAAATCCGAATTAAGTGAGGGCAAAATCAATCTGTTTCTCTTCGGCACAGTTGCTGCATTCTTATCAACATAGTAGCAACTGGAGCAGGCATTCCAGCCGGAATGGTGCAACTCGTTTCCCTTTCGATTCGTAAAGGTGCGATGAATGATCTATTTAAATTAAAATTCAAAATTTAGTTTGTTGTCAACAAGTTGTTTTCACAATTATCAGTTGGATTTATTTGGTTACCTGGCAATATGTGGGACTATCTGGGTCCACATCGATTGTGGATAGATAATCGCCATGCGGCTCGTCCAAATTTGGTTGAATTGTGACCGTATAGAGTAATTTCTCCCGGGGTCCACTCTTCATGGCATCCAGCGGAGTCGCATAGCCAGGTCCATGGCAACAAGCTATATAGTATGATCAATCAATTATCACAAGTGTTTATTATTCCCTGCATGACTTAAGCTTCACCTTTTTCCGACATGATAGAATATTTTTCGCACGTTGTTGTTGATCAAAGAACAGCAGATCACTGCCACACAAAATACACATGCCCAAGTAAATACTTACAATAAAGTTATCAGCCGGTTTTGAGCGAGCATTTTAAATAGAAAGAGCTTATATGCATAGGCACATTCACTCTCATCTCACATGTCTCACTGCTCTCTGGAAAAATATTCATAAGGCAACTGAGAGTGATTTGTTTTTATGTGATTTTTTTGTGTCTCTTATCATCCACGCGCCTTACTCAAGATACAATTTATTGTTTGTTATTCACAAACTGTTCTTCTTATATATTTTATAAATAATTAAACACAATCAAATAATAAAATTTCATTTATCATGATGACTTGTCATATTCTTCGTACTTGTCTTTTTTGCGCCATCAACAATGTATTTGAAATATTGTTATGTACATCTTTTAAGTTTTCAACATATTTAATTTGATTTTATTGTTTAAATAAAAATACTTATATATAATTGTAAAATGATTTATTTCTGCATAAATTATAAAATTATAAATAATTATATATATATATATAATAATTATATAAGAGCACAAATTGAGAACTGCCCTGAATCATCATTTATCGTCAATTTATTCCTGCATTTGGATCAAGCAGTGGCAAGCACGATTAGTGTTTACACCAGTCACGAAAAGAAAAGGAAATGCTGACGATATGGCAACGCCTCAGCTGTTTTCTGTTATTGTCTGCTTATATTTTTGCTGTTAGTTTGCCGTTACAACATGCGTTTCTTATCACAAATACGCAAAGCATCGACACAGGCGACGCGCCGGCGAGTGGTGGTTACGGGTAGCGGTGCCGTCACACCACTGGCCAATAATGTGCCCGAATCGTGGCGGCGTTTATTGGCCGGCGAATCGGCCATAACCAAGCTGGGCGCCGAATTCAAAGGTCTGCCGTGTCAAGTGGCCGCTCAAATACCAAAGGACCGCTTGCAGCTGGACAAACATCTGAGCAAGAGCGACATCAAACTAATGAGTCCTGCCACACAGCTAGCAATGATGGCAGCGGACGAGGCACTGACGTCGGGAAAGCTGAAGCCAAGCGAACTTAGCGCCGAGCAGCGGGAACGCATTGGCGTTTGTGTCGGCATGGGCATGTTCGATCTGTCCGAGGTGTATGGCGCATTTCAACAGCTGCAGCGTGGCTACAATCGTGTCAGCCCCTACTTTGTGCCACGACTGCTGCCCAACATGGCAAGCGGGCACATCAGCATGCGCTATGGTCTGCAGGGACCCAATCATTCGGTGTCGACGGCTTGTGCAACCGGCGCTCATGCGATTGGAGATGCTTTGCGTTTCATACGCAACGGCGATGCGGATGTGATGCTGGCGGGCAGCGGGGAGGCGTGCATAGATCCCCTATCAATAGCCGGCTTTTGTAGGTTACGGGCCCTTAGCACTGCTTTCAATGATAGCCCGGCTCAGGCCTCGCGACCTTTTGATAAGGCCCGTGACGGATTCGTGATGGGCGAAGGGGCCGCCTTACTGCTTCTGGAAGAGCTGGAGCATGCGAAAGCGCGTGGAGCACCCATACTGGCTGAGATACTGGGCTATGGACTGTCCGGTGATGCACATCACATTACTTCACCCAGCGAGGATGGCACTGGCGCCACTCTGGCCATGCAACGTGCCATTAAGGATGCCGGCGTGACGCCGCAGGATATCAGCTATGTCAATGCGCATGCCACATCCACGCCCACCGGCGATCGCATTGAGGCTCATGCCATTGGACGCGTCTTCGGTGAGCATAAGTCACAGGTTCTTGTCTCCTCAACAAAAGGTGCACATGGCCATCTGCTTGGTTCATCCGGCAATTTGGAAGCACTGTTTGTGGTGCACGCCTGTGCCGAAAACAAATTGCCGCCTTCGATCAATGTGGATCAAGTGGATGTGGATATTAATGTTGTGCAGAAGACGTGCAATTGGGAAGCGAATCAGTCCGGACGCATCGCCCTAAAGAATTCCTTTGGCTTTGGTGGCACCAACGCATCGCTCTGCATTGCCAGCTACACTGGCAATTAAAGTCACAAATTGTTAAATAGTAATTGTTGAATGTGAATAAATATGTTGATTCTTTTGTTGTTTTGTTTTTTGGAAAAGAAATGTCCTTTTTGATTTAGGAAAATTTTAGTTTTAAAACTTTATTTGGAAAACTTTTCGGTTTGTTGTCCCCGCCCTGCCCGGCAAACCGTCAGGGCTTCTAGCTTTTTCTTTTTCTTTTTTGCTCTGTAAAAATGTTGTATATGCGTATTGAATTGTGCAATGCGCAGAGTTCGTACTATTATATTGTATATCTGTATATATAGGTATGTGTATATATTGATGTATATAGCTCTGTTTGATTTGCTTCTGTTGCTTGACGTTCGTTCGGCTTACTTTTTACTATTTGCTGCATACGAGCTTATTTTCTGTTATTACTAAACAAATATGGATGCCTGCGGTCGTTTTTCTGACAATTATTTGCTTTCGTTCCCTTTCTGTGTTGTTTTTTTTTTTTACTTAAATTGTTTAATTTAAAGAATTATTTATTTTACAAAATTACTTAAATTGTAAAGTTAAAAATACATAGATTGGCTTACAATTAGAATTTCTTTATAATCAATATATTTATAAATGTTGCTCATTTTTTGTTTTGTTTTGTTTTGATTTTTTATTATGGGTTTTGGGGTTTTAATGCTGATCTACTTTAAGATTTTACTCGTCATTTTCCAAATTATTTATGGTATCATTTATTATCAATACATTTTTAAATGTATATTCATGTAGTTTATCTTTATATATATTTATATGAATTTTTAGGCGTAAATAATAGGCTATATTTGTGTGTGTGTGTATGTCTATTATGTATACCTTTTAAAGTATTAATTTTCAATTTGTATATAAATTATGAAAATAAATTGTATTCGAATTTATAAACTTTATCCCATTTACTGTACAATTTGTGGTAGTTTTCCGCTTTTAGTTACAGCGTATAGTTAAATTTTTTTTTTTAATAATCTTGCACGTCACATTTATTAACAAGGTTAGTTCTCAATGATTTATTTTGATACTTAAAGCATTAAATGAATTTTAAAATATCTTTCGTCCGTTATTTGCCATTTCAAATTTAGAGTGAAAAATATTTCAAAATTATGGAGGCCTTAAAATTTCAAATTTACGTATCTGGTTTTAAGCTAGTATGCAACAAACATTTGCTCAACAAAATTTAAAAAAATTCATTTCGAACCTGAAGGCGCATTGTAGAAAGTACAATAAACGACATATTAAAATAAATTACATACATTGTGTAAGCACATATGTACATATATATGCACATATGCATGCACAGAAAACTGGACAATGCGAAAAAATATATATAAATATATATTAAAAATATATTTTATAAAATGCCTACAACACATAAAATAATATAGAAACAATGATCGTATTCCTTGAGTTTCATGCATGTCCAAAATTGTAGTCAAAATTGTGGTTTTTCTTTGTGTACGTTATATTGAGATTAAAAAAGGTAAAAATTATGTAAATTATTAATAAATATTTGATTTGTTTCGCGTTGTGCTTACTATTGCTTTAAATCTTAACACTTACTATCTTACTATTTGTTTATGTTTTTTTAAAAGACATTTATTTAAGCGCTAGTAAAGTGGTTTTTGCTTGTTGCTGTCAGTTGTTGGTTTTCTGCTAGTGAAATAGGGAGGGGGGTTTTACCAACGGCATATGATGTATAGTGGATGCTGCAACACTTGCCTACACTATGTATGATGTATGTATGTCTATGTACTATGTATGCGGGGGTCTGTTTGTTTGTTTGTTTTCTCTTTGTTGTATGCATGCAAGGAGTGTGTGATTTTAAGTGTATGTATGGATGTATGTATGTACATGGCAAGCCACTAAAGACAGAATCTGGGTCATTAGTTTAGCAATGCATCCATTGTATATGGAAATGGCGGATGTTGCTGTTCAAATCTGTTGACTGAATATGACATCAACTTTGTCGCTGTTGCTGCTGCTGCCGTTACTGTTGCTGATCTTGCTGTTGTTGCTTCTGTTGTTGTTTTTGTTGTTGCTGATGCTGATGCTAATATATCTGCCGTCGACGGTCAGTCCAGTATAACGATTTGTGATTCAATAGGTTTGCTACTCGGCTCAGGGGCCATTGACTTGATGGGCAGTGAGCGCCATGGCTTGCGCGCCGCTCGACGCAAATCCACAGCTGAGAGTATTTTTCGTGTTTTTCTGCATGAACAAAAATAAAAACCAGTTAAGATTACATTTATGATTTGCTTGGTACCAAAAAACAATTGCTCAATTCACTCACTTGTGTACGTCCGTAGCCCTAAAGTAAACATCATCCGGTGCATCCATCCAGCTAATGACTTGCTTACGTCCGTTGCCACCACGTGCCATTTGCGCAATCTTCTGCTTGCCGTTTAGCTGCAATAAACATTGGTAATAAAATTTTATATACGTTCAGGTCAAACAAACAACAACACCAACAACATTTCGGTGGCTAGGTTAGACGTACGTGATGTCTGGAGAGCGGCTGGCCCGATGCCGCCATCATTGCGGCAAACTGTTCGGGACTGGGGCAATGCGAGGGCATAGGATCCTTGTTGGGGCGTTTGGCAGGTGGTCCACTGGGCACAATGGTCACTGCGAAAGCAACACACATAAATAATAGTCAGATGTATGTGTGCAGACTTATAGAAATGCTCACCTTCGGTACCATTGAGTTGCTGTTCCTCGTGCGCACGCTTGCGTATCGTAGATGTTGCCTGCGCTGGAATTATTGATAGTTCTTTGTCAGCCGTTACGGGCACGGCGACCACATCGGGCGTTTTATTGGGCACACGTTCGTAGAGTAAACTGCCGTCAGGCGCCTTCGGCGGCTTGGGGAATGAGACAACAACCGGCTGTGGCATTTTATCCTTGGGCGTCAGCACCAGCCATTCGTGTGGACCGCTGCCCGGTGCGCCCAAACGATTTGCTATTTTTGTGACGCTGCCACGATCCTTGGGCTTGAGCAAAAGCATCTTTTTAATTTCCGTCTGCGATTTGCCGCTAATACGATTCGTAACTGTAATAGTTAGAAAAAAGATATTACCCGATTAGACATTGGTATATACGTATTAAAGCGATTAACCACTCACATTCCTGCTTGACCAAGAGCGCATTGATGGCATATGCACTCTGCCGCGCCGCCTTCTTGGGCTTCACAATGCTCCGGCAGACAATGCGAGCCACACGCGTCATTGGATTCGTGTGCAAATAGAAGGCAGTGCGCGTCTTCATGATGGGCCGCGGCGAACCCGAACTGATGGCGATGCCGTGCGCTTGCGCATAGTGGCGCGCCAGGTGGGTCTTTAACTTGAACTCTTTGCCACAGTTGACAATGGAACACCTAAAATACATTAAATACTCCAATTAACTAAAGTGCTCCTTGGTATACATATAAGTGATTATCATACCTGTGCAATTGACGATTGCTCAGATCACTAACTTTCTCGTCATCATTAAGATCTACCACTGTGGTGACGCCGGTTGCAGTTACCGCTGCAACTGGAATCGCTGCAATGGCAGCCTTTTTCTTAGCCTCCCCATCGTTGGCATCGCCCTTATTCGCCGACTTCATACTACCGTATTTTCGCCAATAGTCCCAACAACTCTGACACAGTCGACAAGGTAGGTGGCCATTGCTAAAGGAATTCCACTGTGAAACAGTTTATAGAAGTACGAATTAGAAATCGATGAGCATACAATTGGATCTTAGCTGACTTACGTGTGATGATTTTGTTGTTCCGCACGATTCGCAGGGTTTGCCATTGTTGGACAAGTCGGCGCCGCCATTGGTGGTGCCATTATAGATGCCACCTGAAACGTTGGCCGCCTTCACACTGGTGCCGTTGCCTTTGCCATTGTTATTATATTGCGGTATGTAGACCTGTTTGAGCTTAAGTTCCGCTTCGACGGCCTTAACGCGTTTCTGCTGCACATAACGATCGGTGGTCTTCCACATATAGTAGTATTCAATGATCTGCTTTAGCGTTTTCCACGGAAGCTATTTGAAATGAGTTGCAAACAGCAATTAACATAAATAAAAAACATCAGCAAAATGTTGTTGCGTGCTTACAAAATCTTGTCGTATATCATTAAAGTCTTTGCCATATTTATCTAGCGCCTCCTCAAACAGATTAGCTTCCGATGCGCTCCAATCTTCGATTTCATCGCGACAGAGTACTGGCCCAGTGGAAGGAACTAACGAGGACATGGACTCCTCAATTGAATATTCGTGTTTGTGCAGAATGTTCATGGCGTGAAACTGCAAGCAGGCAAATTGGTAAATTGATGAAATACAACGTACAAGCTGCTGTTAATTTATTGTTACTCACCAGGGTGATGTCTCGACTGGCCGCCGCTGCTGACATATGCAATGAAGGCTGCTTCACCGAACTGCTGCAGTCGAGGGCGCGGGCAAAGGTGCCAATGGAACGCGACACGACAAGAAACTGATCGATCTTACGATCAGTCAAACTGTGCTCGGGCGTCCATACCAGTGACTCAAGCTCCTCCAGCTTACGCTCATCCGTGGCGGTATCCTTTAGCTTAGCGGGTATATCACACTGATAACGACTGCCGACACGTATCTCGCCCTTATCGGCAAGCAACGTTTTTTGATTGGGATCAAAGACCAGACAGTAAAAGAATGTGTCCTGTTGATAACAATTGAAACGAAAATTGAATAGATAAACACAAAGTTGATTTGTATGTTCTGTGACTCGTTTCAGACTCCTACAACTCACGTCTTTATTGAGATAGCTTTGCAGTGACTCCGTCTCGTTGAGCAGCGTCACGGAGCACTTCCCTCGGATTTGTGTGGCGGGTATCGACTCAACTTGTCGCGATAGAAACAGTTCGCGATGCTTGATCTGGTATCGCTGTTTGCTGGTTAGCGCTTCGCTCTTCTCTCCATCACCACCACCACCACCGCCACCCGCTGTTGCAGCAGCACCGCTCGCAGAGCTGTTGCTGTTGTTGCTGCTGCTGTTGTTGTTATTGTTATTATTGTTGTTGGTATTGTTATTGGTGCTGGAATTGCCGGTGGTGGCGCCGGCGGACGCATGCGTTGGACTGGTGCGTTCCTCTTCGAGTGCAGCTGCAAGCAAACCAAATTGAAATCTTTATTAACATTTCACACTTTACATTCTGAGAAGTACGTAACAAAAGAGCACTAACAGATCTAGATTTTTAGAACCAATACAACCATTGCACGACCAATTTGGTATTCGTAACTAGACTACATTACATTACATTACCTGGCACTGGCCCCAACAAGATATGGTATGGATGAGTTGATGAGGTATATCATTTTCGTATTTATTTATTCAATGGAAATTACACATAAATCATTGTCAAGGTCAGTACCAGCTTCGTTCTACCCTAGATGATAGCAATCAAAATGAGAAAACAATACTAAACATACAAAACAAATAAAAGATTGATTAACAGAAATGAATATAACGAAAAGTTATGCATTCACAAAATAAGAATTTTAACTACGGTGGTTATACGTTGAATGTAGTTTTTTTTTTGTAAGTAGTAGCTGCTTTGCCAGTTTGTACCTATTGAGGGATCGAGCACAGCTTGCGCCGCCTGCTCCTCGCCCACCGGTGTTCTAAGCCAGGTTTTCTTCAGTTTCGTTGCCAGCGGCGAATCCTCGGCTGTTGCCACTGTTGCAGTATCATCGTCAGCATCATCATCGTTCGATTTTGCGAGTTGTTGTTGGTTGGTTGATTGTTGTTGTGGGGGGGGAATATGAATTGTCGGGAAATGTTGATTTTTGACAAAACATACAAATGCGCATATACAATACAATATACAATGTTTATACGTGAATGATTAGGAGCGAGACTTAACTAAAAGCTGCAACCAAGTTGGCAGCGCGTCAAAAGTGAGGTTAAATACGAAAAGTAATTTCACTAAAAGATGTCGCGTTTGGCTCAACAAACTGAAGAGAAGCCCAGCAAAATAAATACAAAACTTTTTGAATTTATTTTTAATACCCGCCACACAAGCCACGAAGGGATGGTAACGGGTGGCTTAGGCGGCGGCTTTTTTGGGTCGTAGTGTTGGTGGTGGGTGTGTGGCTGCTGTTGCCAACGCCACTGATACTGTTTCTTGAGGAGTTTCGAGCTGCGCCCAAACCAATAGGCTAACCACCCCCTCCTCACCCTCATCCTCACACACCACCAGAGGGCGTTGGGTGCATTTGCTGAATATACAAGAGCGTAGGTGTATAGCACAAGAAATAAAGAAGAAGCAGTAGCAATGAAGGGGGTGAGGTGGTTTTGAGGGGGGTGGGGTGCGCAACTGTTGGGTAGCCATAGATAGGACACACACAAACACACACATACATTAAGAGAGAGAGACTGTCAAGAGATGGGCGGGGGTTGCTAGAGATGGAGGCGGGTGCGTTTTGTTTGCTGCCACTGTCTGCCTGCTTCTGCTTCGCGCATTTGAGTTTTTTATACCATGCACCCATTGAAACTAACTAAAATGGATATTTTAATTTTGTGCCAATGAATGTAACATTTGAAATACATATTTCTTCAACACAATCGGCTAATATCAATTTCAAATCTCACACTTATCTGAAGATATATATTTTTAATTAATTTAAGAAATATAGCTTTTTAGCAATTGCATATTTTGGTGAGGCATGCGAAAGTATATATATACATGTATTAAAAAGTAATAGGAATTGATTGCAGGGTATATACTGGTCGCGCTATCTCAACTGCAGAACTCTTGTCTTTTTTGTGTGTGTATTTTTTGGCTCGATTCGTTGTCGTGGCCAGCATTCAGCTTCGAGCTTTTTGTTTCACTTATTTTTTCGCCGATATTTTGACACGCTTGATAGACTCCTCCATTTATGGTGTAGTTGCTGTGCTAATTTTTAGTAACAGATTAGCGGACTAGGCTGCAAAATGCCATCGCACGCACCGAGTATAACTAAAAAACAAAAAAAAAGGATCCAGCCAAGCCAAATGGCATGGGTAGAGACTGGGTGACCTGCGTGCTTCGAAAGGGGTTTCCTGTTAATGGGCATTGTTGGCGCTTCCCAACTCCCCAAATTGCGAGCAAGTTGGTGAGGGAGGGGCAGCCAGGCAGGCAGACGCACGGAATTGTGCTTTGGAAAAACGCATTTTCGTTGGGTCACGTATCGAATTCGAGTGGGCCACAACCAAACCAAACCAAGCAGCAACCCAACCACCAACAATTGGGGATTGTATGTATGTATGTGTATTCATTTGGTGCTGGGGTGGGGTGGGATGTGGAGTGGAATGAAGATACACTGGATGGCCTGTCCATGTGGCTGCCATACAGTCGAGTAGGATGTGATGGGTTGGATTGAATTGGAGTGGAGTGGGTTGGGTTGGGGTGACGGGCTATCCTGTGTATGTATACATAAATGCAAAGCGCGGCTCCTTTCGGTGCTGCTCCTCGGTACTCTGGCAGGACTCATGAAAATTTTCGTGCACACATACACACTCGCACTCACACTCATAGAGAGTGGGCACAGAGGTAGACAGCAAGTCTACCTACTACGACTACTACTGCTGCTACTGCTGCTGCCTAGTGTTCTCACAGTGAGGCAATGGCAACCGAAAACGGCAACAACATTGAAAGTACAGTGCAGTTCTACACACACATTATGTTTATATATGTTGTTGTTGTTGTTGCTACGGATGCTCGGATTCCGTTTACTCTTTTGCTTTGACTCTGTGTGTGTGTGTGTATCTTTGTGTGTGTGCTTTACAGTTGTTGTCATTGCGGTTCTTGTTGCTCTTGATGTCGGCTTTAATTGTTGTTGTTGCTGCTGCTGCTGCTGCTGCTAAGTGGGTGTGTGTGTGTGTAAAGAGGGGTTGGTGGGGGGAAGTTAGCATGGTGTATTCCACCTTCGACGGAGCTTTGGTATTTGTGGTGAGATAGAAACGTGCCCAGAAGGATCTGTAGATGGGGGTTCTGGTTCTATGTGACTTATTTTTATTTGAAGGCCGCGACGACTTTTGTCGTAACATAACCTCACTTGTCTGACTGCTGAAAATCTTATGAATACACACACGCGTGTGTGTCTGCGTCTGTGTGTGTGTTTATTTTGTTTTGCATTACTTACGTTGATGCTTATCGGCCAGCTGTACAAGCGGGTTGGGCAGATCACGACGCCGGTAGAAACACATGACCTTTGCCTCCACATTGCCGGTTTGGTTTTTATTCAGCTCCTCGATGCGGCGTATCAGGAAGGGACTATTCGGCGTTGTCTCAACGTAGACGTAGTCTGCAAAAGATGCGCTTTGTATTATTGAATACCAATTATGGGTCGTAATATGAACTGCATAAATTGCATGTGGCGAATCATTCATTATGGAGAAGAGAGAAATTAGACCACAGAGAGGCAGGCATCCAAAAGGAACCGAAGCGCCAGTACAGGTAAAACGCATTCAAACAGACACCAATGCTCATACACACACGCAGACACACGCACATACATACAGATATTGGAGATGAGCAAAATTCAGGTTAGCTGTGACTGCGATACTTTTAATACTCTTATTATTTTGCTTACTTCGCAAAATGATTTCATGAAACGCACTCAGCAACTTGTCTAGTGAAATTCAAGCTAAGCAGCATTATCTAAACATTTAATTGATTATGTTCACTAAACCCACTGTTGTTTCGATAACATTTTGAATGTTTATTTGCAATTGAACCGCTGAATGTGGATTGACGGTACATATACAGATATATATATATATATACATTTATAATGGCGTGTACTAAAGCAAAACTATCGAGAACTATTTGAAAAGCTAAGCTAATTTCCTTTTTTAAATATACCGATAATTCCTTGGCCAATGGACACGCAACCAAATTACGGTACACACAGTACTCAATACAGTACAGTGCAAAAGTATGCGCATTGCTCAATTAAATACAAATGTGGGCATCCATCCATCCATCCATTCATCCAACGAGCGAAACAGCAACAGCAACAACAATGCTGTCCATGGGTATAGCCAAGGCAAGGCAAGGAATGGCAAGAGGGGCGAGGAAGAAACTCATCGAGCGCAGCAGCAGCGGAGCGGCGACGGTGCGGAACCTGTCGCCGAGCAGAAACCGTTGCTTGGGTTTTGACCACGGCAACAGCAGAGTGAGCAGAAGCAACGAAAGCCGATAGAAAAGAAAATGACACAAAAGAAAAGAAAGACAGAAAAAAAAGAGCAGCGATCAAGCAGCAAAACACGGCAGGCATATAATAAGTATAAAAGGAAAATGTATCTTTTGCATTTGCCCGATGTAAAAAAATAGAGATGAAAAAGAAAGTGTCACTATAGCCTGCGACGACATACACACACACACATGTGTGTGTGTGCGTGGCTATTAAAAGTGACTAACAAAAAGCGCTGATGGGGACAAAAATTCTGAGGCAACGCGTTTACTGGGAGAAAGAGAGAGGCCAACACAAACATAAAGAAAATCTCATAAATTTTGTAATTTATGCATGCGTTTGATTTTTTACTTTTATTATTTATTTTGATTGTTTTAATTAGCCATTTGCCTTCGTGGTTCATTTACATTTGAATTGAGGAAGAAGAACAACGCGATGTATGGTATAAGGTAGGCAGGTGAAGACACCACAATAACGTCATCGGTCAAGCAGAGCAAGCGAGAGGGCAACAGCAAAATGAGTGCGTGAAATTGAATATAAAACGAAATAAAAAGAAAAGGGAAACTCACTCAAAACGTGAGATGCTGCGCCAAAAACTGCAAACTCATTAGCATAAGAAAACACGGCGGGACAACAACAAAGCATAAGAAACGAACAAAATATCTCGATTTATAACCACGCAATCAAACTCACACACACACAGGCACGCTGATCGGTAGCTTTGTCAAATGCAATTCCATTTCATCAGTAGCCCCAAGTAATACACACACACACATAAGCACATATATATATTTATATATATGTATATATCAGCGGTAATGCTTATCGGGACAACAGAAATATGTACAAAAAAAACACTTGCTGCAGCTGCGACAATTCGGTTGTTGGCATACACATAACCCCCTTCTTCTTGTTCTCCTTCTTCTTCGCTTCTTCTCAACGCGGCCGGTTGGTGGTTAGTCGATGTTCCATTTGCCGCTTCTCTCGTTGGTGTTGAAAATCGTCTACGTTGTTAAAACTCGCGTCGGCAAATCGACGACACAATTTCATGGCGCATAAAAACGCACTTCACATCATCTTCATCATTATTGATAACAGGCATTGAGCATTTTTCATTTTGCGGGTGGGGAAGGAGAGGGGGGTGTTGTGTGTGAATATTTTGTAAGATTTGATCATTTAATGCACTTTCATTATTTCCTTAATTTGGAGTCCCACTCACACACACACACACACTCACACACACAAACAGTGAGACGGCGCCGATAACGAAAGATGATAGAAAAGCGAGTATGGAAAAAAAATTTTCTCACCTCCGACTCGATACATATTTGTGGCCATTTTCACAAAACTTTCGCACCAAATTTCACATGTAATATAATCGGCACTTGTTCAGCACTGTTTTTCAATAGTTTTGTTTCAAATTAGCGCACATTTATTAGCATAAAATTTAAGTTGTTATGATTGCATTTGCATTCACATAAGACGCGTTTTTTTCGTCGCCATCTTAGAAACAACTCTAAAAAAAAATACACACACACACACACACTACGGCAGCGACGAGAATCAGCTGCATCAGGGCTGCATTTCTGTGTAGGGCTGACCATCTGTTCGAAATTTGAAATTATTAAGACATATTTACAAATATTAAATTCTCCTTACTTTCACAATAAAACGACGTATGATCAGACAAATATTTTGTATTCACAAATTTATAAACAAAACAAAGCAAAAATAAAACACATCGTTTGCATGCCAAGTGGGTAGTGTCTGTGGACGTTCGACAGTTGGCTGCTACGAAACCAACTGTCAAATCCGTGACGTGGCCTGGCCAAACGATTTTCCAATAAGACTTGCTTGTGTTATAATAATTTTTAAGGTAATAAACACAGTTGAAAGCGTCGCAAAGTACTCAAACGATGACCACCTACGAGGAGTTCATCCAGCAGAATGAGGATCGCGACGGTGTCCGTCTAACATGGAATGTATGGCCCTCCAGTCGCATCGATGCCAGTCGCCTAGTTGTGCCACTTGCGTGTCTCTATCAGCCCCTCAAGGAGCGTCCCGACTTGCCACCGATTCAATATGAACCCGTTTTGTGCACGCGTAGCAACTGCCGTGCCATCCTTAATCCCCTCTGCCAGGTGGATTATCGTGCGAAGCTCTGGGTCTGCAACTTTTGCTTCCAACGCAATCCAGTGAGTAACAAATGAAAAAAACGAAATTTTACAATAGAACTTTCGACTCAGCTATTTGCCACTTGTATGTGCATCACAGTTTCCGCCACAATATGCAGCCATATCGGAGCAGCACCAGCCTGCCGAGCTGATTCCCGGTTTCAGCACCATTGAGTACACCATTACCCGAGCACCGACGATGCCGCCCGTTTTCATCTTTTTGGTGGACACCTGCATGGATGAGGAGGAGCTGGATGCTCTGAAGGATTCGCTGCAGATGTCGCTGAGTCTGTTGCCGCCCAATGCGTTGGTGGGCCTCATCACCTTCGGCAAGATGATTCAGGTGCATGAGCTGGGCACCGATGGTTGCTCCAAGAGTTATGTGTTCCGCGGCACCAAGGATTTAACAGCGAAGCAGGTGCAAGATATGCTAGGCATTGGACGTGGTGGTGCACCGGCGCCACATCAGCAGCCAGGTCAGCCGGGTCAGATGCCACCGAATGTGCCGGGTGGTGGTCCTGGGGGTGCCGGGGGGCAACAGCAGCATTTGCCGCCCGCTCATCGCTTCCTTCAGCCGATCAGCCAGTGCGACACGGCACTGGGTGATCTGCTGAGCGAGCTGCAACGTGACCCTTGGCCAGTGCCGCAGGGCAAGCGCTATCTGCGCTCCACGGGCGCTGCTCTCTCGATTGCAGTCGGCCTGCTGGAGTGCACGTACCCGAATACGGGCGGTCGCATTATGACATTCGTCGGTGGCCCTTGCTCCCAGGGCCCCGGCCAAGTGGTCGACGATGAGCTCAAGCATCCCATACGTTCGCATCATGATATCCACAAGGATAATGCCAAATTCATGAAGAAGGCCATCAAGCATTTTGATGCGCTGGCGCTGCGCGCCGCCACAAATGGCCATGGCATCGATATATATTCATGCGCCCTCGACCAAACGGGCCTCATGGAGATGAAGCAGCTGTGCAACTCCACTGGCGGCCACATGGTCATGGGCGATTCATTCAATTCGTCGCTGTTTAAGCAGACATTCCAGCGCGTCTTTGCGCGCGACAGTCGCAACGATCTGAAGATGGCATTCAATGCCACACTGGAGGTGAAGTGCTCGCGCGAGCTGAAAATCTCTGGCGGCATCGGCTCGTGTGTGTCGCTGAATGTGAAGAGCCCGTCGGTGTCGGATGTGGAGATCGGCATGGGAAATACGGTCCAATGGAAACTCTGTACTCTAAATCCCAGCTCCACCTTTGCCTATTTCTTTGAGGTGGTCAATCAGCATTCGGCGCCCATACCCCAAGGTGGACGCGGTTGCATCCAGTTCATCACACAATACCAGCATCCAAGCGGTCAGCGGCGCATACGCGTCACCACGCTGGCCAGAAAGTGAGTAAACCGGCCAACTAATCCCCATTAATCTGGCGCCGAATCATCAGCTAATCTTGTGTCAATTTTCCCATTTAGCTGGGCGGACGCCAATTCGAATGTGCAGCACATTAGCGCTGGCTTTGACCAGGAGGCGGCCGCTGTGCTCATGGCCCGCATGGTTGTCTACCGCGCCGAGACGGATGAGGGACCGGACATCTTACGCTGGGTGGATCGCCAACTGATTCGCTTGGTAGGCGTGGGCTAAGAATTCCCCGACATTGTTAAACTCTTGCAGAGTGTGTTTTAAAAGGCTTACGGAATGTGTTGAAAGAAGCAGCTTTGATCCTATTAAGTCCTTATATATTCCTAATCAGTGTCAAGAGAGCTGCGTTGATAGAGGCATATCAATCGGTCTCTAGCCACTGCATGCAATTTTCCTTTTTAGATTCGATCTCTATATTATATGGTTTCAGATCAAAAGTCATTACTTCTATGAAAAACTATCTATTTTTAAATTGTAGTCAAATTGGTTACTGTTTAAATCTTGTAAAGATAAGATTGCTATATATTACACAATATCTGCTCTTCTGCAAGGGTATTAACTATTAGGAATATTTGTATATATTTTTTCAACTAATGCATTCGCGCTTTGTGTTTGCTTTCTTTTGGTTGCAGTGTCAGAAGTTTGGCGAGTACTCGAAGGATGATCCGAATAGTTTCCGCCTGTCGCAGAACTTTAGCTTGTTTCCACAGTTTATGTATCATCTGCGAAGATCGCAGTTCCTGCAGGTCTTCAACAATTCGCCCGACGAGACCACATTCTATCGACACATGCTGATGCGCGAGGACCTCACCCAGTCATTGATCATGATCCAGCCCATTCTTTACAGCTATTCGTTCAATGGGCCGCCGGAGCCGGTGCTGCTCGATACGGCCTCGATTCAAGCGGATCGCATACTGCTGATGGACACCTTTTTCCAGATACTCATCTATCATGGCGAAACGATTGCCCAATGGCGTGCCCTCAAATACCAGGACATGCCCGAGTATGAGAATTTCAAGCAGCTGCTTCAGGCGCCCGTCGACGATGCCCAAGAGATATTGCAGACGCGGTTCCCAATGCCGCGATATATTGACACCGAGCACGGCGGATCGCAGGCACGTTTCCTGCTCTCTAAGGTCAATCCCTCGCAGACGCACAACAACATGTATGCCTATGGACAGGTGCGTCAATCAGCTGCGGCTCCAAATTTTGTTGGCTTTTGTTAAAATGTTTTTTGAAATATTTCGTTTTATTTGTTTTCGTTTCCGTTTCCGTTTGACTTTGACTTTTCTCATTCGCGTACCCCAATTCTTCTCGTTGTTGTTGTTGAATCTTGTTCTTGTTGTTGTTATCACGTGCAGCCGCCAATTGGCCAGATGACGGTAGTAAACACTCTTTTTGTTCCACATATATTACTTTGGGTTTAGTTCTAAGTTGCTTTAATACTCCCCCCTTTTCTGCCCTATGCTCTCTGCCTCTCTTTGGTGTCGGTGTCCACACAAGCTATGAACCGCTTTTCCCGCTTCCTTAAAACACTTTACTGACTCAATCTCTTTCGACAGGATGGTGGTGCTCCCGTGCTCACGGATGATGTGTCGCTGCAGCTGTTCATGGAGCATCTGAAGAAACTGGCCGTCTCCTCGACCACATAAATTGGCATCAATATTGAGAGTTGCGCCACGAGTTGAGAACTTGACCAACAACTAGCATGCCTACCAATATTCTTTAACCATATATAAATACATGTAGATTCCGATCGATGGCCTGAAAACACAATAAACTACATTCATCCATTTATGATTGATTGATTGATTGATGAGTGCACAGGCGGAAGCACTAAGATAATAATTGGTGGTCGGAAACAAATGCGAAAAGCGGAACAATAAATATGATATGCAATAATCCAGCACAGTATGCACTCGCTAATGAGGAAGTTCAATATAAAAAGAATTTCGATATAATAAAGGAATCTTTTGTTTGACTTTGGATCTTGTGATAATTAATCAACATCAACATAGATAAAATGAAGGCAAAACTCTGTTTTGCCAGTGAATAAATAATATTGTTTACATTTCCAATTGGCAAACAAACAAATAAAACAGAAATAAACAAACTTAGCAACCGCTTATATTTACATGATGGTCTTTATTCCAAGCAACTAATAGAAAACAATTAAATTGATATTGATTATGTAAAAATAAGTATGTAACTGGCCATTGATAAAATGCAGAGTTAGAGCGGAATGCAAGTGGCAAATTCCATTAAATCAATACAATTGGAAAGAAAAAAGTAGCGTACAAGCGATCAACAATTAATATCTGCATACATATCTAAATAGTTCATAAATTACTAATACAATTTAATGCCTCGGACTTCGTATTTAATTTGACTAAACTATTTGGTTCACAGTGACTAAAACATTGTCTCTCCTCATCGGGTCTCCGTTAATTGAGAAACCGTATGGACATCTTCTGATCGACATCGGTGCGTTCTAGCGCCTTGCAGAAGTCCTCGAACGAGATCTTGCCCTGGCAGCACAGATCTGCCTCCAGAATCGTACGCTCCGCAATGCTGGTCAACTGATCTTGACTGATGTTCGCACCGACCATCATGTGCAGAATGGAGAGCAGCTCGTCGCGACTAATGACGCCATCATCGTCCAGATCGTACATCTGGAAGGCGAACTTCAGCTTATCCTCGCGACTATTCAGTTTGCTCTGCTTATTGTCCCGCAACGGACGGAAATGGGCCAGCACATTCATGAATTGGCGGAAGTTCACCCGATCATCGGTGCTCTCCACAAAGAAGGAGTGCACAATGCGCTCGCACAGCGGATTGATGGCCAGCTCCGGGATGCGCATCAGATCTTCGCGCGACAGGGTGCCACAATCGTTGCGATCCAGCGAGGTGAAGCGCGAATAAAGACGCTCAATTTGATTGGGAGTAACTGGCGAGGAGATAAAAATGAGGTTGACCAAATGTTTATCAACTTATTATTAGATAGTAGTTGTAGTCGGCAGTGATAAGAAATTCACACAATTATTATTATTGCTGTGGCCTTATCGCAAATTACACGCGTACTTCAAGAACAACTGATAAATGACGATTGGAAAATTTATCGGATGATGTTTGACGCAAACTTTGCCCCACAATGGGTGAAGGGGCAATGACGTCAGAAGTGCATTTGCCATTTGCATCTTATATAAAAATTGAACATCTTTTGAAATGATAGAAGAAAAAGAACACATTTCTGATCTTGACGCATGACGATTATGATTTCGATCTGTGCTATGCCAAATAATTGGCTTGGCTAACTCTGCAATTAACAGACAGCATTTGGCATTCAAGTGCGAAATAATGATTACAATCGAATTGCTTTTAGCAACTGCGTATTTGTTTTTTAAATGGCCTTTAAAAGAGATGTGTAGAATTGACGTTGACTAGTCATGACTAGGTTAACTGTTAACCTAGTTTCTTAGTTGTTCACCGGCAATTCATTCGCTTACTTACATCCCGTTTCATTTTGTATTTGTGCAATTTCCTCGTGTCGCAGGAAAAGAGATGATTTGTTGCCCATTTTGTCTGCTTATTTCCCAAAACCAATCAATGCGACACAAACACTAAAATTACACTGAATTGAACGCAAGCAGTGTGACCGAATTCAGTATGGAACGAAATACCTGGACTGACCTTGTAGTTGCTGCATTGCCAACAGCAATTTAGTTATCGATAAGTTGTGTCGGTTTACCGAGAGCCGTGTGTCAGTGCAGCCGGGTCACACTTAATTCTACTGTACAACAATTAAATTGCCATATAAACAATTTTTGTGTTGCAATAAACAAATGCAAATGGATAAATTGAATTTAACATTGACTGCTGTCAAGAATCTCCGCTCGAATGTCCGCCAGTGCTTTGAACATCTGGCCGATGGCACCGACGGCGAGGGCGTCGAAGAAAGCCGCAATAAATTTGTGCATGATTTTCAGGACAGATTCGGAGCGATAAATTCACAATTGCGGTGAGTGAATTAATATATTAGCTACGACTATTTATTTATGGGATTTTGTGTGCTTGCAGTGAAGTGGAGCAGCTGATAAATGGCTTACAGGTGCCGCCGACTGCCTATCACTTGGGCAACACGACTTTTCTGGCGCAGGAAACGTCGCAGGATCGCCAGGCGCTTTATCCACAACTTGTGAACAGTTACAAGTGGATTGATAAGGTGCATGATCACAGTTTCCTCGCTTTTAACAATTTGAATCAGAATACTCTGCGTCGCTCCTACAATTACTGCTCGCAGAAGCGCCAGCGATTGCCCTTCTCCTCCTTCAACAACGATCCGGAGTAAGTTTATCTGTGTTTTGTATGACTATAGTTTTTATTAAATTCCTTTTTAGTCACATAGATAAGCTGCTAAGTGAAATCAATCATCCGCCGCACACATCCTACAATGTGTTCCGGCCCTTTGGCTCCAATGCCGTGGCCATTGTTACCATTAGCAATGTCCTCAAGGCGGCCATTGTCTTCAAGGGTGTCCTCATCGAGTGGGTGACTATCAAGGGCTACGATGAGACGCTGGAGCATGATGATCTGTGGGCAGAGTCGCGTTATGAGGTGTTCCGCAAGGTGCAGGAGCACGCCCACTCTGCGATGCTGCACTTCTTTTCACCCACCCTGCCCGATCTGGCCGTGAAGAGCTATGTCACTTGGCTGAATAGCCACATCAAGCTGTTCCTCGAGCCGTGCAAGCGCTGCAATAAATATATCGCAAATGGTTTGCCGCCCACGTGGCGAGACTTGCGCACGCTGGAACCGTTCCATGAGGAGTGTCGCAATAGCTAAGATTTGAGTAGAATATACAAATACTAGAAATATATATATATAACATAATGATAAGCATAATTTTTATACTTCATTTATTTCAAAAAACAAAAAAAATTATATGTATGTATTTTGAATGCATGCGCGTGGATTTTATTTCGAAATCGCAACGCGCGACTGAATAACTACAACGGTTTTAATGCATTAATGGCCAGTTGAGGTGGCGGCGGCGGCTGCGGCGGCTTTTGTTGTTGATGATGATGATGTGCCCGTGTGCACACCACGCTGCAGGCACAAGCGCTCAAAGTTCTCGCGCAATGTGGCACGCAGCTGAGCGCGCTTAAGCTGCACCTGCTCCCGCTGGTATTGATAGGCCAGCACAACCTCTTGGGGAATGTAACAACAGTTCTCATCGTCCTGATCATAGTCGTCGAAATAGTCCTGGAAGAAAGCGGGCAGTATTATTATATATTTAAAAAACCGCATCTGATCATCTCATCTGTGTGATTTCAACTCACCCACATCTGCAGCAATGAGAAATTCGGATCGAATTGCGTCTGCTGGCGGCCGTAGAGCAGACCGGACACATAGTTGTTGCGGGCAGCAACGTCGTCCACGCTCCGCTCCTCGTCGTCAGGCAACAGGCCGTCATGGTGATTGCACAGACCGTCCGAGCAGGACACCTCGGAGCCGTCCGGCGACGAGATTGCGCTTGTATGCGATGTGGGTGGATCGCTGCCGTAGCCAGAATCGCGTACATCCTGCTCGCACGGACAGTTGGGCATGGGCGCCAGGCAATCGTTGCATTTGCCAGCCTTGGCCACATCCAGCTGCCCGTTGTCAGTACAGCACGCCGGTGGTGACTTCTTCGACTTCTTGCTTGTCGTCGATTTTTGCTTCTTCTTTTTCGGTTGCTTCTTCGATTTCGATTTCGTTGTTGGCTTGTTACTTGTCGGCGTCGACGGCTTTGGCTCAACGATGTCTGCCTCGGCCTCAGCCTCTGCACAGTGTATAACAATGCCATCATCATCGACTGCATCATCATCATCATCATCGTCGACAAGAACAACAACTGGCTGCGGCTGCGAGTCAGCAGCCTCAGCATTAACGACATCGTCCTCCTCGACATCGTCCTCGTCATCTTCCGATTCGGCAGCTTCTTCGTTCGCATGTTTATTGTTATTACCATTATTATTATTATCGTTTTCGCACAGACGATGCAAGTTCTTTTTCTCATCCTTCTTCTTCTTCTTTTTGAGCTTCTTCTGCTCACGCTTGAGCTCCTTGGCCTTTTCGGCACGACTGATCTCCTGATAGAGTAGCTCCAAGTTGCTAATGCCCTGCTTCTGCTCGACCCGCTCGTGGAAGCTGCGACAGAGCGTATGCACACCAACAGCGGCCAGCACCTGGCAGGCGCGCTCCTCCTCGCGCAGACTAACATAAATGCGACGCAATCGCTCGTACATGATCATGCCGACGCACGTCAACACCTCCTCCTGGGCAATCTCCAGTGTTTTGGCGTGGCGTTCGCGCAGTTTTGAATAGCTGCCATTCACCTCCGGCTCGGCACGTTTGATCAGCGCATCAAGGAACTCGATTTTATTCGTGCTCACATGTATGTGCTCATCGGGCACACACTTGCGGATGTGCGCATACAACTGAGCCGCGTAGCCCTTCTCCTTGGTGAATACCTCGCCAATGAGTATTTTATAGGCACGCTCGATCTGCAATTTTGAGGATTAGTGAGCAGAGCATATAAATTATGTTAAATTTTAATGCTTACCTTTGTGCGGCAGCCGGCGCAGAACTTGTGCTTCTTTAGATACTTGTCGAGCACCTCGTGCAGTTCCTTGGTCTCAATGATGGTCACCTCGGTGCGGCAGTTGCTCTTCATGGCCGACCACACTTCGCGCCACGTTTCCGAGAACGGTTTCGCCCGGAACGTGTCCAGCGAGTGGAGCACACAGCGCGTCTTATTCCGCAGCTTATTATCGAGCAGATTATTGAGCACCTCATGATGTCGATATAGAAGTGTGCCCAGTGCCTGCGGCGTTTTCAGCTTCTCCTCCGTAATGCCCAGCATGCAGTCTTTCTTCTTCTCGTCGTAGCGCAGCTCGAGCGGATCAAGCGTACGATGTCCCGACTCCGCCAGCTGATAAAACAAACGTTCCACTCTGCGACGACAGCCAACGCACTGGACACACTGATTCAGCACCGATATGAAGCCACCGCTGTCAATCTCCAGCGATTGCTGGCGTTCCATCTCTGTGAGCAGATTGAATTTGCGTGAGAATTCCTCCAGTTCGCGACCCCGTATCTGTGGGCTGTCAATGACAAGTCCTTTGCTGTTCAGGTCCATTAGCATCTGGTGATTGTGGGAGAGTTGGAATTGTTATACAGATCAGTTGGAGTAAGAGAGAACCCCAGCGCAACAAAGAGAAGGGAAAATGCATTTGAAACCAGTTTTGCTTTTCTTCTTTTTTTTTTGTTTTTGGTGTTGCCACTTTAGCAACATGGCGACTGATTAGTTGGAGGGGGAGGGCAGCTGGGAGGAGGAGGCGGGCGGTGCTCTTTGGGCAGGTGCCTAGCTGCAACGCAGTGGCAACCGTTTAAATATACCAACAAAAAAATAATAGCTGATGTTGTGCGTTTATTAAAGACAATCAATTACATGTATGGGCGCAGCAAAATATATATCATATATACAAATATGAGCATATCTATGCATGCGTGTGTGGGTGTGTGTGTGTGTATATATGTAAAGTACTTTGTACGCGTTATGAAAGTTTGACAATGTACACACACACACGCACAAACACACATATGCAACACACACGCACACATACAACACACACAGGCAAATGCATAAATACTCAAGCATGAGGATTGAAGAAGGAGGAGGAGTGGGTCAGAGGAGGGTCATAATATTTAAGACTTTTATGACATTTGCTTTACATTGTACAAATTAAATTGGTAGACGGCAAGCTTGTTGCAAACTTACCATTAACTTATCACCTGCCACCAGAGGCAAATGCCTTCTGCCTACATAACTAGAATCATCATCATCCGTATTATAGACTTTAGTTAGTCTCGCCATGTTCTTTCGAAGAGCAACGACGGCAGTTTTAGGCACTTAAACAACACACTTTGCGGCAACAAAACACAGCACAATGTCTGTAGTGTATTTTATCAAATGAATTATACAAATATTTGATGATCTTCACACTGGAAATCAACTATAAAAATTATTTTCGATGATTTCAAACACGTATGTAGAGTTCAGCAAGTCGTCCGGTCGCCATTAATGTATAGTGTTGCGTAACGAGACGCACATTTCATATTTTTACAGCACACACACTGAATGCGACTGTGCGCTGCGCAGCGTTGCCAGACTAAAATGTAACTCAGTTACCCTTCTACAACATAATGAGTTTTTTTTAGCGCGTTTTGTGGCTCGCATTAGTTGTGCAAAGCTGAATTTTAACATTTCCAAATTTTATTTGTGATCGCATTTGACACACGCAATTCGTTACAAAATGTCGCATCATTATGTGGTGACCGCCCAAAAGCCAACCGCGGTTGTCGCCTGCCTCACCGGTAAGAGCAAAATATAAAGGGAGACGGACGGAAACATGCTGTCGCTCGCTGCAATCTTTTTCCCGGCAATATGTTAAAGATATAAAAAATGACAACTCGCTTTCTCGGATTACTTCTTCTTAGGCAACTTCACATCGGAGACAGATCTTAATCTGGTCATTGCTCGCAATAATCAGATTGAAATTGATTTGGTAACACCGGAAGGTTTGCGTCCACTGAAGGAGATCAACATAAATGGTAAAATTACGGTAATGCGCCACTTTCGTCCGCCGGACACCAAGAAGGATCTACTATTCATATTAACGCGGCGCTTTAATGTGATGATACTTGAGGCCCGCATGGTCGGCGACACCATAACCGTCGTAACCAAAGCCAACGGGAATGTCTCCGATTCCGTGGGCATTCTCTCCGAAGGTGGTTTTATTGCAGCGATTGATCCGAAGGCTCGCGTTATTGGCATGTGTCTATACCAGGGGCTATTCACAATTATACCCCTGGATAAGGATGCCAGTGAACTGAAAGCAACAAATTTGCGGTAACCCAAATGATGATGGCGTATTTTTATGGATAATCCTCAAAATTCTCTCTCCTTACAGAATGGACGAGCTGACGGTGTATGATGTGGAGTTTCTGCATGGCTGCCTGAACCCCACCGTCATTGTCATACACAGGGACAACGACGGGCGGCATGTAAAGTCGCACGAGATCAATTTGCGCGATAAAGAGTTCATGAAGATTGCCTGGAAACAGGACAATGTTGAGACAGAGGCGACCATGCTCATACCCGTGCCCTCGCCCATTTGTGGTGTTATCGTAATTGGACGCGAGTCCATTGTCTATCACGATGGCAGTAACTATCATGCAGTGGCGCCACTCACCTTCCGCCAGAGCACCATCAATTGCTATGCCCGGATTGATGAGAAGGGATTGCGGTATTTGTTAGGCAATATGGATGGACAGCTGTATATGCTGTTTTTAGGCACCACTGAGACCAGCAAGGGCATCACCGTCAAGGACATTAAAGTGGAGCAGCTGGGCGAGATTTCCATACCGGAATGCATTACTTATTTGGATAATGGGTTCTTGTACATTGGCAGTCGCCATGGTGACTCGCAGCTGGTGCGTCTTAGCTCGGAGGCCATTGACGGCACCTTTGTCATACCAGTGGAGAACTTTACCAATCTGGCGCCCATTCTGGACATTGCCGTCGTGGATTTGGATCGACAGGGCCAGGGCCAGATAATTACCTGCTCTGGCAGCTTCAAGGATGGCTCACTGCGCATTATACGTATTGGCATTGGTATTCAGGAGCACGCGTGCATCGATTTGCCCGGCATCAAGGGTATGTGGTCCCTCAAGGTTGGCATCGATGAGAGCTCCTATGAGAACACTCTGGTGCTGGCCTTTGTTGGCCACACACGCATTCTCACATTGTCCGGCGAGGAGGTGGAGGAAACTGATATTCCTGGCTTTGCCAGTGATCTGCAATCGTTCCTCTGCGCCAATGTCGATTACGATCAGGTAATCAATTAACAATTGCATTAAAAGTAACTTCATCTAACATTTTGCCTCTTCTTTTTTTGGTTTTAGCTAATTCAGGTTACTGCTGAAAGCGTGCGTTTGGTCAAGAGCGCCACCAAGGCTCTAGTTGGTGAATGGAAGCCTGAGGGCGATCGCTCAATTGGCGTCGTATCCTGCAACACCACTCAGATAGTCGCTGCTTCGGCGCGTGAAATATTCTACATTAGCATCGAGGATGGCAGCCTTGTGGAGAAGTGCCGCAAAATCTTGCCGTATGAGGTTGCCTGCCTGGATGTTACGCCACTGGATGAGAAACAAAACAAGTCGGATCTGGTAGCCGTTGGCCTCTGGACAGATATATCAGCGGTGATATTGTCGCTGCCCGATCTGGAAACGATTTACACTGAAAAACTTAGTGGCGGTAGGTGTTAACAAAGTCTTTAATAATACTATATATATAATAATAGGAAAAGGTTATATGCAATTTCGAATGAAATTCAATTTGCTCAAAGATTATAATCCTTATTTTGATGACCTAATCTCCTGGACTATAATATTAATATATTAGTCTCTATTTTCACTCAACAGTTTTAAAAACAATATTCAATTTTACCATCATTATTTAAAATTGTTCTTGCATAAGAATTAGGTGTTTATAAAGTCATTAATATATAGAAAAAGTAACTAAGATTAACCTAGTCTTGGGTAAAGAAAGATCGAAAGAAATTCAAGATTTTTAAAAACCATATTTATATTTTATATATTTATATTTATATTTATATTATATTTTTCTTGCATATAGATTAGAATATTCGGCAATCAAAAACCATTTGCGAATTAGAATTTAAGTATTTAATTTCGCTTAACATACTGATAAATTTCAAAATAATTGAAACAGAGATAATACCACGTTCAATACTGATGACCACCTTTGAGGACATACATTATCTGCTGTGCGCTTTGGGCGATGGTTCCATGTACTATTTTATTCTGGACAAGACCACTGGTCAGTTGACAGAGAAGAAGAAAGTAACGCTGGGCACTCAGCCGACCACATTGCGCACGTTCCGCTCGTTTGCCACGACGAATGTGTTTGCCTGCTCGGATCGTCCGACTGTGATTTACTCGTCCAATCACAAGCTCGTCTTCTCCAATGTGAATCTGAAGGAGGTGAATCACATGTGCTCGCTCAATGCACAGGCCTATCCGGATAGCTTGGCGCTGGCCACCAAAAACTCGGTTATCCTGGGCACCATCGATGAGATCCAGAAGCTGCACATACGCACTGTGCCGCTGGGCGAGGGACCGCGTCGCATTGCCTACCAGGAGGCCTCACAGACCTTTGCCGTGTCCACGCTGCGCATCGATGTCCATGGACGTGGTGGTGCTAAGCCGCTGCGGAACAGTGCATCCACTCAGGCCCAAAATATCACATGCGGCTCCAATATATTGCCCAAGCCGGGTGGCGGTAATTCGACGGCGGCCAATGCTGAAGTTGGCCAAGAGATTGATGTTCACAATTTGTTGATTATCGATCAGAATACGTTTGAAGTTCTACACGCTCATCAGTTTGTGCCGCCGGAAACGATTTCGACTTTGATGTCCGCCAAGCTTGGCGATGATCCAAATACTTATTATGTGGTGGCTACATCGCTGGTCTATCCTGAGGAGCCGGAACCGAAAGTTGGCCGCATTATCATTTTCCATTATAACGATAACAAATTGACCCAAGTGGCCGAAACGAAAGTCGATGGCACCTGCTATGCCCTGGTGGAGTTTAATGGCAAGGTGCTCGCTGGCATTGGCAGCTTTGTGCGCCTGTACGAGTGGACCAACGAGAAGGAGCTGCGCATGGAGTGCAACATACAAAACATGATTGCGGCATTGTTCCTCAAGGCCAAGGGTGACTTCATTCTAGTCGGCGATCTGATGCGCTCCATCACCCTGCTGCAGCACAAGCAAATGGAGGGCATCTTCGTGGAGATTGCACGCGACTGCGAACCGAAGTGGATGCGTGCCGTTGAGATACTGGACGATGACACGTTCCTCGGCTGCGAGACCCACGACAATCTGTTCGTGTGCCAGAAGGATAGGTTAATAGTTGCCCTCAATTGCATAATAACCCAATCTAATTAAAATTCTTGCGTTTGCAGTGCTGCCACAACGGATGAGGAGCGTCAGTTGCTGCCGGAGTTGGCGCGCTTCCATCTTGGCGATACAATCAACGTATTTCGTCATGGCTCCCTGGTCATGCAGAATGTTGGCGAGCGCACCACGCCGATTAATGGCTGTGTTCTCTATGGCACCTGCAACGGAGCCATTGGCATTGTTACCCAAATACCACAGGACTTTTACGACTTTCTGCATGGCCTGGAGGAGCGCCTGAAGAAGATCATTAAGTCGGTGGGCAAAATCGATCATACCTATTATCGTAATTACCAAATCAATACAAAGGTAGAGCCAAGCGAAGGCTTCATCGATGGCGATCTAATTGAAAGCTTCTTGGATTTGAACCGAGAAAAGATGCGCGAAGCGGTGCTCGGCCTGGAGGTGAGTAAACCTGACTATCAACATTTAAAATATAAACATAAACATTTGCTTTGTCCGTTTGCAGCTAACGATGGGTGGTGAACGCAAGGCTGCGGATGTGGAGGACGTCATCAAGATTGTGGAGGATTTGACACGCATGCATTGATGCAATTAATTGAGCTGTATAAATAATATATATATATATATATATATATCATAAATATTGTAATCGACAGCTTGTTTGTTTTCGTGTAAGCATCACTTCGATACCATGTATCCTATCCTGTCTATAACAACAACAACAATGATTCTCACAAATCTCTGTACTAACAGTTAAGCACTGTTTATTCAGTGTTTTGCTTGCCTCCCCCAGCGCCTCTCGCCTTACATTCACCTTTGTTATGTAGCACCAAAAAAAAAAAAAAAAAAAAATGAAAATAAAAACGCGCTTTCAAAGACGCGTCCCACATGATTTCAATAAAGTGATTAACTTTTAAATGTAAACCAAACATTTTTGTAATACAGTTTCACTGGTAAATGGTAGTTAAATAAGGAATTTCACTGTCATCTTAAATACATAAAAATTTCATGGCTATCAACAAATTCTAACTTAACTAATCGCATGGATAAAAATGAACTAATGCTATAACTTCATGAAAAAAATATATTTTCAAAAGCAAAGTGTTCTTATGATCTTCTATTATAATTTGGGTATTATACTTTTGTTTAAGTATCTTCGATCCCACAATGTATATATATATTTTTGATCAGCATCACTAGCCGAGCCGTTACAGCCATGTCTGTCTGTAGAGAAATTACAAGCGAGTTGTGATGCTCCTAAATTTTACACAACAAATCATTTGGATCGGACTACTATATCATATAGCTGTCATAGGAAAAATCGTTTCGAAAGATAAGTTCTTGTATGAAACATTTTTTTGCTTACCAATTTATACTAACCAAAGTAAGCAGTTATGCTTGCTATTATGTTTCAAACTGTTGGACTAAACATCATTATGATTGGACTAATAATAAATCAATTATAATTCTCACTGTTTGACTACAAATCATCAAGATCGTACAACTATATCATATATCTCCCATACGATCAATCTGCGAAAAATGATTTCTAGAATTAAAAAGTTTTTTTTTCAACAATATATAACCCAAATTTACTCAAAATGTGTAATTTTATGTTTCATACAGTTGGACCAAAATAATTTATGTAGGACGAATATGTCCTATTGGAAGAATCGGTCTACAGATGAGTTCTTGAATAAAAATATAGTTTATTTATGTGAACTAATTTTAGCCAATGTAAGTATTATTATTTTTCTTGATGATGATGAATGAGACCCTTTTGTAAAATGTTGATAATGTTAATTTGACTTCCCTTTAAGCAGAAAGCTGTTCTTTCTTGTTGATGACAGTTTTGCCTGTTGAATAATAGATTTGAATACACGATTCACCCTTGAATTCTATGTAGAAATTCTAAATTGGGATTTGCTAGCTTGGACGATGTTCTTAGGATTTTGGCTAATGTTTTAGTTGCATTTTGCCTGGGAATTGGTTATCAACAGAACTTGTGAGATGTTTGCATTCTTATCATGCGCATGCGCAGCGTGGTCTCTCCGCGTACGCACTTCCAGTCAAAACACCGCGACCAGTCCCAGCACGTCACACACACACACACACAATCACACACACACACAGCATTAGAAGCTTGGGTGTATGTGTTTAGTTCCGTAGCAGGCCAGTTGCTCACGTGCTGGACGCGAAACGTGAGCATTAAGTGTTTGGAAAGAAGGGTAGAAGAGGGTGGTTGACGGCTGGCGGCATTGGCGATTCATTCATTAATACACGAACGCACACATACACGCACACATACACACACGCACATATGCACACATGCGCACACAGCCACACATACATGGTGGCGACTGGAATGCTGCATGTGATGAGCAGCCACCACCGATTTCCAGCAACACCCGCAGGCCAAAACAGTTGTTTTTACATGGTGTGGTGGAAGCGTACGTGTATCTGTGTATATCGCTTGTGTGTATGAGTGTGCGCACTCGTTGCGCCTCCACAGCGCCTGCTGCCTGTTCTGCTGCTGCTGTTGCTGCTGCTGCTGCTGCCGCCGAGTGTCTCCCCCAGGTTACTGCAGCTGAGCTGTCGGTCCATTTGAGTAGTCACTCATTCGTTCGCCGCCTGCTCGCTGGTTCAGCTGTGCTCAAGCGCCTGTTTGTCGTTGTCGTCGTTGCCGCAATCGTTGTCGTCTTGGTCACCGTTGTCGTCTGTCCAAGCATCCACATCCTGGCCGCTTGTTTATCGTGCAGTGATTTACCTAAACAGCCACACACACACACACACACCCGCACACACATGCCTAGATTTTTGCTTAAAACAAAAACTATTTACAACAATTTTTGCATTTAACAAACAAAAATGTCGCTAATTGCTCGAGTGCCGTTTAAATAATACTTATAGCCAAGTGGCGTGCTCATAAAAAATACGTTTTTTGTAACATAAAAATCGCTCGGTCGCAACGTATCTCGGCTCATTTGTTGTTCAGGCATTGTGTTTGAATATATATAAATATATATATATAAATACATAAAGCTTAGCGGAAAATGTGCTAACAACAATTCACATTCTTGGCAAATATTGTTGCACTCGGCGCACTTTAGGATTAACGACGGCGGCCATTTTTCATCAAATAACCAGCGGCAAAACGGATAGCTGCTCAAGGTGAGTGCAATTATGAAAATATAATCTATAATTTACATATGAATCAAATGTGCAGCGAAAGTTTCCGTTTTCTATAATATCATTTTGCCGTCGGCATTGAATCCAAGACCAAAGACCAAGTCCAGATGATGACTCAGACAGGCATTCAAAAGAAACCTTGCTGTGCCTAGCAAGTGAAATTCAATGCGAATAGTTGTTGCCGACGATCCGTCAAGTGGGGGGGAAAAAAAGGGAATTTGAAAAACATTTGTACTTGTTACTCAAACGAAAACACACACAATGAAATCCCGAGGCATTGACATCATCATCACAGGCAGGCATCGTGTCACAGAAACGAGATGGAAACTACTCTGCTTGCTTCTCCCCGTAATATGATTCCCTGGCAGCGTTGGCGTTAAAGACCAAGAATCAGAAATTATTGTTTAGCAACAATAATAAAAAAAACCTCGTTCTACCCCCGAAAAAGAAAACAATACTCACAAACACATACAAAACTCCATAAAGCGCAACGCCCGACTGCCAAATGCAAATATTAAAAATAACAACACAACGTTTTATAATAACCAAAAGGGGAAAACGGCAAATCGAATTGCAGTCAAGACTCCAACTTCAACTCCAACTCCGACTTCGACTTCAACTCAAACTGCGACTCGAAAACTCAAAACTCAGACGCAGCCTGCATGGACCATGTCGGTCATCAGGCTAATTTTCTACGGAAACCGTTGGCAGCCTCATAAAATAATATATATACATTTGTATGTATGTATGTACATACATATACTATAGATGCATATACATAAGATTCTTTTAGTTGTCGGCATTCGATCTTTGCTAATATGAGCAGCATGCAATATGCATTAATTTATAGAGCTCAGTTTTCGTTGCGGTTGCTCTTGAAAATTAAATGCTATTCTTTGCGAAAAGCCTACATGAGGGTTAAGTTTAATGATTCTTAAATCCTTGAAGATATATTTAAAGCAACGATATATCAATTATTATTTGAATTGTCATGTAAAAGAAGGATTTTTAAAGTAATAGTATAGAGATTTCTATAATTCTTAAAGGTATAACTTTTACTGCATTTATTGAAAAATGTTATTTTTTCTTTAATTTTATAAAGTTGTATATAAATATAGTAAAGATTATCATTATTTATATATAGTTCAATTATATTTGTGATTTTTTTTATTTCTTAACCCTAACCAGCTTAGAACTTTTCACATTTTCGAGTTTAAAATATAAATTTCTCTACATAAAAAGACTTCAAATTTGTATGATCAATTTTGTTCTTCTATCTATAAATTCTGAGTATACGAGAATACCCGCTGATCTTATATTGTCGAGATTCACGGATATTGCCAAAAACATTCATTTATGTGAATATGAGCTGTATCTAAATGACAGTTTGTATATATATAAATCTTTTGAAATATTTTGAGTTGTGTGTATTTAATGCTGAATATGCAAATTGCGCAGAGCTAATTTGCATTTATGACAACAAAAAATAAATTAACTAATAATCTCCGGAGAGAAGACGCAAAACGCAGTTCCAATGTCCAAGTGACAATGACGCTTGAAGATATGCGAGAAATTTACTATAATACTTCCAGGAAGTCAAAAGGAGAGTCGCAAACAAAGATCGTTTGGGTTTTCGGTTCGGGTCTGGAGCTGGAGCTGCCTCAGCCCAAGAGGAGATGCGTTGTCCAGTGCTATGAAGTGACCATGACGACAAGCTTGCCAAAGGTGTCGCGCGCCAAAGCAAATTAGCGGCTGTGTCCAATTGGAAAACGAGCAACGAGACGCGACTGGGGAATCCAGCTCAGAGTTCCCTTCTCTTTGTCTCTATTCCTCTCTTTGTCTCTTTCTCTCTCTCTCTCTCTCTCTCTCTGTCTCGCTCTCTCTATGTGAGTGTGATTTTCTTTATATGTGTGTGTGTGTCGCCTTGTCATGTGAAATCAAATCAGGCATTACAATTTTACGCTCAATCGACAGTGTAATTGAGCCGCACAGCCGTCGCAATGTCTGCCACAAATCCAATCTGAACTCCGAAGGGTTTTCCGGTTGTGGAAAAACATCGGCTTCCGGCTAAGCCGAGTCAATCGGCGTTCAATGGGGCATGCAAAGCAGCCGGCGCAACAATTCTGCTGCTCAACAACTAAAAATATCCAGCAATAAAACTATATATATCTATACATGTATAAAGATATATATTCTATATATTAACAGCTATTTGTTTATGACTTAATTTATGCGCTAACACGACTCGGCGGCATTGTGGCACACATTTTCAGTGCTCGCAGCTTTGGCTTCGGTTTTGGTCCTTAGTCTGTGTCCTGTTGTGTCCATTGTTTGGATCACGTACCAACGCACCGATATCGAATTTGTTCGATCTCCATAAGTAAAAAAAAAATAAAACTAAAAAGAAGAAGCAGATGCAGAAGTAGTAAGAGCCGCAACTTTGTTTCCAAGTGAACAGTGAACTGTGCGCTGCTCCTGTCTGCTGTTTGCTATATGTCCTTTGTGTGTATCCTTCTATTCCGCTATCGGATAACAGCGCCCGCATCCACGTTTCATATTTTTTATCCATCTCCTCGCCTCACCTCGCCTTGCACTTTGTATCTGTATCTTTGGCTGTTCGAAAATTGCTTTGCTGTTTAGAACTTGTAAGTTTCTTCTTTTTTTTATTATTATTTCTTTACGCAACAAGGGTTAAAGAAATTTGTGTGAAAAATATGGGATTCTTGTGCATTATGATGTGTGTGTGATCGAACGTCTTCAGATATTCATCTGTGGGCTGGCATGGGAAAAATTATGCCTAGTTGGTTTTCTGATTGAAATACATGATATACAAACATATATGTGCATGTATAAATACCTTTATGCATTTATGAATGGTTCTTTATTAATTGTTGATCGCAGAAGAGTGTAAC